TCATTTAGGGTTTTCTATTTTGAACAGTACTTGTTCACCAAATTCTTTGCTGGATTATTTTTGTTATTTCTTATTTTTGTCTCAGTTGCGTTAACAATAAATACTTGATGAACCATAGCTAACGGTACTCTTGTTTGCTAAAAACGTGCTAAACTTACAAGCACGTTGTGACAATGCAATATGTTTTTTGGCTTATTTTTACCCTTGGAGGCAAAACACTTTTATTTAAAAAACGTGCAGTGTGCTGAATTTTGTCCGTACTTGTCCGAAGTGTGACTTGTGGAGTGTGTACGAACAACTTATGCATCCTTTTTTTAGTTTTTTGTCTCCACTACAATTCAACTGCATTTTTTGGCTTTTTGTTTGTAAAATGTTTTTTATTCACTTTTATTCTTTGTTATATCGAATATATTATGTGTTGGGGATGTTTTTCTTTATTCAATATAAAGTTTTCGTAGATTAGTGGATTAATAGATGGCTGCATTCCGGAGATTCCAATTAATATTCAGGTTTCAGCAAGATTCCGTCTTAGGCGCTGCGGTTTGATGAATACTTCGATTCGTTTAGGGTTAATGAGCGTCATAGCGAAATAATTGCGTTGAATTTCGAAAACCACCAATTAAATTGAAATGCAAACCACGAAAATTTTGTAATTAAAAAGTTTGGTGCACAAATTATTTAAAATAATGTGTTGATGTAGTCGACAACTTATCATAATTAATTTACCCTTGTGAGAGTGAGGAATAAAAGTTGAACTTTGCGCTGGCGTTATTTCTATTGCATGTATTTACATTACACATGGATGGAACATTTTCGAATGTCATTAGCGTACAGGTCTGGAAGTAATACACACTCGCGTCTCGCGACGTTCTTGGTGATCCGACAAAATAACGCGCAAGCGAATTCTCGAGTCGCGTGTTTGCCTCTCGGGGATGCAAAGCGCGAAAATGCGAGCTTTGTTAATTTTAATAAAGCTCGCGTGCTTTTCGCGGCGAGTACGCGAAACTGGAGAAACAAATAAAACGCGAAACGCGAGAGCTGCAAACGCGGACGAGAGCGTCATTAGACCCGGCGTCTGGGTCACAGTTTTTGAGCATTTTCCTGTTTTTTTCTTCTGCTTTTCAAATTAAATAAAGGTGGCGTAATATGCGATTCCTTAAAAAAAAAGTCAAAAACCTCTGGCACCAGAATAAAAATTATATTTTTAATACATTTAATTAATTAATCTATATATATATAAAAATGAATTGCTGTTCGTTAGTCTCGCTAAAACTCGAGAACGGCTGAACGGATTTATCTTATCTTGGTCTTGAATTATTCGTGGAGGTCTAGGGAGGGTTTAATGTTGTTTCGGTCACAATTTTATTTCTACATTTTTTGCAATTATGCATTTTCATTGATTTATGTGGTATCACACCGAGGTTCAAATTAACAAAACTTAATTGAGAAACGTAATTTACTGCCTTTTTAAAGTAGAAGAGGACAATGAAAATTGTCCTGCAGAATTTATTCAATTTAATTTAAGTGTAAAATTTGACTTTTTGTGGCGGGATTTTTTATCCTTTATAGAGTGCTTCACCTGTCAAAAGTTATACCAACTATTATTCCATTTTGAAATGTATCTCGAAAATTAATTACAAACATTTAGAAGGTAAATTTCGGAAAGGGGTCAGAGAGCCTGAACAAATGACGAAACGACATCTCACCCAACCGTGCAGGTGCGACCGCTTTGAGTATGCTTAATGGGCGCCATTCCGGTAATCCGAGCGACAATCAGTCAAGATCTTTATTTCCTGCTCGTTCACATCCCAGCGTTCCAGTTTTCCTCCGCCGACGACCCGTACCTGCCGCACGCTGGCACATTGTCGTCCTCTGCTTCCGATGTACATTTATGGGCGAATCCTGCACGCTGTGGTCACACCAGGAGCCATCGGGAGAAACATTGCCGTCGGTTTAATCTCGCGCCGCTCGCTAACGGTCGGTCATAGATGTAAATGGAGAGTGGGGTTTTAATGCGCGAATATATTTGCGGTGGTTCTGGAATCATTTACCATTGTGTGTGAGGCGGCGACTTCAACATGCTTTGCATTACCAGTAGAAGTCTAAGAGAAACGTCTTAGACTTTAGTGCCATAGAACACAATTAGTGCTTGAGCTACGCAAGTTGCTTATAGTTCAGCCTGAGGACGATAGAAACAGAAATACGGACAATATAGTAGCGTGGGATGGCGGGGAAACCATGAAGAGCGCAGTCGTGTTTGAATGTGGTTATTTGAGAATTTGCGGGCGGATTAAAACACCGCCGAGTCGTCTTGAAGCCAACGTCGACATTCTGCCCTTACGTTCGGTGTCTTGCGTGGTAATATGTCTTTTGTACGTGTTGTATAGTTTATGATAGCATTGTGTTTCGAAATTGCGCGAAAATCTGTGGTCGTTTTTACGACTACAACGGATGTCACTGGATTTACTAACTTGACACGTCTTAATCCAAACATAAAAACAAAAATTCAGTAAAATTACAAACAATTTCTTTATTTTATTTAAAAAATATTTTTTTTATTAAATAAAATGTAGCCTATAACCATTCGGGGACCACTAAGAATATGTGTACAAATTTTCATGATGATCGGTTAAGTAGTTTTTGCGTGAAAGTGTAACAAACATCAGGACTTTCGCATTTATAATATTAGTAGGGATTTGAGATGGTATGATGATTTTTATGCTTTTCTCTATTTAAATTTGGATATTTTCCGGAAATTTACTATCTGCAGTTAGTGAAATATTAGAACTATTAGTGTGTTACGCCGGCACAGGTTGGGTTTAACAAATTACAACTAATTTAAATAATCCACCAGTGCGGGGACCGCCAATCCGATGCCGTGATGTTCCAACTTTTCACTAACTTTTCCGGCATTTTGTGCGGGTTTTTGCGCCAACTTTTAACAACTTTTGCGGAACAACTTTGCGCCGTGTTAATTTGTGTTAATTTTGTTAATGCTTGTTGACGTGTTAATAAATCTATTAAACTTTTCCGACCTTTTTTCATATATTAGGTGGAAATTATTTGATTGAATGTAATAGCTCAAGTTATTAAATTTTCATAAATAATTTGCGGCTAATTTGAATTTTAAAAGTGTTTGTGCTGCAAAAGTATACCAAGTATAACACAAAGGCGTGCAATTCAAACATATGTACATATAATTTGGTTTTTATCAATGGAGTGCACTCTCGATCCGTTATTGCCTGGATGGAGTGACGTGCTGGACAAATGAAAACACAAATTGGCAGCTTTGCCCCATTTTTTTGCATTAGCGTTGTGATATATATGCAAATTTATTGATGGAAACCTACAATCACAACAACCATAACATATCACTCACACTTTTGTTATTAGTATTGAATTCATTCATAGTATAAACTTCAAAAGTGAAGTTATTTTGTATTAAATTGTGTTTTTCTACTTTTTAATCAAACTCGTGAGTAAAGTACCACTTAGCACACTAAATATTTAATATTTTCAATTTCTATTGGACACATGTTATCCGTGGACAAAAAATCGATCATAAACTTTTTCTATAGTCGTATAGCCAATATGTTTGAAGCAATTCTGTAAGCGTAGAGTGATTTTGCGAGCGTGTTGTTGAAATTTCAATTTTTCGCCTGCTACAAAATGCAAACACGTCGCAGTGAGCAGGGTAATACGTTAATATGCAAATGTGACCGATGGTCGGCTCTCGCACTCGCCGAGCTCATAAATATTTATAAAAACGAGTGTAAAACGCGCGCGCGAATCGCTTTTATTATTTCGCTTTGATGAATTACTGATCGCAGATTTTCTCTCGCGAACGTGGTAAATTAAAAGCGACCACACACTGAATGACCGATCGGAGCATCATATCCCTTGAGGCGAGGCATTTGAAAATTTTATGGGATATCTACGCAAAACACCTTAATAATCGTGTATCATGCCAATAATAAACACAGCTTTTTATGCACTATTTAAGCTGTCCTTTGAAATATAAAAATATTAAATCTCAATTTTACATCAAAAAATATAATTTTCTTAAATATTTTACGATAATCTGCTTCGTATCTTATTGAGATTGTGTTCTTAATTTCATGTGCAATATGAGATTATGTCAGATTCAAAGTGGGCAAAAGGAATTATGTTCTGTAACGGTGATCCGAGGGTTCACCGGATCTAAACAAGCGTGCGTTGAAATAGGACTCACAGATGCATTACGTTTACGTCCTCATCTGCGCCCGGTCATATGCAGTCGCATGCGAAATTATTCCACACTTTATTCCGTAATACGACCCAACCAAAAAGGAGTTTACCAGCGGATTTGAATGCCAAACCACCCGGAAATGATGGAAACTAGCGTGATGCAACGGACAGCTTTGCTCACAAACTAAACGCAGCATTTCAAAGGCTCATTTTCCCAAAAATTCACAAACATCCCTACTAATATTATAAATGCGAAAGTCCTGATGTTTGTTACACTTTCACGCAAAAACTACTTAACCGATCATCAAGAAAATTTGTACACATTTTCTTAGTGGTCCCTGAATGGTTATTGGCTACTTTTTATTTAATAAAATAAAATATTTTTTAAATAAAATAAAGAAATTGTTTAGCTAATAATACCTCTGCATCTGGCTATTTGACTACTTTAACACCATCTAGCATTCCAGCAATGAAGCTCAAACCTAAGTACTATAGTACCATCACACTGTATTATCATACTGTATTACCGACAGCTACGTCAACATCAAATCCAATTGACTACACTATGGAGACTGTACACTATACTTCCATAGACTATACTTTCAGCCATTTTAAACTTCCCGCCATTCAACTTCATTGTTACTTCTTCTGTGATTACAGACGCGTACGGAAGCAACTTCATTATTTTAGATATTCGCGAGCTAGTAAAATATATATATATATATATATACGTAAATACATAAAAGTTAATTTTGATTCTATCATCTTTGCAGGATGGTGAACGTGGTTATCTCGAAGGATTGGCTTCAAGATACGCGGATCTATTCAGTACGCATTACGGCGATGTTTTGAGTTATCTTGAGGATCTTCGACGAAGAGATTGGGCGGAATTGTCGCCTCGTGAGCGAGTCGCTGCATCTCCTGGTACTCCACCCGGTGGTGCCCACTATGCTCCTTTACCATCTGGGGGTGGAGGAAGTGCCGGTCTTACCTCCTCGCAATCTCAGCCCATTTACGTGCCCGGCAAATATTCTGTAAGTCAATAAATCTTTATATAATAATTATCGTCATCAAACCCATCAGCAATACTAAAAATCAATTCTAAACAAATTCAGTTTTGGTTTCCGATGTGGCGATGGCTTCACCTCTGACTTTTTGACCCTTATATGTGTTGATATCCAATGACTTACTTGATATTTTGTTTGTTGATAGCCATCCAGTTGTTTGAGTGCTAAAGAATATTCTGTAAGTCGTCCACTTCGCTGTTTCTCTGTTTGCTCATTGTATCCTGCTCAGTTTGAAGGCATATTGCTCGTGATCAGTGTCGTGTTTTTTGATTGGAGATTAGAATGAATATTCCATTGCATTTAAGGATATTTGCTTTCTTTTATAGCCATCCAGTTGTCTGAGTGATAAGGAAGAGGACGAGATTTATGGATTTGGGTATGGTGTGTACGGTGCCCAGATGGTTCGACAGCAACAGGCTCGATTGATGAACGTTCAAACTGCACATCAACCCATGTTCATGCAGCAACAACACCAAAATTACGAATCGTAAGTTGTGCAACCAATAAGAATTTTATTTTTAAACCCAAGCTTTGGTCTTCATTTCCTTGCGGTTTCCATTAAAATTTCTAATTATCCACGCAGACGTTGAAATATTATTTTCCATCAAACGAATGCGAGCAAAGTAAAGGTGGACCGGAGCGCCGTCTTAGGTATCCTGAGAACCATTAGGCAACCCCTGCTCGAATTTTCGCAATAAGAGCAAATTCCAATCGGGAACCCTCCGACTGCTTTAATTACTTTCACGCTTTCTACTTGCAAAAAAAACGCAAAACATTTACTAGAAGCTGGTTTATAGCAGGAAGAAAAAATCAATTTGTAGTTCAATTAAATCTAAATTAGGGTTTTAACATGTGTAAATATTAGTTTATTATATTTTTGTTTTATGTACTTTACGTTTGAGTTGCTAGAGAATCTACAAGGCACCATTTGCATAAATCGTTCAATTATTAATGCTGGTGGATTGAAAGAAAAAACTTGATGAAATTGTTCTTGTTGTTATTAGTATCCGTTAGTGAAATCGAATGAATTATACATTGGAATATTGGAAAACCATTTTTGATGTTTATAGTTGCATGATTTTTTTCTTTTCTCTTTTGTCTTATCGTCTGATTTATTTATGCACTAATGTCGAAACATATCAACTCATCTCGCAACACTCGGTAATGTGTCCAAACACAAGCATTAATGAATTGTTAACGTAGCAAATGAGGAAAATTTTATTTTTGTCTTCCCTAAGTATTTCTTTTGATAATATTTTATTATTTAACTTGGTTCTTTGTATTTTCAACTTGTTTCAACATTTTGCAGCAGTACAAACTATTATTTACCCTACTTCTTGTGTTCTACATTCAGGTACTTAAATTCTGACATGTCTTGTTTTTAAAAACTTTTCTTCATTTTTACGTTTGTAACTCATAATTTACCCGAGTTTTACTTGTCTAAAACTTTTTTTATATACATTTTTCATATTTTCCAGACGCTTTAAGCATTAACTTTCTAGTTGTAGTTTGTTTATCTTCATCATCATTTTTCTTTAACATCATACTCATAAATACGCGAAGAAAAATTTTTGATCTCTGCAACACAAGATGTTTTAATGTAATATTTACGATTCTTTCTTGTTGTTTTTGTAGGTGCCTAAGTCCACGTTCGGCATACTTCTACGAATTTCCCCCCAATGGTAAGTTTCTATTACTTTTATTTAAACCGACGCGTTAATAAATTAGATATTCGAAATCTTCTTATTTTTATTTTTGGTTTAACTTTTGCTCTTCTGTTTTTACATTGGTGGTATGTTGGCGTGAGCCAATCGCTCTTGTCAATGGGGGTAATTCCTCGCTTTTTGTCGGCTTCGCCCGGCGCCTCCACCACTGCCGCTTCCCGACGTGCGCTGGTAATTTACAACCGATGGGCGCGTTATTGATAGCTTTTTGTTAGCTATTCGAACGTTTCCGTGCGGTGTTCACCTCCTCCCGTGTAATCGCATCGGCTGGGTTGAACAACGACACAGTAAAACTAACCGGATAGCGATATCAGCTTGAAAGGCAATAAAATCCACAGAAATGCGCAAAAAAACCTGAGGAATGGGAATGAGAAGTCATGGGGTGGGATTTTTACTTAACGAACGTGCACAAACTTGCGATACCACGATAGAACATTGGATTACTAATGGATAATTAAAACCAATGCATTAAAATGGTTTGTGATTCACCTATGTTTTGGTGTTTTACTAAAAATCGTTTGTAACAAATTGGGTTTATATCATCGTAGTATTTACTTATCACATTCAACTTTTTTAGAATTATCATTATTCTTGTTAGATGTTTCTTGTAATGATGCCTCTTCACGAGCTCGGAAGTTTACATGCACTCCCGGAGTTCCGTTATAGGTGACGTGGAGAGGCTTGACGATCGTAAATTTTCGGTTGCGAGGAGCGTGCCACGCGTGTCCTGCGTTACTACATTGGGAGGGTAAAGTTTCATTTAGCAGGAATTTGAGAAACTCAACTTCGTTCAAAACTTGCAGTAGGTACTTTGTTGAAGCGGCCGTGTCCCATGATGTAAATTTACCCGCGTTTTGGTGCACGCACGACGCAATGACAAGGTAGACGAAAGTTCAACATAAATTTCAAATATGTTCCAAGCAAATAGCGGAAAAGAACATGAACGCAAAGGAAAAAAACTTTATTTTGTGGTTGTACTAAATTGACATGTTTTTAGTTGACTTGACAAGAGTCCAGACGAATAGAAATATATGTTTAAAGTATGTTTGGTAAGATTCCACGCCGCCGTCAACTATAAATTTTAATTTAATGGGAGTGCTGAACCATATAAATATTTATTATAGCCTTCGCAACGTGGCACACCGTCATAAATTTGCCCCGTTCATCCGCGCGCGTTTACAAAATGAAGGGCGCGCGAGAATTGCCCATTAACTTTCGGAAGGTACCGAAAATTAACTTCAACTAATTACATTATTAAATAATTAAGAAAACAGTCGAAAAAATGGACTTAATTTTCAATACTCGTATAATTACTTATTGGATAACCGACATGTCACCTGGTCGACATCGGGATAGTGGCGCGACGTGACAAATCGGATTCCCTGTCGGTTGGGGGGTTGGCTCGCCGTGATTTACACACCGATCTCCTATCAGCGAGCTGATAACTGCTGGATTTCGGGCAGAAAGCGTGGGATGGATCGATGTGACACCCTGTTACACCACTCCAAACTCAGAAGTGGCAGGCCCATCGAGAGCAGGACGAATGTTCTACATTTCGAACACATTGAAACAATCCTTTGCGCTGCCGTGTTTGGACAGTACTTGTCCGGATGAAAACCCGGAGCAGGAAATGGTTGGAGTGTAGCGGTGGTTTGGCCGGGTGATAGGTTCGACTGGAGTTGACTTCCGTACTTGCGGGCACCAAATGTGCTTTTAAGCGGATTGAAAATTGGCCCAAAACCGGATACGACCGTCCGATGGAAAATGTACGGATGATGTGTAATAATTGCTTCAACTTGATTCATATCAGCTTTTAATTACATCTACTGCGACAGACAGTTACGAGTGAATGTTTACCAAAGAGCTTAGGGGTTTACCAACATTTAAATTGGTCTATAGGCCTATTATACACATCAAATTATTAAGAAATGTGAAATTATATTTTTAAGTGAGTTTTTGGGCGCTGTACTTCGCAAAAATTGCAATTTTTTAACAACTATTCATATTACACATAATTTTAGGGTTTTTAGTACATCTACAATATAAAATATACTTTATAAGATCCTATAATTTATATTTGTGTTGGATTTAATAGTTGCGTTCGTTTGTGCAGTTGAATAATGTTATAACAACGGGGCGTCGCTGATAAGGAAGTCTGGGTTGGCGTGGCGCGCACTGATTGTACAGGCGCGAGCGACACAGCTTGAATAATAGCTACAATTAATAATTCTCAATTTTTCCTGCTTTTCTTAGGTACTTTCTCCCTGTCTTGAAATCTCAGTCTTAAAATTGTCTTGCAGGAAAGCGAAACATAAACCTAGAAAAGGTAGAAAGCTAAAATCGATTGTAAATCGTTTATTATTTTATTCGTGTGTAAACCAAATGCGTTTATCTTTAATAGTGAATAAACTGTTATGGTTTTGATACATTCTAATGAACTTTTGATGTTGGGAACTATAACATATGTAACACTATAACATTCCTAACTTAGATATCATATATATGTTGCAAGACTACCGTAAAAGTTACAGCTCTCTCTCAACCACTAATATGGTAATGTGCAATATTGTTGTAAATCGTTTAGTACAGTTGGACTACATAGGTGTACACGGTTTCAAATGGAATCATTTGATCATTCGGCCGAATGCGCTCACGAGCACCCTCAATAACTCAAAGTCTAAAACCGCTTGAAATCTCCTCTCAAGGCAAATGTAAAATACGTCATTTTAAACCCTTAATATGTTGTTTACTACGGATTAGTGAATGCAAGAGATAATTATGTTCTTTGTGTGTCTGATGCACGCGCTATTTACCTAAATTCGGATTATCGCATTGTGGAAGTTATATAAACACAAATTGAATAATAACTTTAAACATTTGGATAGTTTTATTTTAATATCATATTTTGTGGAATGGAGATCATGGTCATAATATATTTATGTAGGTATACCAAATTTGAATTCGGTCATATTTTATTCATTCCGTTTCCGGACAAACAAACTTTTCTCGTGGATGTCACTTTAGAATAATTCAAACGTACATGTATGTCAGTAATAGAGCTGTTGGCGTAGATAATCAAATGCGACATCAGCCATGTTGAATCTTTGGTTGATGGTTTTTTATTTTTAAATTCCAGAGCAAAACTACACGAACACCGCAAAGAAGAAAACGACATTCCAAGGATTCTGCAGCGGCCCCAAAACTCTCGCACGCGGGCGTATACGGGAATAGTTCACCAAGGCATGAAGGGTTGCAGCAATGTGGTGGTACCTTCACAAAGGGTAAGTGCATAACATATTAATAAAATCCATTGAAAACGCTTTTAACCCTAAAAATTGATCGTTAATCATAAAAATCCTCGTTAAACCCCTTGTTTATTCCAATTTAGTCTTTACTCATCTAAAAATTTTAAATTGGAATAAAAATAATCTAGTGTTTAATTTGATAATATGACGTTTTTAAGTGATTGACTTTAAAGGCCTTGTTGTACTATTTCCCAAAGCGAAGGTAACAGAATAACGAGCCGCTTCCGCCAGAGAAGATGGCTAAATGCAGGAGTCTAAATAAATTATTTCAAAATTCCAGGGATGAGACGTGCGAGAACGTGCGGAAAAACTCATGCCTGCTAAAACTACAAAAATAATTGAAATAGAAATATGAATAGTTATAAAAACTACATAAGAGAAAATATTTTTGCTGTTTTCCAACAAATTTTTCTAAGCTTTTCTAAAACTGTTGTTTACTCCAATTGTGGGCCATCCAAACGCATTGCATATGTAAAATAGCAACATGCGTTTCCTACATTTGCCTCCTATTGTCGGATATTCTATTTTCCTGTTTTCCGCCCCCGCAAAATACATACCGATCCAATTTTTAACAGCGCACGACCGCCCCTTGCCAGCACCGAGGTCGTTTATTCTCCAGGGATGTAAATTCCTCTACATTTGCACTTAACGCGCATTCCACGTAATTTATCCCCGAATGAGTTCTTGGCACCTTAACCCTACTATTCTTCAGTCTACAAGCAATAGCAGCCGGGTGGAAAACTTTGCTTTTCGTCTTAGACTCTCTAAGCAAGAGCGCTATAAACGTGGTTAATGCTACAATTTCGTCTGGAGCCTGGAACACGCCATGCAAAACCAGCAATGCTTAGGTGTTAGATGGGTGAAGATTTTCGGTAATGGCTCGGGTTTTTTATCATTGCGCGCATCGATTTTGTGGAGAAAAGAAAAAAACAACTCGGCAATAAACGTAATAAAACCAATCGCCCGAATTGGATGTCATTATTGTTTCGTTTCGTTTTTATTTTGCTGGATTTTATTATACTTTGGTTCATTTCGTCGCCATTCGAGTGATGGAAAATGGAAAAACGGTTTCATCAAACTCCGAAACCGAGAAAAAAAAAACAATTCTATTCATCGTCGACGCGAAAATGATATATAATATTGAGCTATAAAACTGAATCCGTACTTCCAAACTAAAATTTCACTTTAATTCCGCAAATTGGGAAAAACCGGTTCAGAATCTAGTGAAAATTAACAACGCTCATTGTGTGGCTTGATTTATGAATGTTTTCGACTGCTCGTTAGTTTTTCCCATTTTCGTGTTCAGCTATACTCATACACATTTACATAGTGGCATATCATGACCCGAAACACTTTTTCTTTCGTGTGTGCATTCAATGCTTCAGTTTTATTTGCTTCATTATGAAGAGTAGTGCGGGAAAGCGGTGAAGAGGAGAATAAAAAACATCAATTTACGTCTTCACAACAAAATACTGCAAACAGCGTCATAAATGAACTAAACACCGAAACACGTGAGATTAATAACCGAAAATAAACGTGATTTTTAAATATATTTGAAATATTGTATGAATAGTACGAGCTAATTGAACTGACCAGATCCTTCTGTCCGAATCTATGTTCGTTTGGTTCTCGTTGTTGCTGAAAGGACAAATGTTGACAGTTCAATTTACAAGCGAACGCAATTATCGTCGGTTTGACAAAATTTGATGAATTCGATGAATTTGATGAAGTGATGATTTTAACAGTGCAATTTGTTTCGATTTTATAGTCTATCGATCGTTGCATACAACATTTCTGAACGTTCTTGATTTTCGACGCGATGCAATATATTGAAAAATAAATGCGCTTTTGATGACTGATACAATCTGCATAATTTGTGACATGAGTAAAATTGAAAAATGGGTGGGATGGGAAACATCCGATGATATTCAATGCACGATTGGCGCTGATGGAGTTTAATTATTTGGTATCGTGTCATGGTCAGCAGAATTTGCAAACATCTATTTTTAAATTCTTATTACGTGAAATTATTGATTTGATTCTGAATTTTTTAAACATATATTTTTATTAGTGTAAATTAGAAAGACAGCAATTTGGCAACCAATTTTGTCATTTTTTTCTATAAAATCAAAGACCATTTATTTCTGGAAGATTTTAGTCGTTATTTTGGTTTATTTGTAATTAAAAGTAGCCTACCATACTCTGCTTAGAAGGGCATTTTATCCTTCAGTGTTATAATTAAATTCTAAATATTTTTTCAATTTTTTTCAACTTTACTCTCAAAAATTGATACTTTCTCAATGAGATGCAATACCTTTATGAAATACCAAACTTTGAGTTTCTGACTTTTAGTAAAACTTCAAACATCATAAGCTGGTAACCAGAAATTTGTTTGCATGTTGCCGCAGCTTGCACTCTTAGTTTCCAACAACAGTGTCGAAATAATAAATTTAGAATCTTAAACTCCTGTAGTATCTCACCACCGGTGTGGATATATTTAAGCTAAGACGGATCTGAACTTTGTCTGCGTCTAAAACTTGAGTTGCAACTGCGGAGATGAGAAAGGACAACATGCTGTGACAAGAGGCGGGCAAATCTGCATAATTTCTTTTTACGCGCGCGCGCATACTACTCTGGGGAATTTTATTATTTTTCCTCGGTGGTGAAAAACTCCACCCGCCTAAACGAGGACATGCTGCGAAGAAGTAATTTTAAAATGTGCAAGTGCTCCGCGCGGAGCACTCTGCGCAGAGGAACTGGGCGGAAGTGGGATGAAAACCGCACTAACGGTATGGCGCCTCCGATGCAGTAAGGAAGAAACGTAAAGGAGGGTGATGTGGAAATGAAAGTAATTTCCACAGGAAACCAAAAATTATTGTTTAGTAGCTCGTGCGTTTGTGCACAAATTGCACTTAAAAGGTTACTTTATTACAAGAGGGAGAATGTTAAAAACTATTAGTAACTTATACTTTTCACAATTACCTCATCATACCTTATCTTCATTATAACGGCGAGAAATATAGACGAATTCTATTCATTCATTAGTATCACATTACTTAATTTACTCTTTTATATAAAAATAAAATCTACGTCAGTGGATTTTCTATTTATGTGTGGGATTTTTTTGTGGTGAAATTGTTTTGTTCTTTACGAGGATTTGTGGCTACGTTTGCAGTCAGGGTTTTTATCATCGCAGACGCAGTCGATTTTTGATTCTGTCGCATTTATCAACAGATTACGCCGGTTTTATGTTCCCGTCCACAACATCACAGCATCGACAAACGATATACCTACACAAACATCGATTTTAAATTCAAATATACCAGATATGTCAACAAACAGTTTTTAAAAACTCTGTTTTTAATATTTTTCTAATGAAAGCACAAACGAATCTGATATTTTTTATATCTTGCTATTCTGATATTCGATTCACTCTGTATGTAAGGGTCAGTGAATCTCGGAGGGATCGTAATCGGAAGAGTACGTGCCCGCAATGAAACAGGAACTATTGCGTTATTGCGTTCGTATACTTGCTGCTGCTCCCAACGTGTCTGGTCTTTTTTGTTGGCTAGTTTTGTTTTTGTTTTCGGCATTGTTCTTCGGGCATCATAGTGTGACCACAGGGGAACGTCATACCTACGTGCGAGTGGATGGCCAGACGCGACTCGGTCGTCCTGCCGCATGTCCTGCGCTCGTAAAATGCTTCATTTAACCACCGGCGGTGCAACTCGTAGATAAATAAAAACGACTATAATAAAGCGACGAGACATTGAAAAGAAAAAAGAAATATTTAAGCTTTACCCGTAATAAAATAATCTCGGTTCAGGATGAAATGAAATAAATAAAATGAAAGTTGATTTGACACTAGGTTTTTTGACTGATTGACTGTTCCACACTAGTAGCCAATAAAACAGTTGTGAGATCTTCAGAAGTTTTGGATTCTCCAAAAGTTTCTTTACGATTACACATAAAATCGTAATAAATACGTGTTTTGCTATTCCAATCGAACTGACAACTTCAGAAAAAGTTGTTTATCGCGTTTCTCTTTTCTTCTGATGTTTGTCGTGTTTTTAATGTTCAGAGTTTAATCAACTACTTTTTTAAATAGAAGTATTTTGTCTCTTCAAATCCTCCTTTGTCTAAGATGGATCAAAGACCTATGTATCTGATTGTTCCCTTCAATGTGTTCCCCTGAATATCGAAACTAAAAAGACTTAGAGTGCGCCTCGGAAACGCTCCGAAAATAAGGATAATACGTCGCCATGTCGAACTTGGTGGCTTGCATCTGATTTATCCGTCTTTAAAAATCCCAAAATAAATGTTACAGTATACTGATTTTGATCCGAGCGGAAAGTTTTAGCGTGTACGGGCTGGGGAACAGCATCCACCCTGATTGAAAAGATTGCAAACAACGGCAAATACAAGAAGTTGAAGAATGTCTGTTGGGATGATTAAACACTCTTGGCTGTAGAAGTTTTTGGCGAGTGCAAGAAATTATGAAATATCTTAACATGTTATTTGGATTTTTTGTTTTTCTGTTCGTGGTATCAGGGATTAAGGAAAGTATCCCAACTTGAATCTTCAAATAACTCATAAGATTCTCTTGGGAACTTTGGTTTTACAAATTTGATACAAGTATTTCTTAACAAATAGTTTATAACCACAAGAATTAAACTTCAACATTTGAAATTTTCATTTATAGTAAATATTTTTTATGCACAGTTTTTGGAAATGAAAAATTCAAATACGAGTGGCTCGATGAGATAAAAGAAATCCAGTAAATAGCAGACCGTTCAAAAGTCGTCTTTGCTGAAATGTTTTTCAGTTTTGTTTCAAGCGCTTTTTAGCGCTTTTTATTCGCATGCCTGATTCTATACTATGCTATTATTCAGGCGACAAAAAGCTACGACCGGAAGAGAAAGAAGAGACTGAAAGTTACGCGTGCATATCATTATATCGACACATCTCGTACAGAAAAAAAATTATTCATATAAACATTTTTAAAACATTTTTATATATTTTGCGAATTTGTGCCATTCCGTAGATTGTTACTGTTTCCAGTCTCCCGTAATGAATCCCAAAGCATAGAAGACGCAAACTCAGCACTATTTCCATATCACGTCGGTGACGGTGGCGGCACACTTGTTACCTACTCCAAGCAGTGTGCCGCCTCCGTCGTCCAGCACTCACCCTCTATGGAGTCCCATGACTCACGAACTAGACGCACTAGACTTTAATTGAAGCTCGAGACTAATGCACTATACTCTTTCTCTGTCGTTATGAATGCACTGGGTTCAGACGCCTAGTTTTCCATCTAGACTGTATCCAGACTTTGCCTAGACAAGTATATCGTAGTATGACTTATAGAATGCAATCTGAATGCCATACGAGGACTCAAAGCAACACATCATCTGATGCATATTTAATGTTAATACAAACACCTTGATTTATTATTATATTTTTATGTACTAATATAAATTTTAAATTAATGTGCAGAATATTATGCTGTGCAGTAGTGTGTAGGACGAAGTGCTTATAACAAAAAGTCTAGACTCAGATTGAAACGGAAAGGACGTGTCTCATGGAAAGCACTTGTGAGGACGCACAAAGTATTTGCGAAGATTAAAGCTGAAACATACTTTTGTTTCGTGTTCATCGTTGCAATTTTTTGTCTCATGTCTACAAAGCCTGTGAGTGAAAATTTTGCAGGAAGAGTTTAACGCATATCTACGTTTTAAAATTGTGTAAGGAATCTACTTGTAATTAAATTCAGCTCGGATAAAAATCTGAAAAACCTTACACTTTTAATTTATCTTTCCATTATTTAAAGAAATCGTCCTTTTGGGTTCATTTTGCCAGCTTTGTTCAAGGTGTAAAATTGTCGACAAAGCAAAATTTCGTCAAGCGACACGAAAGAAATGTCGCAGTCGAAATTTCGTTCTCCTAATTTAAAAGCACGAAAAATTATCCGGCAAAAAGTCGCTCAGTGGAATTAAAGAAAACGTCTACGGGCTGAATAATGATGAGTCGAAATTACACGTCTGCGCCCACCGAAATATCCGTGTCATAAAAGAAACTCAAAAGTACAAAGTCAACTGGCAATGGAAATTATTATTACCGAAGGCGGAAATGTTCTGCAACATTTCTCTTTGGACTTTTTGCGGAATAATGCGGTTATTTGTTCGGAAGGAAAAGTCGTACTTTGTCATCATCTTAGAATTTTATACTTTATTGCAATTTGCATCCAACTATGATACTTGAATTACTGGCTGCTATAGAATGTAAAATTGGAATTCTAATTTTTTATAGGTCGACACCCCTGACAGCGTCTTACAAAGCGGTTTGGGTCTGACCGACTTGGGACAACACGCCGTTTTAAGATCGATGGTAGATCCGAGGGATTACGACCGTCTTAGGCACTTACAGATGAATGGAGGATCCTCCAACACGTTTGAGGAAACTATTTACAAGGTAATTACTATTTTTTTAAATTTAATTTTTTTCATTAAATTAACTTAAATTTGAACGAAAATTTCTTTGAACATTTTTTACATAAAGTTTAGAATGAAAAATGAGGTATGCACTGCAGTAATTAAACTCTGCGTCGAAGAAAATCTCATTAATTTTGTGCCAGACTTAAATCACACCCTGTGGAGTAGTAAACGTTGTAAGAATTTTGAGATTTTCAAAAATCTATCTGTTTTCTTGTTCGGGTCAAACTTATTTGACCTATGACCCTATCGCCTTTGGATCTAGTAGTTTTTCCGCGTATTTTGACTCTCGGGTTACCATGCTACTCGGTCTTGCTAACTATATCAAAACGTCAGCGCAAGGCGCCAGGTTTACGACTTCTTTGACTTTTTCTGTGCACCACTACGAAAAGAGTAAATTTTCTTCGACGCGGTCAAGTTTATTACCAGAATTTACTACTGCGCCCGGCTGGATTTAGGTTGAGGTCAAAATCCGAAATGCACACAAGCAGACCCTTTTCCTTTCGCTCAATTCCGAGGAGGTTTTTGTTTCCTTTGACCAAAAACATGGCCGCCGGTGTCCGGCGGAATTAAATAATTCAATGTTTTCACTGCTTTATAGGCGAAACTCGATTGCGGTGGTAATAGGAGAAGTAATTTGCGGAAGGGTTTGCAAAATCGTTTAAATTTTTCGTTGTTTTGTTCCAGCTGAAACTGCAAGAGGCGCTGCGCAAGCGGGAGAAGTTTACAAAGGAACACGAGGACGTAAGTGAGCGTTTCATTCAGTTTCATTCACGCACGTTTTTTTATTGTCATGGCTACAGAATTTGGCTCGAAGCGAATGGAGGAATTAATCAAATAATAAATTAATCGCGTGCACTTAGCGCCTGTAACTCTTAAATCAAGAAAGGCATGAAAAAAGACTGCACAAGGCGGAGGAAAGTCTTAAGTAGCGGGTTTTTGTGCGCTCGCGTGTCGGCATAATTGATATCGGATCTATTCAGGGCAATTTGCACGTTATTCGGCAGGCATCAAGTGTCAGGTGCATTCGAACGGAAATGTTAAATGTCTTTGAATATACACGAACTAGAAAAGATCTTGACAGATTAGAATAGAATTAATTCGATAATAAATTAAATGAAATTAATTTATTGTTATGCAGAGTTAAAAAATAATTATCGTTGAAAATTCGTTTTTACACAAATGTGTAAACGCTAAATTGCTTGCCATGAGTGACGGCGCTTCCCATGGCGAAGCAGTTTCCAATTCCATCATCGCTTAAAATCCATTAATTCATTTTCGTTACCATCGGCCACGGACACAACGGTTTAACATCAAATGATATTCTGAAGAACTAAATCACTGGAAAAGCTATGAAAAACGCACACTTGTAAATCATACAAGTGCATATAAAACGGCAAATATGAAGACCATTTTAGCTACTGATCTATATTTACCATCCACTCATAGTCTCCACCACTCTGGTATTCACATTATTCGTGCAGGCCGTTATTCTGCTTTATTTTTCAGGCGTTCTTAGCCCTTAATGTGCTTTCGACTGAAACAAAAGCTTGGTCTGCGGCGTGCATAAACGATATTTTATTTGGCGAATATCAGTGGGCCGGCGATGTGGTCATTCTTTCCGGGATAAATTATGAGAGAGCTAAACTTGAATATCTGCCAAGGATATAAAGAAAACGTTATTATTTTTATGGCATATATTTCCTGCGCTCTTTGTCAAAAACAAAATCTATACAAATAATTGAATTCTAAAATATTTTTTTGTTTTCTGGCATAAACACGGTAAAATACGTACGCTTCCAGCAGGATATTGAAGCATTTGTCAGTCGAGACATCAAAAATGTGAAATTTGTAATAAAATAAGTATGTCGTCTTCACTCTCGTTTCCTTTCGTGGCCGGAATTACGAAACACATTCTATTTTTCGTAAACTCTGTCGGGACAACTAATAAACATGAAAACGCGCTACATCGAGCACTTTTACGCCGTCGACGCTCATAATAAAACCTAGTAATATACGACACTTTAAATGCGAGTATCCAAACGGCGGGAAGTGTCTTACCTATTTTTACGTGCTAACTAAATTTTTTATACAAGGACTACTATGCCGTGGATGGTATTGAAGAGACACTGGTTTGAGAGTTCAATACTTTACGGTGGATATGCAAAAAATAAACCATAAAGAATCATAAAAACATCAAATTTAGATGGAGATGTTAAATTGAAATTGAGTCTTTCAATGGTATGCTTTGTGCACAAGTTTCCACGTCTTTTTTTTTGAAAAACGATCACAAAACTAAAGCTAATTCAGAAATTTTCCACTCGGACCATGATATAATCGAGTTTGCAAACTTTCCAGATTTTACGGGACATAAAACAAGGACTATTACAATTGGGCAAGGAGGGAATCCGCGGCCCTATGACGGCAGGTATGCAATGCACCCACTTTTATTTCTTTTCTCATGTTTGAATTGCCATAACTTTTCACCCCTGACTTTTACTTCCTCCAAAAAAGAAGAATTTTTTTTTATATAAAAAAAAACTACTGAAATATACCTACAATTAAATCCAAATCTCTCAAAATTTGTACAGATGATACATACATGTATGATGAAGACGCGCGGATGCTGGCACCCGGAGCGCACGGTCACGATCGACCGCATTGGTACGACGAACCTCCATACGAAAGTGATCCGGAAGATTTCCTAATGGGGAGCAGTCCTGGCGGGCCCACTGCCACTATACAGAATGGCAGGGTCTGCTTCACATTGAACCTAAGGCAGGAGCCAAAGGGCGAAGGAGTTATTTCACTTCGAAGCGCTGGCGATATCTCTCTGCCAAGGGACACCCCTACATCAGCGGCGGCGTCCCAAAGGGGTGGCACACCCCGCAGGGGGTTGATTTTACCTCAAGCCGGCTATCCACCGACTATTATACCTTTAACTCATTCAAGGTATTATTATACACATATTATAAATATTTTTACCACAATAATTTTGATTATTTCATACTTCAGGGACAGAGAAAGCGGGGATTATGCCGGTTCTGATGTGCAAAGCGTCAGTTCAAGATTATCCACGCTTTCAGTAGATACAAGCCGATCAGAACATCAAGATCCTGCCGCGGTGGTCTCTCCTCAATACTACACTGCATTAGAAGAGAAAATACGCCATTTTCGAAAAACCGGTGGTGGATACACCAGGTCAGAGGATGGTTTATCACCCAGTCAAAGCTCGGACTACGAGGATCAGGAGGACTATAATAATTGTAGTCAACAGATTGCCACAGTACATATGGTACTTTTCTTTCCTTTTTGTATTAATAATATTACTACTTAAATTCTATGAATATATTTTAGTCTGGTGATGGAAGATCAGCGGGTGTCTCCAATTTGGTTGGTAAGGTCCGTGGTCTTCGTGAAGATGTTCAGAGAAAAATCTCTCGCCTCAAGCAGGAATCAGTTGAACAACAACAAAGGCGGGAAGCATTTCCGTGTTCGGCTAGCTCAGTAGAAAGTCTTCCAAGCGGTTCAGGCTCTAGTAAGTTATAATAACAATGTGTCAAGTTGGTTTTTTAATGTGGTAATATTTAGGTACACAAGCTTTGGTCAGAGCCGGTAGTAATCACAGCTCAATATCAGCAGAAGATGCTGAACCGAGTCCTACTGAACCTCACGTCATTGGTAGAGCGAAAGCGTTAGTTGATTGCACTCCTAGTCCTTACGATAAAGAAGCTTTAAGATTTAAGGTGGGTTTGTTGAAAATAATAAATTCACATTATTTCTGTCATTAACCTAAGAATCTTTGCATTTCAGAAGGGTGATATAATTGAGATCCTCTCCATGAATGCGAGTGGCCAATGGAAAGGGATCTGTCATGGCCGCAAGGGTACTTTTAAATTTATAAATGTGGAACTGATGTCCGAGAGAAATATCAAAGTAAGACGGGAACGTGAGCATGGTATAAAATGGCATCGAAATGTGAAAGGGAGGCCTAAGAGTGTGGAAGATCTGTTGGTGAAGATTGGTCTTCAGGAGTACATATCAGTGTTTGTCCTCAATGGCTATGAAGATTTGGAATTGTTCAAGGAAATCGAGCCTTCTGATCTTGACTATCTCGGTATTATCAGTGATGATCATCGGGCCAAAATACTAACAGCCGTTCAACTGCTACATGATCTCGATTGTATGTTGGAGAATGATTGTAATTGAGATTAAAAGTATTGATGATTGGTATATTTTAGCAGGTAGTGAAGGTGATATTGCGGGTTCGAGTAGTGAAGGTGACGAACACACCAGGGCGCCGAATCGAGATCAAAGTGGTAGAGCATGCTCACCCTTTGGCCGGCGGCAATTTCCCCGCGATTCGGGTTGTTACGATGCTCCATTGAATTCGCGCGCTGCCCATCATCACCACCACGCTTCTCCTCATGGGGAGTCTGATGCTAGCGAAAGTGGCGGTTTCTGCGACGGCACCAACAACCTAGATTCCGTCGTGGAGCAATGTAACAATGAGATCCTCGCACGCGTCCGACAAGCGCAGAAGAACGCTTTGAATCTCAAGGAGGACGTCTACCAGCCCAACATCCCCAATCCGGGGATTGGGGGCGAGACCGCCCGACGCGCCAAGGACTCCTACGTGAGTATGCACGGACAAACGACACTAACAGACCCCTGTAGACGCACTCTGTTGACGCGCACAAGTGGTAGGAGGGCAACCAGCGGTGGCGGCAGTGGTGAGGACAGCTGCGAGGCGGACCAACGCTCGCATAGTGTGCGCTACGTCGTCGGGGGCGGCGGCGATGGGGTAGAAGCGGGTGCAGGCGGGCGAGGCTGCCTCAGCGAGAAGTCGAGCGATTCGGGAGTCAGCAGCAGTTCGCTGTCGTCCACCCATCCGAAGGACGGGCCATCCGCCTCTCTTGCTTCTCGCCCCACAGCTCCGCAGAATATCACCGAGAATCCAATCCCACTCCAGCATCCCATCCTTAGTTTTACGACGAATTGTGCCAATACTCGTACGACAACGTCCAATACTGCCAATAAGAATCTCGCTTAACTGTTTATTCTAAATACGCCATACACATTTACACACACTCACACACGAAACGTACTGATCCATGCGCGATACTTATCAATTAAAGAATGCATTTTATATAAAGATTTTGTACATTTTTTTAACATTGTATCGAAACAACAATCTACAACTATTTATGACTTATTTATGAACTTACTTTTAGAAGCTCAAGCCCTTTGTAACGATTGCGACAGGAATCATTCAAATACTCGTTAATCAATTCAATCGATAGAAAGTTACCAAATATCGATCGAGTAACAAGCGATTTTCTGTCCAAGTCGTAAGCATACTTAAATTAATTAACTTAATTAAGAATTGTTTGTACAATGAAACGATGGATTGACCGTTGCAAAGTTTATAATTGTATATAAGAACTCCCGGAAAAGTGATAAGTTTTACCACATAAGTTTTGTGTACATATTTCTCTATCTGTAAATAAAAATTTAGCAAGTTTTTTATCTGAATGTACATACACTTACGAATCATGCAATTATTTATTTCGAGATGAAACGAAAAGACCACTAGTCTTGCTTTAGCTATTAAAATTCATTGTACATATTCGCGTTATACAAAAAACAGAAGCTTATTACATCTAAATTAAATCTAAGAAGCAATTGACGATTTGGCGGACGGAAGTAGAGCGGAAATAATAAGGACGAAATAACAACACATAATCAAATTTAGAACTTTTCTATTATATTGTAATTATCATGTAATTATGATTATTATTATTGACTGGACTAATATTAAATTTTATTATTGAATGAATCTTGTGAGCAAGAATGCAGTGAAGAACGATAGGCATATCACCTATTATTATACATGTTACATGTATTAGGATATGTTACATATACATGTCAGTCAATAAAATAGGAGAATTTATTAAATTAAGTTGTTGTTTTATTTAGCCCTTATTAATTTGCTGGGAAAGTATTTATTTATAAGTTAAAGTTTAAAAATTGCTAAATTGTAAACTTACCAGTGTGTAGTCAAGGTCAATGGTGGTTACTTTTAGTTTAGTACCTTTTAGACAAGTTGGCAGCACTGATATTAAGGCGCCAAAACATAACTCTCAGCATATTCATTTGTTAGAAAGGTTATATGAACGTTTTTCGCGGTTTAAACAAAACAATCAGCAATAATTAGTAACAGTCGTGTTTTAAATCAATAATGAAGTGTTCAATTCCAGAGATTTCCTGGCACAATCGAGAACCGGTGCTTAGTATCGATATTCAACCGTTAAACACCATTAACAATGATTTCTACAGAATGGCAACTGGTGGTAGTGATAATCTAGTTTTGGTAAGTTTTTATTTTATGATCAAGTTACAGTTGTAAGCGATCTTTCATGTTTTAAGATATGGAAGTTAGAAGTTCAGCCGGATTATGAAATAAAAGTCTCAGTGCTTGCTGAACTAACGCGGCATCAACGTTCGGTGAATTGTGTAAAGTGGTCACCAAGTGGAGAGTTGTTAGCTTCTGCAGATGATGATGCAAATATTATTTTATGGCAATTGAGGACTGACAACATTCCATCTTTAGATGAAAGGGAGGATGAGTTTGAAGAGAAATGGAATGCATTGAAAGTACTGCGAGGGCACAAGGAAGATGTGTATGACCTTTGTTGGTCACCCATGGGTGATAAGTTACTCTCTGGCTCTGTGGACAACACTGCCATTCTTTGGGATATTGCAAAAGGACAATCTGAGTTGATTTTAAAGGATCACAAAGGTTTTATTCAAGTATGAATTGACATTATTTGTAAAGATATTATTGATTTGTTGTTTATTTATTCAAATATTGGTAAAGATTTATTGATGCTTATATCATATTAGGGGTTGCTTGGGATTCCAAAAGTAATTACATCACGACATTATGCAGCGACAGAGTATGCCGTGTTTTTGACAAAGACGGCCGACGTTTACGGGCTAGAATTTCTCGTGGTAAACTGCCAGTTGATGAAGACAACGAATTTTATGAGAAAGATGTTAAATACTTTCATGATGACACTTTCAAAACCTACTTTAGAAGATTGAATTTTACTCCAGATGGCAGTTTACTACTTGTGCCATCGGGAGCTGTGGAAACTGAAGAAAAAAAGAACGCGTTCTTTGGAACGTTTGCATTTACTTTAGATGCTTTAAACGAGTAGGAGTCTATTTTCGTTTTTTCTGTCACTTCACTACAACTTATTTTTGTTTTTAGACCTGTATGTGTTTTTCCAAGTGGGAAACAATGCTCTATAGCTGTAAGTTGTTGCCCGACTTTGTTTGAACTCCGGGAAAATGGTCCCAAACCTGTAATTAACCTGCCCTATCGGATGATCATCGCAGTTGCGACTGATAGCGATGTCATTCTATATGATACACAACAAATGACACCTTGTGTGCAATTGCAAAATATTCATTACACCCGTCTCACTGATTTAACATGGTCTATTGATGGTCTGATACTTGCTGCTTCGTCTACCGATGGTTTCATAACACTTGTTTCGTTTGAAGAGGGCGAATTAGGAACTGTGTACGTTACAGAAGAAAGTGATCTCGAAGATTCTGTTTTAAGTACAAGCGGATGTGGATCACTGTTATTAGAGAATGAGACTGAAGCCATACATATGACAAATGGAGATAGTATTAAAGATTCATTTGCGCATATGAAGCATAAGAATGATGAAGAGTTGGGTAAGAAAGATATCGAAAAAGATAAAAGTTTTGAAATTACTGAACAGGTACCGAATATGGAGGTTGACGTGCCTATGACTACAGATACAGTTCATGAAGTTAACGGCGGACAGAAAAAGAAGAGAATTACGCCAATTTTTATTTCTAAGGAGCCAAAGAAAAGGTGCTTATCACCAACACAAGTTCCGATTACTGTGCTTGACAATGCAGAAAACAAAACAAAACGCCGCATTCAACCTGTCAAAATTGCAGACGTGAGCAAAGCAAAAGTAAATGAAGTAAATGATGATGTTTCTCTAAATGTAGACGATAAATTGGGAGATGTTAATATAATTAAACCGCTTTTGAACACGTCAGCAATTCAAACATCTGAAAAGGTCCAGAAAACCAATGAGGAAATTTTAACACCTAGTGCAAAAACGAGGAAAACACCAGTTTCAAAATCTTCGTCAGCCAAAAAGACGAAACAACCTGTATCCGTAAACAACACATTGTTCAACTACTTGAAACCAATCAACAAAACGCCATCTGAGGAAAAAACGACCACAGAAAATGATGACAATCAGAAAACTTGTTTCAAGCCCCAAAAGTTATTTGCAGAAGACCCAGCAGCCGATTCGGGGAAAAAAATTAAAGTTTCCAGTTTATTTAAGGCACCAGCTAAATCTTCTGTTCCAGCACCTGTTCCCGCTGATTTACTACACAATATAAACGATGTTGACACGATTGAAAACGAAACTAAGCAGAGTTTGCAAACAGCAGTAGAAGATAAATTGACTGATGAAGTGGCTTTGAAGGGTGAATCTCGACATCGATCGCCACTTAATACTTTATCGAAACCTCCTCCAAGTTCGACACTTTTGGAAGATACAACGGACATTCCCGATGATTTTGTACTCCAGGTGGAGGAGGTTACCATTAGTGACGACTCAAAAGAAACTATTGAGAAAGAAAATGAAACTGATATAGAAACTCCTGAGCCGATTGAGAAGAAATTAGTTAAGGAAGTGCCGCTGAAAGTTGAGACAAAACGTCGGATTCCGCTCATTACTTTATCAAGTCCGAAAAACAAAAAGAAACCGAGCACTTCTGACTGAATTTTATTTTGAACATGATGTGATAACGTATTTATATATTGCTAGGTCTATTTATCATATTCGAACCATAAGTCCTCTGATAAACTGGGATTTAAAGAAAATTGATTCCAGTAATTTTACTCCTGTTTTGTATTTGTAATCATTTGTTATAAAGCGATTGTTCCATCAGTTTTTACAAATATCACCGTAATGTGATGTGAAATTTCATCATTGTATTAAAGAAAAGAAAATAATTTAGTGCTTCTCAAAGTACTTCTTCTTTTCAATTGGATTTGGAATGATCTGAAACAATCAAATTCGTGGTTTGAAATGTAACAATATTAGTTATGGTGATGATGTACTAACTGTATCTTGGCCAGGTTTCCAACCAGCCGGACAAACTTCGCCATGTTTATCAGTGTATTGGAATGCTTGCACCAATCTTAGAGTTTCATCAACGCTGCGGCCAACAGGCAGATCATTCATTGTTATCTGGCGAAGAGTGCCATGGGGATCAATAATGAACAATCCTCTGCAAATTATCGATTATTAATATTGGTGATATGTGGTCTAATAACTAGTATCAATCATTAATTAATTTGTTTACCTGAGGGAATGACCAACATCATTTAAGAATACGCCATAATCCTGAGAAATTCTGTGCGACAGATCGCTCAATAACGGAATTTGGATTTTCCCCAAACCACCCTCTTTCCTGGGAGTGTTGATCCAAGCTAAATGCGTGAAGTGTGAGTCCACTGAACAAGCAACCACTTCAGTGTTGATTTTTTTAAACTCTGCCACTCGGTCGCTGAATGCGAGGATCTCAGTTGGGCAAACGAATGTACTATAATATTAGTAAATAAATACGCATAACAATTAAAAACGCAGAACAATGGCGGACTTACAAATCTAGTGGATAGAAGAAAAATACCAAGTATTTTCCTAAGTAGTCAGTGGACTTCAGTTGAATGAATTCCCCATTCACTACTGCTGTGCTTTCCCATGCTGGAGCAGGTTTTGAAACTAAAAAATTGTAATATTAATATAGGGCTTAATTTCAGAGCTGGTAACGGTCATATACGACAACAATTATTTAAATCAATTACAGCTATGGGGAAATAGCATTGTTTCAGTATCAACAAACCAATGAAAATGTATGTTAGTACTTACTAACAGCTTTGGTGTATTGCAAAGTGTGTTCAATTTTGCTTTCTGTACCCAGGGGATACACAGAACCACCAGCATATGAATGGCAGGACTCTTCCTCCAAGCCTGTCACGTAAAAAACGTGTAAAACCACGCAGAAATAAACAAACTTCCACATCTTTAAAACTATAAATTCCTTTTCACGTAAGGTTAAATCTACAATAGTTACTAGTCGCTAAACGGACTAAATCTACGTGGCTAGCAAAAATGACTACTCAAATTCAGTCAATTTCCTGTATGTTTTGAAGCATTTAGCGTTATCATACACTCTAGTGATAACGCATCACCGCCTAGGCTTTTGAGGCTAGAATACAACACCGCACGCGATGTACCCAAAAACACCGATCAGCAAGTTAACAAGTATGCCTGCGTTTATGCCTACTTGAAGGTTCAGTTTTGTGCAATTGTAGGAGTAAGGAAACTTGTTGGTCGTACAAGCAGAGGCATCTAGGTTTATGACGCGTTACCATAACAACGCAATATAACTTTTGTGTGTTTTGAATAGCGTATTTGTGATGCGGCAAATCGACAGAGGCCAGCACGCTGGTATGCATCGGCAAGACTCCTTCGCAATGCAAGACGAAAATGAAGAGGACGGCGAAAGTCAGCATCTCAGCGGGAAATCTGAATCGGAGGAAGAGGAGTACGAAAGTTTCTGTAAGTTTGAATTTTCTAAACTGCATTCATGAAACATCATTTGGCCAAATATATTTTCTTATGGAGTCGATATTGATTAAACAACCTAGAGAATAACTGTAGTAACAACAAATATCAACTCAATATTGGAAAAGTAGTGAAGAAATAATAATATATTATGATAATATTACTTTTTCAGTTCTACAACCAGCTTCTTGTCCTTACAATATCAAAGAAAAAATTATTGAAGCTAATACTCAACTTCTACAAGAATCCTTGAACCGAAATAAACAGATTCGAGTTCAATTCCGCACAGATTTAGTAGATTTCGAGCCGGATCTTACTGATGACGACGTTCAAAGTATTGAGAGTTATACTGAGGAAGTAATTAATGTAAATGAAGAACTAAAGTACGTGCTAGATAATAAATTATGCAACATTATTGAAGAAGAGATTATTGAAGAATCTATATTTGAAACAATCATTGAATTAAATCATCAGAAGCAATGTGCGGAGGAAGCTGAAGAAGAAATTAGTTATTCATCTCCTGAAGAAATTGAAGAAATTGAGGAAATTGAAGAAATTGAAGAAATACAAGACGTAAATGAAGATAAAGAGGTGGAGGATTTTGATTGTATAATAGAGGAATGTCCTGAAGTTCCCGCGGAGATTCCTACTCCTTCCGAAATAGAAAAATTGAAGAATTTGTCAAATAGCCAAGAAAGCACTAATACAGAATCGTTTAATTCAAAACGTAGGTCAACAAAAGCAAAAAATAATAAAATCAAAAAGCGTCGAGTACCGCATGAGATCAACTGCAAAAAACATTGCATTGAAGAGTTAGACTCTCGCCTCGATTTGTGCTTAAATAATCTAAAATTAAATGAAAATATTTCGAAACCCATGTGCCCTACACTACGACTACATCGTCAAAAATGTTGTTCAGGTGGATGTAAAATAGAACAAAAGTTGCCGCTGTACACAGGCGTACGCTCAGAGTATGGACTGTCATCAGCGCAAATCGAACGCTTAGCAAAACAAAAAGAAAGCACTAAGCTTAAAGAAGAGAGAGAACGAGAGTTATCGGATGCCTACCGCCGACGAAAGATCCAACAGAACGAAATCATTTTCCGCCAATGGCTAAAAGATATTACAGTGCGTCGAATTGCCGAACGCGCTCGGGAGAAAGAAATCATTAGCAGAACTGACAGTGGTTTTGTCAGAACCAGCAGGAGCAGTAGGAATTACAACTTTAGCAGTGGAGAGAGCACATTACGAATTAGCAGCAAAGAAAGGCAAGAAAAACTTAAGAAGCAGCAAAAACCACGACCGAAAACAGCTAATTGCATAACGAGTTTGCAATTAAGTGTTGGGGAAGAGGGTAAAAGTAGACTCGGGCATAGTAGACGTCGACCACGTCCGCATACGACTTCTTCATCCACCGCACGGATTTACATTGAGGTACCTGCGCAAATGCTCGATCACGGTATAAAGTTGGGGGAGTTGTTTATAAAGCAGTTGGACTTTAGGAATAGTAATTCAAAACATAATGGTAAGAATTTTAATAAGAAGGGAAGTCAGTTACATATGATAACTACAAACAAACCTATAGATACTCCGTAATCTATTAATTTACACAATTCCTAGAAATAAATACGTGTATTACAGCACAATATGATAATTAACGAAATTATACTACTAAATTACTACATTACAGTAACTAATCAGTATATAATTGAAGTAATTATAGGTTTTTAATCATACTAATTTAATCTCTAAACTCCGTTGTGTAAATTTTTGAATTTTGAAGCTTTTAATTCATATCGTATATTGTCAGTTTCTTTTTAGTAACTAATTTAAGGTAGTTGTATATATCATTATTTTTAATATCACAAAAAAGTAGTCGTTTACTAGAGCTCGACAAGATGCATACCCCTTCTACCTTCCAGTTTTTCCGGAAGTGCCCTAAAATGCCCTTCAAAAATGAGAAATTTTATGAAAATTGGAAAACATGGTGTGGAAAACACCCTGTATCTAGTATTACTAACATAATCGATGTAGAATTAACTTATCTGTCAGAATTTAAAAAATTCAACTTTTAACTTCGAACATAAAAAAGAGAAATCTTTTACCTTTTTTTATAACGAAATATTATTTAGCAAATGAACCTATTATTTAAAAAAATAATAGAAATTTTTAATTACTGCTTTCAGATTTTGATAGATAATTTAATTCTTAGTTGACTATTTAAGTAATTAACCATTGACCCTTTAGGCCCTATTTGAATTTTAATGAAAATAAAATGGTTTTTATATGCCAATAGGGCCTTAATCTGTAATTGTGTTACTAGTTTACGATTTAGAGATTAATCGTATTAAAAGTTCCATGCTTAGCACGAGTACAATTCTTCTCATGTTCTGCACTACCACACTGAAAGTATCAGTGTTTACAAAGAAACATGTTTTCTTATCTCGTTCAATTTTTGTGCGATGGCCACGAAAAATGCGACTAAAAGTGCTAAAAACTGACATTTATTAATTTTTGACCATTTCCTTCAAATGTGAATATCTCGTAAACTATATTTATCGATAAGCGTGTGGGCATTCGGTACGAGAATTGTGTTTGTTTTTAACACAATTTACTTTCATATCGCTTCCGCCGGGTGGAATGCAACGCATGAGACTCCCGAGTGTCGTGTTTCAATCACCTCACGCCGCATGCAGCATATTCTAGTTTAGTTTGGATCGCGGGCATCATGCCTATTGCAACTCACACACAAGGTCACGGGTTATCGACGCGCCGGTTTTGCGCATCTCTTGATTTCTTATCGTAATCTCTCGCGTCGTTTCGTGCTCGGCTGCGGCATGCGCTATCGATGGTTTACAGCCAGTTTTGAGCGGGTCGCTAGTTTTTCTTCTGCTTTCGAAATATTCAAAATATTTGATCATCAATCGACTATTTATTTGTAACTACTATAGTATTGTTATTTATTATTCGCGTGTTTTATGTACAAAAGTGGTTGATATTTGATCGCGTTTCGTGTGCATACTTGTCGGTCGCCAAATGAAGCGAATACAAGATGACTCCCATGCAGATTTATTCTTTATTATCCTTGTGTAAGTTAATTTAAACTTAATAACACATATTTTATTTGTTCTATGTTATGTGAATATGTTATTCTTAAACCTTATGAAATGTTTCAACATCTTTTCTTCTAATTACAGCACTTGCTGTGCCTTGGTGACTGATGCGCATAACAATGGGTAAGTTTATAATCCAATTATATTTTTCATTCTAATTTACACGACCAAGGCGATACGTAATGCCTCATTACGTATTTGCACAGCTGCCTGCTGTGCGTGGATAGATATAAGATATATTGTGCTGGAGTAGGACAGAAAAATGGTCACTATCAATGTTTTATATATATATATATATATATATAGAAATATATATATGCGACTAGAAAACTCGTTAAGGGGAATTTCGCATGCAAAATCGCATTAAAAAGTTTCAAAACAATCAGCACAAATCACTAGGATCGTATATATATATATATATATAAAATATAATATATAATATAATATAAATATAAAATATATAATATAAAATATATATATAATCATAAATCATATATATATATATAGGGCTGGTCTGCATGCCGGCGTGGCTGCGGCACAAAATTTCTGCCTCGGGTACCCGATATATACATATATATATGTATTTTATATTTTATATATATTATTATATATATATTTTATATATATATTTAATATTTTATATATATATATGATCCTAGTGATTTGTGCTGATTGTTTTGAAACTTTTTAATGCGATTTTGCATGCGAAATTCCCCTTAACGAGTTTTCTAGTCGCACTCCCTGAGTTGGCCATTCTGCATGCGACCTTGTTTGTTGCAAATAGTGCTCATGTTAACCGGCGTGCGAGCAGGATTATCGCGTTGTTGTGTGCCGTTGCTGCTTGCGTTGCGCCGTGTTCTCACGTTCGCGCGTAGTTTTCTGCCGGTCGGTGGTTAGGCCAGACGTGTTTTTCGCGGCTGTTTATCATTTTATTTTGAGTTTGTAATTTAGTAAATCGCGTTCTTATATTGTCCATCAACTGCATTTAGCTATTACGGGCGTGTTTAGTGTTTTATTACAAAATCGTTAATTTTTGTTGCCGTTCGGTGTGCGTATTGCAAGATGACCGCGTGCTATCAACATGTTTACACTGTACGTACACGAGATACATGTAGCATGCAACGTCTTGCAACGTTTGTTGTGATATTATTTGGACAATGGATTGGAACAATGACAATCTTCTTCGTGAAAGCCGAGAAAGAACGGTACAGTGCAAACATTTTTAAGTTTTAATTCACCCATTCGTGTTTGCCTTGTTCTACAAGTTTTATTCATACAAGTGCAGTTACGTTTTTGTTTAGGCCGAGTTGGATCGATATCTGGTTATTGTTGTGAACATGCTTATCAAACCGTTTCTAGTATTACGGTATTTAAATGTGATTTAACTTTAGTTGGTGGTGAATTCTGCGCCCTATTCTTGGTCTTGATCCAGCGATCTATTAAGGACCGTCGCAAGCGGCGATATACTTTTAGAATGCTATGTGACAATACATATTTTCGCCGATTGTTTTGAAACTTTTTAATGCGATTCCTAGGCGGAATTCTGCTATTGCTAATCAGTATTTGTTTGTGTATAAACAAGTTTTTGAGTCGCATTTATATCATGTTTTACACTTCGCTGAAAAGTTTTATTGCATGTTTTGTCTCTGCCTTATTTTATCATTACTTGCACGAAATGTTCTAACTATCGTGCTCTTCTCTGTTTTAGCAATTACCTTCGAGTTCCGATGCCCGAGTCCCGAGCTAAATTAGAATGCGAATTTGATTCGCCTCGCCGGTCGACTCCCGATTAAAAATAAAATAAATATTGACACCCCTTCCCTTAACAATGTAATTTATTTCACAGATTTTATCATCTTCAACAATACTCCTGAGTGTTGCAACGAGTAAAATACTGGTATGTAGTATGTGTAACTAAGTGTTTGTTTTGTACTTATCCCCACGTGCTGGTAATATGTACGGCTTTTTAATCATTGAACGCGAGCTGGACATCACACAAACTCGGGCGGTGTCTAGAGTTGTAGAAATAAATTCTCCGTCGGTTTGTATTTGTTAGCGGTAGAAGTGACTCAATTCAGGGTACCTTACGAGGCCAGCGGTAAAAGTGTTCTGGGCACCGTATGAACCCTGCGATAATTTGCATGAAAAAATCTCCCTTTCTCGTGAAATGTTTGTATTTTTTCGTGTTTGCGCTTGACCTTACAGACTCAATAATTTCAGCGTGGCGTCTAGAGCTGCGGAATTAAATTCTCCGTCGGGTTGTATTTGTTTGTTGCAGAAATTCGACCTGCAACCGGCAAAAATTTGCATAAAAAGGTGATTTTTGTCACCCTTTCTCGTGAAATGTTTGTATTTTTTCGTATTTGCGCGCGATCTAGGCGGCTCACTATCTTCAGCGTAGCGTCAAGAGATGCGGAATTAAATTCTCCGTCGGGTTTAATTTGTTTGTTGCAGGAATTCGACCGGCAACCGGCAAAAATTTGCATAAAATAGTGATTTTTGTCACCCTTTCTCGTGAAATGTTTGTATTTTTTCGTGTTTGCGCGCGATCTAGGCGGCTCACTATCTTCAGCGTAGCGTCAAGAGATGCGGAATTAAATTCTCCGTCGGGTTGTATTTGTTCGTTGCAGGAATTCTACCTGCAACCGGCAAAAATTTGCATAAAAGGGTGATTTTTGTCACCCTTTCTTGTGAAATGTTTGTATTTTTCGTTTCGCTGATGCGATCTAGGCGGCTCACTATCTTCAGCGTGGCGTCAAGGGTCTGCGGAATTAAATTCTCCGTCAGCGTTTGTTTGTTGCGGAATCCGATCTACAACCGGCGAAATTTTGCACATAAAAGGTGATTTTGTCACCCTTTCTCGTGAAATGTTGTATTTTTTCGTGTTTGCGCGCGATCTGGGCAACCACTATTTTTCGGCGTGGCGTCAAAGGATGCAATTAAAATCTCCGTCGGGTTGGCCATTTGTTTTGTTGCGGAATTCGACCTGTTCGGAGGACTAATTTGTCACTTGTTTTAGGGATTTTACTTTTCCCTGGAGTCTGACATCGTAGAAGGACAATTCTTGCATCAGATTATGAGAGTATTTAATTTTCCATCATTTTCTAATTAACTCTTGTGATTATCTCACAAATTAACCATAAGAGCCATTTTATGTTCGAAAGACTAATTTTTGCTTGTTTTAGGGATTTTGCCCTTGAGTTTGACATCGTAGAAGGACCATTCTTTGCATCAGATTGTAAGTATTTAATTTCTTTATCATTTTTCCTAATTAACTCTTGTGATTATCTCACAAATTAACCCTTAAAATTGCATTTTTATGTTCGAAAGACTAGCTAATTTTTGCTTGTTTGGGGATTTTTTGCCCTGAGTCTGACATCGTAGAAGGACCGTCTTGCATCAGATTGTAAGTATTTAATTTCTTTATCATTTTCCTAATTAACTCTTGTAGTTATCTCACAAATTAACCCTTAAAATTGCATTTTTATGTTCGAAAGACTAATTTTTGCTTGTTTTAGGGATTTTTGCATCTGTGAGTCTAGGCTCGTAGAAGAACCATTCTTACATCGAGTTTGTAGGTATTTAATTTCTTTATCATTTTTCCTAATTAACTTTTTGTGATTATCTCACAAAATTGACCCCAAAATTGCATTTTATGTTCGAAGGACTGATTTTTATGGTTTTGAGGTTGCATCTAGGTCTGATGTCGTAGAAGAACCATTCTTGCATCCAGTTTGTAGAGAGTATTTAATTTCTTTATCATTTCTGATTAACTCTTGTGAATATTTCACAAATTAGCCTTTAAAATTGCATTTTTATGTTCGAAAGACTAATTTTTGCTTGTTTTTAGGGATTTTGCACCTGAGTCTGACATCGTAGAAGGACCATTCTTGCATCAGATTGTAAGTATTTAGCGAATTTCTTTATGTTGCCTAAATAACTTTGGTAATTATCTCACAAATTGACCCCAAATTGCATTTTTTATGTTCGAAAGGCTTGATTTTTATGGTTTAGGGATTTTGCATCTGAGTCCTGAGGTAATGCGTAGAAAGAACCATTTCTTGCATCCCATTTTGTAAGTATTTAATTTCTTTATCATTTGCCCTATCATATCAATATCTAAATATCATCATATGTTTCGAGAGGCTTGATTTTTATGGTTTAGGGATTTTTTGCATCTGAGTCTGATGTCGTAGAAGAACCATTCTTGCATCAATTTTGTAAGTATTTAATTTCTTTATCATTTTTCCTAATTTAACTCTTGTGAATATTTCACAAATTAACCTTTAAAATTGCATTTTATGTTCGAAGACTAATTTTTTGCTTGTTTTAGGGATTTTTGCATGAGTCCCAATCGTAGGAAAGGACCAATCTTGCATCAGATTGTAAGTATTTAATTTTCTTTATCATTTTCCTAATTAACTTTTTGTGATTATCTCTGGAAATTGACCCCCAAAATTGCATTTTTGTATGTTCGAAGGACTGATTTTTTTATGGTTTTGAGGATTTTTGCATCTGAGTCTGATATCGTAGAAGAACCATTCTTGCATCAGTTTGTAGAGTATTTAATTTCTTTATCATTTGCCTAAATAACTTTTGTATTATCTCACAAATTGACCCCAAGAATTGCATTTTATGTTCGAAGGCTTGATTTTTATGGTTTTGGGGATTTTGCATCTGAGTCTGGTGTCGTAGAAGAACCATTCTTGCATCAGTTTGCTTGTAAGTATTTAATTTCTTTATCATTTTCCTAATTAACTCTTGTGAATATTTCACAAATTAACCTTTAAAATTGCATTTTATGTTCGAAAGACTAATTTTTGCTTGTTTTAGGGATTTTTGCACCTGAGTTTGACATCGTAGAAGCACCATTCTTGCATCAGATTGTAAGTATTTAATTTCTTTATCATTTTTCTAATTAACTCTTGTGATTATCACAAATTAACCCATAAGAGTGCATTTTATGTTCAACAGACTAATTTTTGCTTGTTTTAGGGATTTTGCACCTGAGTCTGACATCGTAGAAGGACCATTCTTGCATCAGATTAAATTTCATTATCTTAAATAACTTATGTGATTATTACACAAATTGACTCCCAAAATGTATGCTTGTGTGTTTTCTTTAATAAAAAGGAATATTTTTTAAGTTTTCCTAATTATAATTATTTCTCTTATTTCTACCCGATCACTTATTTAACGATTCCTTAAACCATTTATTTTGAAAAGTGCATGCTAGTGCCATCTATCAATTAGAAACTACAACAACCAAAAGTTTTGAGCTTCGGTCCGTCGCCACCAGAGGCAGCACATTTTTGATTTACTTGCGAAAACTTTTATCTAGCCTCCTCAACTTTCTGCGATCCTAATATTCCATCTTTACATTTTGTCGACTTTGAGAGGCAAAATGATGACACAAAATTGGACTCAGAAACGAATTCAGAAACTCAGGTTTTGGTATTCGGATCGCAAGAAGGGTGAGGGAGGTAGATGCATAAAGAAGCGGTAAATAGTAATGGCGGGAAGAAAGAAGAATATTGTTTGAAATCTATTCAGCATATTCGGTTTTCAAAATTCTGAAGGATCTCGACAGCTAAAAGGGGCTAGAAAATTAAGAACTACATAATTTTGATCCTTGAAAAATTCTCTACAAAGGTGGCATCATTGTGAAAAATCATCAAAATAGCACAAATTTTTAAAGAAAGATTTTGTTATAAAAAGGTAAAAGATTTCTCTTTTTATGATGAAAATTAAAAGAAATTAGAATTTGGCGTTAACTGCCTGTAATACACTTTCTGCGTTCTAATACGACAGACAAGATGAGCGAAAGCAACATTTCCAGCAAATTTCTCGACAAATTTTTGTCGAAATCCGTGAGTGGTGACAAAATTCTTTTGAATATTAGGATCGCAGAAGAAGTTGAGGAAGGCAAAATCTCAGCAATCTTGAATGGCGGGTAGTTTAGTTACTCGTGGATAGATGACACTACTGATACCGTTTTAAATAAATATTGATACAATATAAAAATTGATTTTGAACTATTTTTCCATATCTAGCAGTGACATTTCCATTAAAGTTTAAAGGGATTTATGGAATTAATTAAAGGAGTAACGGTGTTGCGGTTATGTTTCCCATTTGGAACAAATAAAACAATCAAAATTTATAGTTAAAAATATAAAACAACAATTTTATTGAAGCATGACACACCACAAATTCAATTTCTCAATATATACAGCGTTTTTAACAATACAAGCAAGAAAATAGAATAATAATATGCAATTATATAATATTCTTTTTATAACTTTAACAAAATAAGCAAAAATTATATCAATAACAGCTTCAAAATGTTGTAAATTCATTCAATCGTATTTGGAATCATCGCCGGCAATCCAATCTTTAATTTCTTGGGCACTATAAAACAGAATGATAACAGATTGGTAAAATATAAAAATATTATTTCCAAATATAACATACGTTCTTGGAACTTCAGTCCAGTTGACGCATCCATCTTCAGTAATCAATAAATTATCCCTCAAAAACGCACTCCACCAGGTACGGAATCTCTCAGTTGGTCCTTATTGATAAGCGGCTATCTCAGGATTGGCAGTAACATCAACAACTGGAAAATATTTATGAAAATGAAATATATACATATACATAAATTGGTGTTATGCTAAAAACTACAATATCAAGCGCAACGAGTACTGAATTGCATATACACTACAACTATCAATATAACTCGCTTTGCGAATTTTTCTAGCAATAACTTTTCAATACAGGAGATAAAGGATTTAATTCTCTGCATCTAGCAAAATTATTTCGAACTAATTGTGATACCGCGTTTCGCATGTTATGCTAAAAACGACAATTCCTAACACAACGGAGTGCAAGTGCGTATACACAACTGACAATATAACTCGCGTTACGGAATTTTCTTAATAACTTTTTTAATACAGGGAGATAAAAGAGATTATATTCTGCATCCTAGCAAAATTATTTCGAACTAATTGTGATACCCGCGTTCGCCGTGTTACATACTAAAAACGACAAGAGATTCCTTTTAGCTTGAGTACAAGTGCGTATACACACAACTATCAATATAACTCGCGTTACAGGAATTTTTCTAGCAATATTTTTTCAATGCCAGGAGATAAAAGGATTTAAAGATTCTGCATCTAGCAAAATTATTTCTAACTAATTGTGATACCGCGTTCGCGTGTTATGCTAAAAACGACAATTCCTAGCACAACGAGAGTGCAAGTGCGTATACACTGGCAGCAATATAACTCGCGTTACGGAATTTCATAACTTTTTAATACAGGGAGATAAAAGAATTATATTCTGCATCACAGCAAAATTATTTCAGAACTAATTGTGATACCGCGTTCGCGTGTTATGCTAAAAACGGCAATTCTAGCACAACGAGTACAAGTGCGTATACACACAACTATCAATATAACTCGCGTTACGGAATTTTCTGGCAATATTTTTTCAATACCGGGGAGATAAAGTTTGAATTCATCTAGCAAAATTATTTCGAACTAATTGTGATACAGATTCGCGTGTTACATGCTAAAAACTACAATTCCTAACACAACACTTTGAGTTCTAGTGGGTATGCACAACTGACAATATAACTCGCGTTACGCAATTTTTCACAGCAATTTTTTTTCAATACAGGAGATAAAGGATTTAATTCTGCATCTAGCAAAAATTATTTCGAACTAATTGTGATACCGTTCGCGTGTTATGCTAAAAAACGCTACAATTCAGCACAACGAATACTAGTGCGTATACACAACTATCAATATATCGCGTTACGAAATTTTCTAGCAATAACTTTTAATACAGGGAGATGAAGAATTAAATTTTTGCATCCTAGTAAAATTATTTTCAAACTAATTATGACACCACGTTTCCCGTATTATAACAATATAACCCTACAATTCAAGCGCAACAGAGTACTAGTGCGTATATACACAACATTCAATATAAGTCGCGTTACGGAATTTTTCTGTATATACTTAAATACAGAGAGATGCAGAATTAAATTCTGCATCTTTACAAGTATTCAAACTAATTATGACACCGCGTTCCCGTGTTATAACAATATAACCACAATTCCTAGCGCAACGGTACAAGTGCGTATACACACAACATTCAAAATAACTCGCGAGACGGAGATTTTCTGGTATTATATTTAAATACTGGGGAACGCACAATTAAAATTCACCATCTTACAAAATTTTTCAAACTATTTGTGACACCGCGTGCGCGTGTTATAACAAAACTACAATTCCTAGCGCAAGGGGTGACCAAAATCACCCTTTCATTCAAATTTTGGCGGGTTCCTACACGATTGCCCTGAACACGAGTCACTTTTACCGCTAGCCTCGTAAAGGTGCCCTGAATCGAATCTTCTACCGCTCACAAATACCACCCGGCGGAGATTTTAATTCTGCCATTTTTGACGCCCCGCTAAAAGTTACTAGGTCGCAGAGTTCGCATAGAATAACGAAAATATACAAAAATGTACCTATACTGACAATCAGAAGTATCAAACATACATACATACTGTACATATTCTAAGTACATACAAAATATGATGAGACTTACCAGGGTGCAAATCTTAGAATGAGAATCGTAGAACAAGTATTGAAGCCAAGTAGGAAACATATCAAGAGAATGGATTTGTATTAAAACCAAGATTGTTCGCAGAATCGACACTACAAAACTCGAAATTTGGAAAATGGTTGAACTGTACTGAAGTGAAATTCCCGATCAGTAAAATTGCGGTAAGAACAAATCAAAATAATTCAATGAAATATTTGAAATCTAAAGAGAATAGAAATACTAACGCCGATAAATAAGTAGAAAGTCAAACAATTATCGTGTGGTAAAGTTGTAGGGCGCGGTAAATATATTTTATCTGTTTTATTTCGGCCATAAAAACAGGCCTAGCATCTCACATCAGTCCGGGAGAGCAAACCGAAATGTCAATAAATTCATATGGGGGCATTCCAGTGTAAACATTAAACATCGGTAAGAATAAGCATTTACCAGGCGGGCAATGTATTAAATTCATATTAATTCAAACCGGAATGAGCAATTACAATGACGCGAAACTGAACTATGCCCATGAAATGAAGAATTTAATTATAATCTCACCATGAACTCTCACCACTGTGTGTATTGTAACTCATGGAACGTCACTGGCCCTCACTGGTATTTCTTCAATTACTATAATAAATAAATAAAAGTTAAAACATGTTATATAAATGCAAAATAAAAGAATGTTAAAAAAATCGTTCCATTCCACACGGCGAACGAGATAAGAACACACTGGTGTAAACAAACACCGATAAGCGTCAATAGTCAGAAGATTGAACACAATGCTAGCTGGCAATATCGGCACAAGTAAGAAAGGCTTAGATTTTAATTTGAATTTAATAAAAGATGCACACGTTTATATGAATTTACTATATTAGCCAATTAGGTTTTAAGACCGTATTGTTTGCAACTTGGAGCTGTAGAGATACCGGCGGCGGCCGCCGGAAGCGTTGAAAGGCGAACACATTCACGGCTTGAGCACGACGTTATATATCGGATACTGACGGGCACGCTTAGGGCCGAAAAACTAAATCAATTACATTTTATCGTAACTTTAAATGAGTCAGTATTTATTTACGCGAGGCAGAATGGAAATAAATATAGCAATTCCTACCAATTGGAAGATGGCCGACGGCACTTCACAACAGGTAAACAACATAGCCGCGATACACTTGCGCGCAAATAATAAATAACAATACTAAAGTTGTACTAAAAGTCAAGTTACAATTAATTGGTCAATTGATGATTGAATATAATTCAATTGGAAAGTAGAAAGTCGGATAAACAATACGAGTCGCGCAAAATACGTCTGGATCAACCAACGACCGGCACAAAACTGGCCGCAAAGCTGCATAAGTAACGACGAGGCCGGTTTATGATAAGAAACAAGAGAGTGCGCGCAAGCCCGGCGGATTGATCGCACGCGACCTTGTGCGTCGGTGCAATAGATGCGCGCAAACTCGGCGGCGTCTGGAACTATGACCTTATGCGCGAATTGCATTTGGCAGTTTACCTGGCGATTAAAACTAAACTAAGATGCAGCAACATGCGGCGTGAGGTGCTGTAGCGACGACACACGGCAATGCGATAAGAAGTGTATATTGTGTTCCAACAAACACAATGCTTTACTTTACAATTTTCAGTCCATGCTATTGCCATCTATAAATGATACAGTAGTTTCGAAATTTAGATTATTAAAGATAATAAAAAAATACAATTCGATTTGCGTAATTCTGATTTCTTATGCTGACAGATTGCCCGATTTTAAATCAAATATTTAAGAGATATTTAATTTGAACGGCCATCGTTTTTCCTTTACCAGGAACACGTAGTCCACTTACAGATAATAAAAATGTATTAGAATTAAAATAAAATTGCTAGTTAGATTCATGAATAAATTGAAGAATATTTGCTTAAAATTACGATCCTAATAAATATAATAAACAGTAACGGTGTGTTTTGATTCCACGAAATAAAGATTCGATACCTGCAGGTAAACAAACTTATCCCTTAGCGAAATCGCGTGATCACACGGACACGGTGTGTGCACTCCTACCACCAACAAGCAATATTTAATGCAAAACCATTACATCATAGCGCCATCAACCTTTGAAAATATTTATCAACTTCAACTCTATCAGATAAAGATATAAAATAATTATATTTCTACAGTAAAAGGTCGAAAAAGCGACTAAAAGTGCTAAAGTGACATTTTGCAATTTTTGCCCATTTTATTCAATCCCGCGAATATCTCGTAAACTAAAGAGATAAATAAAAGATCTGATCGCAGCGTCGCCAATCTACCGGACCAATCTCTATCAGATACGGATAGTTAAAGCCGAAATCTGAGATAGAAATTTTACATCTTAAGAAAAATTGCCAAGGGGGTGCTTGATACTTTTTCGGCGATTTCAAAATTCATATCTCTTAAACTAAAAGAGATAGCTACCCAACGAATTGTTGATTATATGAAAGATTGGAAGATTTTCTATCAGATAAAAATATAAAATAATTATATTTCCTATAAAAGTAAAAAGGTCGAAAAATGCGACTAAAGTGCTAAAAGTGACATTTATCAATTTTGCCCATTTATTCAATCACTTGAATATCTCGTAAACTAAAAGAGATAAATAAGATCTGATCACAGCGTCTTAATCTACGGACCAATCTCTATCAGATAGGATAGTTGAAACCGAAATCTGAGAGATGAAATTTACATCTTAAAGAAAGAAAGAAATTTGCCAAGGGGAGGTGCTTGATACTTTTTTTCGACGATTTTCAAAATTCATATCTCTTAAACTAAAGATAGCTACCAACGAATGGTTGATTATGAAAGATAGGAAAATTCTGTATTAGATAAAAATATAAAATAATTATATTACCTACAGTGAAAGGTCGAAAAACGCAACTAATAGTGATAAAAAGTGACATTTATCAATTTTTGCCCATTTTATACTATCGCGAATGTCTCGTAAACTAAAAGCGATAAATAGGTACAAATCGCAGAGACTATTCTTTGAACTATTCTATATAAAATTAAAATAATTCAATTTAATGGGGTAAAATACGACGCTATACCGACGATTGCACGTGCATATGTTGGCGCATAAAGATACAAGACAGCCTGTTTGGTGTCAGGTGTACTCACTACTTATGGCGTTGATATTATAATACAATCTTGAGTCCAAACCGCTGGTAGGATGCTTGCAGTCCGTTGAGGCCCCGTCCAAACCCCCATGGAATTGGAATTATTTTTAACGCGCCCTTTGATAGTGCAATACGGATTACGCGAAACTTTCGGATTTTTAATCGCGTCCCGCACTCGATTTGTCGAATATTCGGATACATTTTTATAAACACTTTTCCTAACAGGTGAAAGGGGACAAGGCACGACCCTCCTTCGGTAGCTAATTGAACACGATTCAATATAATGGTTAAATCAAACGCGTCGCGACCCGCACTCGATGAGTATTTCGTTACACCTCTCCAGGTCTCTCGCGAATATCGTTTATCACTTATACCCGTGAATCGAAAGTACGATGGTAGATATTCGGAACTATTTTTTTTAAGAATAGAATAAATAAATGATAAAGTAATCTAAATTGGCAAGGATTTTTTTAAATTATGAAAAATAAGAATATTAAAAGAATTAGAAAATAATAAAGTAATAAAAATATTAAGAGGTAGTTACTTAAAACATGAAGGTGTGAAATATTAGTAGACACAAAAAGTACATAAACCGAAAACGAACGCGCCCGAATTACAAAAATGCCCCAATATATCGAATATGTACCTGAAAGACAAGCAGAAAGAACAATTAGTAACAGAAATTTTAAAAATTATTAGAGACATTGAATAAACGTTACAGCAATGTTCGAACCTTTTTCCATTCTTGGGAAAGTAAGACTAATTCTGGACATCTTGTGGGTGACCTTGAAATGTCATCTAGAAACAGCAGAAAATTTTAAGTAAAAAGAGAAATAATAGCAACTGCAGTTATTTTTTTAATATACATGCCTGCGATGGAAAACAGGAACGTTTTCAAGAAGTGGATTGAGAAACCGATCGTAATGCACCATCAACAACGTCGCACGCAATAAACAGAAAATAAAACAGAATTAAAATATAACAAAATACTAAAGAATAAGTAAATGATAAATGTAAGGCTAGAAAATAAAAATAAGTGTGCGTTATCAGCAGTGCCGAATGGAGTTGGAATGTTGGAATGTTAAATTCAAAACAACAACATGGCGTCTCTTTGTGTTAGCAGTGCTGCACAATTGGCACTCTACAAGTTACCGTTTGAAACATGTGAAAAGCAAACAAACAGCTGATAACTTCGCCGCGTACACTTCGAGAAGGTGAAACTGCGGTCACCCCATACCACATGTCGATTGCACAATAAAATTACATCCGAATATTCCAATTAGACGCATTGCAAGTACATGATTTGATTTATGTGATGATGCAACTTGGTGGTTACGAACGTGAAAACGACGTTTGAATAGCGGCCATATTACAAATACGCGTCTAACGCCGCATAAAACAATGCAGCGTGCAAATTTTACGAATTACAGATTTAATCAAAATGCGAAATGAAAATAATGCAAGAAACTTACTTGTGAGTGCCTCGAGGAATGTTTTTCACTTGGTAGCAACACTTTTTTACTGATTTAATAAATTATTGACAATGTTATTAGCGGAGGTGTAACTGCAGACAATGTCGCGCACTGAATGATGATGCTGAGCGTGCGTTGCGCGTTAACTTGTTTCGCTGCGCCGCTTCCTGCGCCGGACTTGCGCACAAAAAGTTCGGCGTTGAGGTGATGTTGATAAACCCGAAAACAAAAACATGCAAACAACGCACGAATTCTATATTACTTTAAGATCGCATATTGCATGACATGATTGCATTCGAAGATCACTTGGAATGTTAAGAGATAGTGTGAGTTGTTATTTTATTCTGCGCGACTTCCGACGTCTCACCCCGCAACCCGAAATGAAACATACAACTCAACTTATTACAAATGCCTGCAGCTCGCATCCTCGCAAAGGTATAAAAGCCGCAGGTATAAAAGGGGTGCACGCAGAGGGCCAAGTGCTCAGTCGTGCCTGCAGTCGTTCAGCAGTCCTGTCGCAGCTCCCTAGGGTCCAGTCTCCTACCTATCTCTCTCTCTTTGGGTCTTTGCTTAACGCGGCGCTATACCGACGATAGTATGCACGTGCATTTATGGCGCATAAAGATACAAGACAGCCAGTTTGGTGTCAGGTGTACTCACTACTTAAGGCGTTGATATTTTAATACAATCTTGAGTCCAAACCGCTGGTAGGATGCTTGAAGTCCGTTGAGGCCCCGTACAAACCTTCATGGAAGTGGAATTGTTTTTATCGCGCATTATAATAGAGCAATACGGATTACGCAATACTTTCCGATTTTTAATCGCGTCCCGCACTCGATTTGGCGCATATTCGGATAAATATTTATAAACACCGCGTACTTTCCCTAACAGGTGAAAGGGGACAAGGCACGACCCTCCTTCGGTAGCTAATTTATCGCGATTCAACAAAATTGTTAATTCAAAACGCGGCCGCAACCTGCACTCCCCGATAAGTATTTCGTTACACCTCCAGGTCCCTCGCGAATAACGTTTATCACTTATACCCCGTGAACTCAAACGAAGATTAAAAATACTTGGGGTAAGTGATGATTTGCAGATATTCGAACAATTTTTTAAGAATAAAACAAACAAATAAATTAATCTAAATTGGCAAGGATTTTAAATTGCGAAAAGAATATTAAGAATAAAAACAATGCTCAATGATATTGTGCTCGTTAAACATGAAGGAGTGGAATATTAGTAAACACAAAAAGTACATAAACCGATAACGAACGCGCCCGAATTACAAAAATGCCCAAATAAATCGACGCTTTCAATTCAATCGCGAATAGCTCGTAAACTAAATGAGGAAAGATAAATAGGTACAAATCGCAGAAACTATTCTACGGACTATTCCTCTATAAGTGATTAAAATAATTCAATTTAATGGTAAATACGACGCTGGCACGCACGATTACATGCATATGTTGGCGCATATAAAAATATACGCGACAGTCAGGTGTACTACCACTTATGGCGGCGCTGATATTAAAATACAATCTTATCCAAAACCCGCCGGTAGGATGCCTGGCAGTCCGCTGAGGCCCCGCAAAACCCTCATGGAATTGAATTATTTTTAACGCGCACTTTAATAGTGCAATACGGATTACGCGATACTTTCGGATTTTTAATCGCGTCCCGCACTCGATTTGTCGAATATTCGGATACATTTTTTGTAAACACTGCGTACTTTCCCTAACAGGTGAAAGGGGACAAGGCACGACCCTCCTTCGATAACGATGCAATAAAATGGTTAAATCAAAACGCGTCGCGACCCGCACTCGATGAGTATTTCGTTACACCTCTCCAGGTCTCTCGCGAATATCGTTTATCACTTATACCTGTGAATCGAAACAAAGATTAAAAATACTGGGTAGGGATGATTTGGTAGATATTCGGAACTAAAAATTTTTTAAAGAATAAAATAAATAAATGATAAATTAATCAAAATTGGCAAGGATTTTTTTAAATTATGAAAAATAAGAATATTAAAAGGATTGAAAAACAATAAAGTAATAATGATATTAAGAGGTAGTTACTTAAAACATGAAGGTGTGGAATATTAGTAGACACAAAAAGTACATAAACCGAAAACGAACGCGCCCGAATTACAAAAATGCCCCAATATATCGAATATGTACCTGAAAGACAAGCAGAAAGAACAATTAGTAACAGAAAATTTAAAAATTATTAGAGACATTGGATAAACGTAAACTTACAGCGATTTACAGCAATGTTCAAACCTTTTTCCAATCTTGGGAAAGTAAGACTAATCCGGGACGTCAGGTGGGTGACCTTGAAAGGTCATCTAGAAACAGCAGAAAATTTTAAGTACAAAAAGAAATAACAGTAAGTACAATTATTTTTTTTAATATACATGTCTGCAATTGAAAACAGGAACGTTTTCAAGAAGTGGATTGAAAGCCCGATCGTAATGCACCATCAACAACGTCGCACGCAATAAACAGAAAATAAAACAGAATTAAAATATAACAAAATACTAAAGTATAGTATAATAGTAAATACTAAAGTAAGTAATAAGTAAATGATATATGTAACGTTAGAAAATAAAAATAAGAGTGCGTTATCAGCAGTGCTGAATAGTGTTGGAATGTTGGAATGTTAAAATCAAAACAACAACATGGCGTCTCTTTGTGTTAGCAGTGCTGCACAATTGGCACTCTACTACCGCAAAGTTACCGTTTGAAACATGTGAAAAGCAAACAAACAGCTGATAACTTCGCCGCGTACACTTCGAGAAGGTGAAACTGCGATCACCCCATACCACATGTCGATTGCACAATAAAATTACATCCGAATATTTCAATTAGACGCATTGCAAGTACATGATTTGATTTACGTGATGACGCAACTTGGTGGTTGCGAACGTGAAAACGACGTTTGAATCGCGGCCACACTGCAAACACGCGTCTAACGCCGCATAAAACAATGCAGCGTGCAAATTTTACGAATTACTGATTTAATCAAAATACGAAATGAAAATAATGCAAGAAACTTACTTGTGAGTGCCTCGAGGAATGTTTTTCAATTGGTAGCAACACTTTTTTACTGATTTAATAAATTATTGGCATTTTTATTAGCGCAGGTGTAACTGCAGACAATGTCGCGCACTGAATGATGATGCTGACTGTGCGTTGCGCGTTAACTTGTTTCCCTGCGCTGCTTGCTTCCTGCACCGGACTTGCGCACAAAAAGTTCGGCGTTGAGGTGATGTTGATAAACCCGAAAACAAAAACATGCAAATAACGCACGAATTCTATATTACTTTAAGATCGCATATTGCATGACATGATTGCATTCGAAGATCACTTGGAATGTTAAGAGATAGTGTGAGTTGTTATTTTATTCGGCGCAAATACCGCCGTCTCACCCCGCAACCCGAAGTGCGCATAAGACGAACGGGTAGTATCAGTGTGATAGAACGCCTGAAAACAGACAAATAAATGAAATTGAATGTTTATTTTGATTTACTTGAAATATTAAATAGGACTAATATTATAAATGCGTATGTCCTGAAGTTTATCGTGCTTTCACGCAAAAACTACTTAACAGATCATCATGAAAATTTGTACACATATTCTTAGTGGTCCCCGATAGGTTATAGGCTACTTTTTATTTAATAAAAATAATTATTTTTTAAATTAAAATAAAGAAATTGTTTAGTCACTAACACCTCTGCATCTGGTTATTTGACTACTTTAACGCCATCTAGCATTCCAGCAATGAAGCTCACACCTAAGTACTATAGTACCATCACACTGTATTACCGACAGCTACGTCAACATCAAATCCGTACACATATTCTTAGTGGTCCCCGATGGTCCCGGAATGGTTATAGGCTACTTTTTTATTTAATAAAAAAAATTTTTTTAAATAAAATAAAGAAATAGTTTAGCCAATAATACCTCTGCATCTGGCTAATTGACTACTTTAACGCCATCTAGCATTCCATCTAAAATTTAAAACTTTATTGCATGTAGTAATTTTTTCACATAGATAATCCTTGCCAAGCAGTGAAATATACATTCTTTCTATCAATCCGTTTCAACTATGTATAATGATTTCTAATATTTATTTGATGGATTCAACGCGAGCGAAGCCGCGGGATAAAGCTAGTATTAAATATAAATACTTGTTATTTAAGATCGCATATTGCATGACATGATTGTATTCGAAGATCACTTGGAATGTTAAAAAGTGTGACTTCCGACGTCTCACCCCGCAGCCCGAAGTGCGCATAAGACGATCGGGTAGTATCAGTGTGATAGAACGCCTGAAAACAGACAAATAAAGAAAGGAATGGATGGAATACTTAATTAATAATACTGAATTATTGTCGCAACTATCCTAAAATATTTAAAAAAATTTGAAAAATAAAATATTGACACTCAGAACTTGTGGTGATATACCTCAGCGAAGCAAACACGCTCGCGACAGTTCATGATAAGACTACCTGCTGCCCGAATGCGCAAAGCCGGCGCAAGGATGGCCCGTGCAAATTGCAATAGATACATGCGAACTAAACTAAACTAAACTAAAAAAGCAGAGCGAGGCGTGAAAGGATGGCAACGACAACACACGGCAATCTTGTGTCGTGTCGAATGCTCACGTTTGCTGATAAATATCTAAATAAACAAAACAAGTCTATTTTAATGATTTTTAGTACATGCTAAGGCCATCTATAATTGATACACGTACTAGGCCCATAATTTTAATTAAGTAATAAAATAATGATAAATTAAAATTCGATTTATGTAATTTTAAATTCTTATGATGAAAGATTATCCGTTTTTTACATTAAATATTTAAGTGCTATATAAATGTTATTAAGATGAGATGATGAGGAATATGTTTTATTGAATCTTCACCAAATAATATTCAACAACATTGCAATACAAATAAACGTATAACTAAACTGAAATCTAAGTACACGGCAAACAGTTTCTATAAATAATGAAATTATTTTACTTACCGGTTATGGAAGACGGTATGTAGATCGACGGCAAGTTGGCGAATGCTGAAATAAATGAGAAACAACACATTAGCTACAGCATTTCGTGCTATGTTTAAATGAATCTGCGTTCCGTCGGAACCCAAACTTTGAATTAAAATTCTTGTTATTCGCATAATAATCATAGGAATGACAATATTTACCTGGTAGCACATTGATTCATGCTCCTCTGTTGATGACAAATATGTTTTTCACAAGTCAATTGATTATTAGCGTTTATAGCGTTGATATTTTCATCGGCCGTGGCCCGACGGCAACGGACTCACGTACACATCAATAAATTAAACACGCAAAATTTACAATTACGAAGATTACACACGCGATAAATAGCTGATAAAAGCTCAAACAAGTTTAATAACACTAATTATCACCGGCGATCAGGAAATATAACACGATTTACCGAATTTACATCAAAGAATAACACAAGTCGAAAGTGTGGAATGTGCGCTCGTCGTTATCGCACCGTTGAAACAAAACAAAATCCTCTCGCTGGAATATTTCCAGGTGAACCTACATCGTTACGCCATCTGAAAACACTTTACAGTACCTCACAAAACAACAAAGTGTTTCAAACAGTTTGGAGCGCATATGTGTCAGTGCGAAATTGCCTATGAGGCAGTGAGTGGTCACGCACTTAAATCGCAGCGTACGTGTGAGACACGTACAAGAAAGTGCGTATGCATCACCCTGTCTAAATGACTAGCAACAAACAAACGCAACCCTACGGAGAATTTAATTCCGTATCTTCTGACGCCGCGCTGAAGTTAATGAGACGCCAAGGTCGCGTGCAAACCCGAAAATATACTAACAAACACAATGCCGAGTGAAGATTGTTATCAAATTGACTATCACTATTACTATAGTCGCAAAGTACAAAAAATAGTCGATTGAACTTCGAGTATTACACAAATTTATGATACTTTTTTCCGCCAATTTTTGATAATTAATATCTCGTAAACTAAAAGCTATAGTAACCAACGAATCGCTGATTATGAAAGTTTAGGCAATTCTCTATCAGATAAAAATATAAAATAATTATATTTCCTACAAAAGGTCAAAAAACGCGACTAAAAGCTTTGGCATAGGTACGACATTGGGTTTCGACACATTTTTTTAAATTAATGTTTTACAAGAATATGAACATTTCTGATAAATTATTTTCAGACGAAGTAAATCTATATTTACTAAAGCAGGTGTGTGTGTCGAAAAACTGACATTATGTTGCAAAACTTTCAATTGAGGGCCAATTGTATTCTAGAGGTACGACTTAACCAACCTTACCGTATATTTTGTAACATTTCTCTACGAGTATATATCCATTCGATTCATTTGGTACATTTGGATTATAACAATGACATATGATACTGTCATATTAATTAGTGTAGAAATTAAATAATGATAAGCATTGCTGAAAAGTTTGTGAAGTACTGTTAAATGTGGTTCCGCAAATTATAGCCACTTTTGTTCAACAAACTGTCAAAAAACAGTGTTAAAGTTGTATTTAATAGTACATTAATATTAATATTTTTTGAGTACCGTTAATTGTTTATTTCAATACCTACAATATTACATAAATAATTACAATTATTATCAAGTTGCCGTATGATTACAATTTATAATTAATTGGATCTTTTTTATTTGAAATAATTTCAGTATCATCATTATTTGGCAAATATAAAGTAAATACAGATTTACTTTTATTATCATATATTTGTAAGATTGTTACGGATATTCAATATTTATAGATTATTGTGTAACAACCATTAATTTTATGTAGGTTTAGTTATAATTATGAGATTTTTCTTTTAAATTTCATGTAGTTAGGTATAGCATTAAAATAACTCTTACCAATAAAGTGAAATTTGAAACTATAAGCTAAACAAGTATATCACAGAAAATAATTTAAGATAATTAATGTACATTTAGTTCGTATTATGGATTTTTTAGTTATTAATATTAATGACATGTGTACCTATGTTTGGAAGTTTCAGTTTAAATTTGAGTAGAATTTAGAATTTAACTTTGCAGGATTCATTTGCACAAATCGATTTCAAAGTTTAAATATTTTGTGGCGATATTATTTATGTTGGCACGGAACCACATTTTTCCATGTAATACATATCGCCCAAGAGTTGAGTAATTGGAATCTCGCCGATGGTCTCTTTAAAAAAGAGCAGTTCTACCGTTAATGGACGAATTGCGCGTAAGCTCGGTACAAGCAATAAAAGACGACCAAATCGCGTTGGTTGCCGAGGATATCTAGTGCGTATATAATCGCCAAGAATGCACTGAGCTTGATCCTGAAGCATTTCCACTGGTTGCACATCACACAAACCCGCTGTTTCTACAATAGACGCAAATTTACATGAGCACATCAATAAAAATATAAACAAAATATTTCTAATAATAAAATTACCCGGTGTGAAGAGTACTATAGCTTTCATACATCCACACTCACTTCCATCTGGTGAGATTTGACGAAAACGACACATAATTTCCTATAAAAAATTATTTAAACAAGCTGCCCTTGCAAACTTTGAATTCTTAATAAATGTACTTTTAAATTAATTACAACCAATTTTAAATCTATTTTAGTATATTTTAACGTACTTGAATAGTTTTAATTTCTGTTGCTGTATGTAAATCTTGTGGCAGTCGTTCTCTAGCTTGCGGACATCCTAGCAACGCAGATAAGTCCCATGGAACAGACCATTGCGCAAGATGCAATAGAAAAAGTTCCTTCCAAGATTCTTGTAACAATAAAAGTTGATCATGCTTGCTAAGTGTTTGAAACGGCGCCAAACAACGGACCCATCGCACGGCCATGAACAAAAGCCGCGCTGTTGTTTCCTATAGAGAAAATTATTTTAAAATATATTTAATTAGTGTTAAATAATATTTATAAATGTCTGATAATATAACTTCGAGTGACTTCAATAGTCAAGTAAGAATGATATAAAGTAGGCGGCGCTTGTGGAGGCGGTGACTTTCGACCAACAGCGATGCGGAAAGCCGGAAAGTCAGCAAATACGCTCGCGCTGTAGCTGCTGCTTCCAAACGAGGAACTCGCTAGGCTCGCAATGTATACTATCATTGGGGTGATTTTAAGGAGCGATTGAGCGTTATTCGAAGTCATGTTTGAGAATACACTATAAAAAATACTAACTTGCAAAATATCCCACGTTGGTGTAATTAAACTCAATCCCAAGGGGGGACTACTGGGTGGCAGACTAGCAACAGACAAACCGGAAGACGATTCGGTAGTAGACTCCGGTTGCGTGGTGGAAGGAAGCTGGCCGGCATGATGTAAAGAAGTTTGCATTTTAGTGTTCCAAACCAATTCCTACCAGATTTGTATTGATTTGAATTTTTCATTGTAATAGTATTAAGTAAACAATGGTAGTTTCTGAATTTATATAGTTTTATGTCGGTACCTGACATTTTTCTGCTGACATGAGAATATTCAACAGTGGCGGAGGTGGAAATGCTTGATGAGGATGAAAGAGCGGTGGTGGAATGTCCAAATGCTGCGACGGACTAGAAGCGGCAGCCGCAATGGCGGCGGCGCCCGGTGGTAGCGCAAATGCCTTCAGCGGGTGTGGGTGTGCCGGCCCGAAGAGTCCCGACGCAAAGTGCAGCGATGCCGGCTGCATCTTATCGCCGGGCAACGGCGGTATACCGGCTCCCACCCCCGAGTGATGCATATGTGCTGGATTGTTGTGGAGTTTTGGTTTGCGAGGACCTCTCTCATGTTGCACAGCTGTAAGCCAAACAACAATCCAACGTATATAATTTATTAAATTTATTTAAAAAAAATACGCTTATACTACTACCGACTATAATTAGAGGTTATTATAATTCTCTCTTGCAATATTTATCATTAATTTTGTGATATATCGTTAGAGGGTGCTCCAGCGATATTAATTTGTTGAGTGTCAATATTTTTATTTACGTTAAAACGCTCACTGCACCTAAATGCAGCAGGAGCTGCAATGATGCAGCGCGAACATCCCTTGTCCACGGCAGTTTGCGTGCGACGTGTGTGAGTTCCCGGTGCCGCACACCCTTGCCAGCACCCTATTAATTCGCTGAAAATCGCCGTGAGCACGTCACATGTCCGGACAATAGCCGTGTTCCCACACTATCATTCGGATGGCCTATTTATTCGGGGGCCGCTGATCTTTTGCCTCTCCCTTTAAAACCGCCCACCCCGAAATCGATAGATTAAATTGCCGCCTGCCCGTCGGCAAGTGTCGCATTTTTTTCCCTAAAAGTGCTGGAGCGCAAAAAGTGATTAAGATTTTAAAAGATATCCGAAGAGTTTTTAACTGATACCCCAATTTAGAGCCACCCTTTTAGCACGACATCGAATGCTACCCTCTACCCGTATATTGGAAGCGACGGAAGCGCTTTAAATCCAAGTTAAACATGTAGGTACGGCGTTTTTTTGCATTTTTGAAAGAGCTAAAAAGGATTTATTCTTTTATGCACGCTTTCAAAGGAGATTTCCTCGGGCCGACGTAGAGAAAGAATCCTTGGTTACTTTGCATTGTTCGAGGCAGGCAAACATAAGAAACTGTCGTGTTTTAATTCGGACGCTTTCGCGCTTTCTGCACGAGCCGAGATTACTTAATTTTGTTTGACTACGATTACAGTAAAGCGAGCATCTCCTAAAGAATAATCAACGGTGTAAGAAAAGAGAAAACGTGTGCTTGGGCACGAAATGTACGAACATGGTAAATTATGGCTGCTGGACTTTCGAGTTTCGTGGCTACATTTTTCGCGCTTTTTCCAAGGAGGGTTGCTGATGCGTGAGGATATATCATGGGAAAATTTAATAAATTTATGTTTAAGTGCTTTCGTGAGTTGCACAGAGAGAACTTTGAGTAAAACCACATAAAACTAATTTTAAAAGTTGTCTTTAAAAAAATGAAAATGAAACTATTCTTTAAATACAAATATCTCAAGTCCCTACAAAAAATAAAATTTTGTGCTATGTTTTGTTAAGACGTTCCTGTTTCCAGTTTGCAACAAGAAAATTTATCTCCATGCATGTTCCACTCTCCGCGCCCCGGTCTGTGGTGGCATTAAGATGGAAGGAGGTTTCTTGGGACGGTTTGGATGTTAGCGAGAAGTGAAGTAGTCTCGAGGCCGACGGTAGCACATCATCATTAATGAGCTGCGGCGCTGATGCGCTCAGCTGGCGGCGTTCTCACCGCTCACGCGCGCACACGCACACATACAAACATCATCGGGACTTGTCTTCGCACACCTCCAGTAGCCTCACAATAGCCCAAACACCACAACTAGCTGTCGCACTGAGCAACATTAAGTTACACCGACCACCAAACACATCCCATGCTATGTGAAGGCGAGAGAAAACGCCAACAGCAACTTTGTTCGAATTTGGAATGCAAATGCATTCGAATGCATTTCAGAGTAATTTAATTTCGATGTAGCTAAGTAACTTGTCGGGTTGTGCTTGTGGCGTTTTTGGAAATTTTGCAATTCCCTTGCGGGAGTTTGCAATTCCCATTATACGAATTTGTGGAGCGCGTTTCAATATTCGGCAATCGCAATTTGCAATTGACAGAGAAATATGTGCGGATGGGCGTACTTATGCGCTAGGCAACATAGGTGGAGAAACATCGATCGTTGTTTGCGCCGATTGTCGACGCTATTCTATACACGCAGTCGATGTTTCATCACCGGATTAACCTCGGATAATTCCAATACACGATCAGATACGGCTACATGAATCAATATAAAAAAATCATTTTTTATCTGACTGATTAAAAAAATTAAAACTCATATTTAAATTGTATCATTAGAGTATTAACATAGATTCAATAATCTCATTTTTTTGGCATTTGATACGTGTTTTAAGGAGATCAGAATGTTCTGCTTGCTCTTAATTCTACGAGTTTCTGAGAATTTAATGACACTTTGTAATTTTCCGTTTGAAGCACTCGTCGCGTCTAATTTCCTTCCAAACACGGGCGTGTGAGCATAATATCGTGTTGAACTTTTGATGAGATTTCTTCATGTTCCCGCGCGTGAACTTCTTGCTCTCACCTGCTTTTCTCTCAGTAGACTATTCGTGCGTTTGCTCTCCCGCTTTCGCCTCACAAAATCAAAATACGGCGAAATTGGCATTTGAGATTTTCCTGCACGGAATCTTCAAGGAAAAGCAATATTTACACGCAAGCTGCGCCGACAACTAGCGTCTAAGCCCATTGATGTACTTACTTTGGTCGTTGAAGCGCTGGCTCGACTGGTATACGTTCTCACGAAACTCACGCACAAATTTCCTTTTTATCTTCTTAGCCCGTGCCTCTCCCGCTATCGTCCTATAGTTTTCAGTTACTCGACGCCTTTTATTCGCGTCCATCGTTCAAATTCGCTTCTGCTCGAAATAACATTTCGAACGATTCCCGGCCTACCGAAAAAGGGAACATTTGAAGACTCAGAATTAAACGCGTAATTAACCTCTCAGAAAGGCTTTTCTCCCATTCGTTTCATTTTGCGTTGCTTTCTTGCTTCTTTGTGTTATTCCTACTTTACTTCTTAATTTTCCTTCTTTTCTTTGTTGCATTTACTAAACATGCCTAGAATGTAATCCAGGCATTTTCTTTATACCTATTTGCGTTGTCCTTGCGCCATGAAAAATAAAGATATTTACGGCTTTTTGGGTATAGTAATCTAGCTAAGTTTTGGTTGGCAGGACGGTTGGTTTTTGGCGGGTGGACCATTAATCACAAAGCGGCGTCGGTTTAAGAGAGAGCCGAGATGTGAACTCCAAGGACGAAGCAACGCCCAAAGAACAACCGGTCAACTTGTAGCGACACCATTTCATGTCGCAATAATAATAACGTAACAAAACAAACGTCTGTTGCTTTGTGGAAAGTTTTTTATCCAAGAAATTCCTCAACACAAATTTATCGGAAAATCAAGCAAGAAATGTTTTCCTTCGGGATTTCCGGCAGTACAAATGAGGTATCGCGATGCGTGATTAATAAATTAAGCGTTCGGTTAATGCGTGTGTAAGATTCCAGATGTGGGCGTATTAAGTCGCTCGGTGGAAAGAGGCGGCTGCGGCGGCGGCAAAAGGGGAACGTGTCGGGGATCGCTTTCACGCGGATTTGCACGCTCGCACACGGCGTCCCTCCGGAGTCGCTGATCCGGCACCGAAAACGCGCCGAATGCGATCTGCTAATGGGGATTGGCGGCTCCGCAAATAGAGCGGCATTGAGCCGAGCCGGCGCGCCGCAGCGCACTTGATAACTTTACGAAATCGATCAACGTCTTCGGCTTCGACGCGATGCGCTGCGAGGCGAGCATGATGGCCCGGATCGTCGGCTTAGGCATGACATTAAACGATTCAATAGACGAGTGATGGCTTAACTTGAATCCAAGTTTATAACTTATATTTTTTTAATAAAACTATTCGTTTTTGCTTATTTCACAGAAAATATTCTTATCAGATTATTGTTGCTAAATATTACTATTTTTTAAACAAAATACCTGTTATTTAAATCATACTTATGTCTTGTTTTGTAAAAACGTTCATATCATAATGTTTTATTAATAAATAAAATTAAAACTCAAATTATCCAACAACTTTAAAAGTTAATAAATTATTAAGAGTTTAAATAAATGGAAATAATACTGTTATTTTTTAATTTTCCCTAACATTCAGTATATGAGCATCTTTTAGATTTAACTAAAGTTTGGTAGATACCACCAAAGTTGAAAGTGTTAAAGTTGTTCCCCGGTTTTGCCCTCTATTCTTCGTCTCATTCTCAGGTCTATCTGAACGCGTTAGATCGCATGACGCCTGCTGTATTATCATCCTCGTAGGTAAAAGTTTAGAGGGCGATACAACGCGAGCGGTGTCATGTTTTGCGGTGGCAACAAAGTGTGAAACTTGTTCGCACTACCACCCCAATCAAAACTTGAATTTTGTCATTTTTTACCCCATCCAATTCGAGAATAAAACATATTTACTATTTGAAATTACGAATAATCATTTAATGATTATTGAAATTATTGTTCGCTTTTGTTCATTTAAACTTTTAATACAAAGCACCTGATACATTCGCACACATAAAGCGCGCACATAGCAGATACCTATATTTTTATCGACGGGCCATAAATGAAATGAAATTTATGATACGCGTTGGAGGGGACATAAAACGATGTGTCGCATCGTATTATCCGTGGTGGTAAATGTGATGGCTAACATAACACCTCGCTATTGGAGATAACAGGGATCATAAACGCGACGGGATATTAATTACATTATTTCCGCGCACAAAAGGATTCGATTTGTTCGATTCCGCCTTTCACACAATTCACACGCAAACATAAAAAACGCCCAAAACCCCAAAAAACGTTCAAGCAAATACCAACCAAATGTATTTTATTTACTGTTGCGAAAATTTTACTAACTGAATTTTCTTAACTCACCATCTTTATTCATACTGGCTTGAAAACACTTGTGCAATCGGCAAGCGCGACACTGGTTTCTGTGAGTTTTGTCAACAGGACAACGTCCTTTCAGGTCGCCGGTGGCTTTACAGGTGTAGACTCGATTACGATGAATGCTTCGTTTGAAAAATCCGGAACAACCTAAACAAAATGCAGGGATTTAAATAAATATAAGCATTAGTACAGATAGAAGTTACCATCGCAACTGTAAATGCCATAATGTTTGCCAGAACTTCGATCACCACATACTTTGCATGGAATGTCCAACAAACGATCACCTGTGACAAAATTAAAAATTATTATTAAAATTTTAAAATATTTGTTTGTAAAAGTACAATAAATAATAAAGACCTAAATTTATAAAAGTTTAAATAGATTTTTTTTAGATAGATACCTATGTCCCTACAGGTTTAAAGCTAGGTAGTAGTATCATTTGACAACAACTAGTAGTCAAAGTGTTAAACACATGGGGAATTAAGGATTAAGCCCCGCTAACATGACCCGCCACATCGGAGTAAATTAACGCACACGGACAGCACACACATAGCATTCGTGCGTAATCCGCTTGCAGGAATTTACGGAATTCTAAGCTAATCAGTTAATCAGTTGCTGCTATGTCAGCACTATCATAGAAAACATTACCTGTGCCCATTCTTCGTCCGGCGGATCGCACCTTGCTCCAAATCGTCGAATCAATCTTGTCCACCTTGTCGAACAGAACGGCCATTCATAAACAATCACATGCACTAGTTTTAAAAGGATGCCTCCGAAATATTTTAACGCGACGGTTCAAGTGTGGAAACGGCAGGAATAGAAGCGGGAGCAGGAGGCAACGGATGCAGGGCGCTCCAGTTAAAGCGGAAACGCGACTATCCGACTCTCGGCTCCTGCATCCGTCGGCTCTTCGGTCTGCAGGCCATTTTGTCATCCCCTACTTTGGGGGTAGGAGTCATCCCCACCTTTTCGCACGCCACCAGCCAACGCCAGCCAGCCAGCCAAGATTCACATTCACAATTCACATTGCCAAAAGCATCTAATACCAACACCAAACTCACAACTAACCTGTTCAAATTAAACTACCTACATAATATAATTTTATGGCCTTTTTAACATATAAACCAAAATTTTTGTTATGGTAAATAGAATTTTCCATAAAAAACTTTAAATAAAATTTGACATCATGTGTTTAATATTTGGGTATAACGAAAGTGTAAATTGATAAAAACGCAACACCCCTGCAACCTTCATCTAAAGATAAATCGGACCTGTGTGGCAAGTGACCCGTAGTTGTTAAGTGTGGGAAAAGCGGCAGGCGTGCGTAACGGCAACATACCCGTGCAAAGGGCTGGCTCGGGACAAGGGCGTGCCGGCAACCCCTCGGTGGCGGTGCCGGCCAATCACGACTCGCGTCGGCGGCTGAAGGTGAACGTCACTTACAGTCACATAGCTTGCTCGCTTCGGGCCGACGCCGAGGCCACCCTGAAATGTGCTCCGGTTAAATATTTCATAGGTGTGTCTCTCTGGCCTTACATTCTTGTCTTGCTCTCGCTCACCCCTTGCGAACATGTAAATGTTACGAAAGTGTTCCACAAACATCACACAAAACAAAATTCTGCACAATAGAAGAGTTTAAGAATTTATATAATAAATAAATGTTATTTTTAGGTTCAAAAATAATTAAATATGAAAAAATTAAGATTTTGATAGAATTTTAAAGCTGTACTTGTGGTCCTTGTAGGGTGGTTGTGATGAGTTGACGAAAATGTCAAATCCTATTGTAAACGGAACGCGGCTTGGACGCGCCAGAGCAAGCAACCCTTTTGCTACACGCACCGCACGCCATCAAACTCGGGATTACTAACTTATTGCTAAGGGTTGAAAGTTATTTAAAGTGGCTCTTTGCCGAGGGCGGCCTAAGAGTCGTCGCTGTAAGACGTGCTCCATTATACTTTCTAGCGAAATAAAGTCTTTGTCACTGATTCGTGATTCTTCATTGTGGTTTCCAGCTTTTCTAGGTTTAATGTGAAAGTTTACTTGTTTAATTGGTTTTTGATTGAGGTTATAATTTTTTAGTTAAAATAAAGTAAAATCAATAATTTTCTAAATAAATTTTCTGTCAAAATGATGTCCTCATAGGGCTATCATGTTCGGATGTAATGGACATCGAATTCAAAAGCTTTCACCTTTCATATCTTTGCATGCTCAAGTGATAATTCTTGATATATCTTTATCCGAAAGCTTTTCACAATCAAATACAGGGTATTTTAAATTGACAATCGCAATTTTAAAATTTAATCATTATGAATTTTGATATTTGATAAGATAAATGTTGTAATATTTAAATGTTAATAAAATATGTTTTGAAATAATCTGGGACTAAATATTAAACACTTTGTAGTTTCCGTCTATTGATAAGTTAGGTGGTTCATTTGTCATTCGCCGTTTGCGCCCGCTTTTCGCTTTCTCCTGTGCCTCCCGAGCAGACAATGGCGGCTTGAGGAAGCGGTTTCACTCAGACCTGGTGACAGCCGCAGCCGCTTTCCATTAGCTCTCGTGCGACATCATTATTTAAATGGAAACACATCTACCTTCTACCTTCCGGCGGACCCGCGCCAGGTGCGACGCGACAAATTATCCTTAAAATGTTTCGCACGCATACATTTTGGTTAGGTACTACTTCAAGGAAGCGACTGCAAAAAGGAAGTAAGTAGGTAAGGTGCTCGAATATTAGATGACAAATTTTTACGATGTGGCGTCTTAAAATGCTTGAATTTCAATGATTTGCTATTCTACATTACAAAATAATAAAATCATCATAATCATAAAATTGAAATGATCATTTTTATATTTTGTCGGTTTGTTCAATTTTTCGTTTTTGAGTGCTTTCTCCCCACGCGTGTTTTACTGGGCAACGGGCATTAGTGAATTTAAGCGGTACTGATCCGCGTGATACATGACATGATGGCGGAGTGGGGACGGCAGGCGGCGGATGTTGACATCAACAGGCCGCGGGTCAGGCCGGAAGACACGTCCGCCGGATTACACCACATGACACGCACTTCCACTGCCGCCGACGACCATACGTAGGTAATGCGGATGCTGTACACGCAAAGTACCTCCAACGCTTTTCGTTCTATGTGCGCACATTCACACTAGACAACCGGAAAATGCATTTAAACAAAGCGATACACTATCATTTTCAAGATTCATAAAAACGAAACAACTCTATTGTTTTGCAATTATAATTTTTGTGCGTTTTTAAAAGAATGATTTTAACTAAATCACGACAACATGTAAAATATTCTCAAATGTTTATCTCTATCTATCCCCTCCTGACGTCATCTAACACCATCCAGACGATACGTGCAAATGTTTGATGTTTTGAACCCTCTTTGCCTTGTCCACACACTCTGTTGAATGTGTAGCTGTTAAATTTTCTATTATGCTCGATAAATATTTCCAATTTACTCCTGCTCGTATTCACATTCTAATCTATGGCGAGAGTGCGATGTGATACTTTGATGGCGCCTGAGGGCTGTTAGCAATTACTTGCATGTGCGAATTTAATGTTGACAATCAATCGACCGGTAGAGCCGTCCACGCGCCCATGCAAAAGGACGTGAACCAGAGCGGCCGCACCTTTGTGTTGACCGTCTATTTTGAAATTGCGCCCGGCGAACGTTGATCAAACATTCGGCAGATTTCATTATAACTGTCGTGCTTAATCCGCAATTTGCAATCTAAATAAGGCGATATCTTCCGTTATGAAATTACAGTTTTCCCGTCTCGCATCGCTGCTCAAACAACAAATTACAGGAAAATCAATGTCATCCGTTTTCAAACAATAATTTGATATCTATACCTATGCATAATAAATTTTACGTGCTCTCGGTGAGTTTACAAGTTTCCTTTGGTTTTGTGCTTGTCGGTGCATTGTGTGTGAGAACCGTTGCAGTCGTTTACGTGTCTCGAAGGTAGCTAGCAGAGATTTTTGTGATTTTTAGCGAACTCAATTACCGCCGCGCGCACGTTTTTCTCGCCCGCGGTGTTTTTGTACGAGGCGCGCACACGGCGTCTCGCCGCTCCCTCGATTGCCGCCACTCTACCCTCAATGCACAGACAAGGTGAGCAGACATAAATAGAATTTTTTTGCATGCACGTAGATGCCTGCGAGCCATCAACCAGCCGATATATCACAGATATATCTCAGCAGCGAATTACACTGGCAACAACTTGCTCCTGTTCTTTTTTAATATTGCGTGTAAATCAATATTCATTTAACCCACAGACCTTAAACTTAGAATTAAATAATGATGATTGGTAAACCTACTGACATCAAATGTTTAATTATAAAATTTGGATCAGTGTTTGATTAAAACAAAAAACAAGAATGTGAAATAATCACATCAGCAGAATGCGAGACGAGAAACTAGTGAAGATCACTAAAGACAAGTCACCGAAAGGAAAACGCAGCCAGGTAGACCAAGAGAAAGGCGGAGTATTAATTTAGCAACCAAAGTGAAACAGGCTATTGCCTAAAATAAGAAGTCGGAAGAAGAAAAATAAGAAGACATGTTCTGTTTTTCATTTAAATACGAACTTTCCCATCTGCACAAAATTGTTCACTAAAAAACAAAGGTGTACTACATCAGCTTTTCAGTAAAGAAAAGGATTCGTAAACGTTGACGTATTATAAACTACATGTGTTTCAGTTCCTGCATCCCCTCATGTGAACTTCCCGATGGGTTTGAAATTCGCGTGACATTCATGTGTCTCACCTACAACGTCATCCCCCATTTCTCTTTTGGAGCAGCCTACGCGACATTAATCTATTACAAATTACGTCATTACGCCGGGCCGGTGATCAGGAAGTTATGCGCGACCCTTCGAGATGTGGCGGGCGCCTACATCTGGCCGAATTCCCATTGACTCACGCATGAGCCACCTATGCGCAGCATCAACGACCTCGGATCAATCCTCGGATCAGTCGACACGTCGGGACGTCGGAAACTTATCACATCAATATGCGAGCAACCATTCGTATTAATTTATTTTATACTTATTTATCGTTTTTACTGCTGATGTAAACTTTATAAAAATGTTAGTTTAATTAAAAGAGAAACTAGGTTTAGATCCTTTGATCACCCTTTGATGACAGATTGTGTTTTACGCACAAAAATTAAATAAACATTGTCAAATCGTAATCCTCTAGAAAGGGTGCAAGACCTTTTCAGAATGCCGAGGCTCTTTTTGGCTCGGGAGTTGTTTAGTTTTAGATTTGGACGCCACCAGCGGATTCGAGTGTTTTTCTTGCTAACTCGTATAAAGCCAGCGCACAACACGACTCCACCGACACTAATCAGATGATAATCTCCATTTTAGGGAGGGTGTTAAACGCTGGCATGCGACATCTAATCATTGCCACGTGCGATATGAAGTTGTTAATTGTTATCTAGTGCCTGGCACGTGGCTGAGCGTCATAAGTAGGCCATCATAAATAAGTGTACAGGGCAAAAAATAAGAGATATAGAATATATATTTAAATTTTACGTGATTGAATTACGAAAAAAAAACGTTTAACTCTAAACAAAAATGTAGAAATTCAATCACGTAAAATTGAAATAAATATAATATAAACTATGAATTACGTATTCTACGAAGAAAATAAATATTAGATATAGACTGAACCGGTTTTAACTTAGAATTGTATATAAAAATACATCAAAATAAATAAATGAATGTTATTAAATTAAAAACATTCTAAATGCGACAACCAGTTTTTAACCAACTGAGACATCCTACCTCATAATATATTTTATCTATGTAAATAAATACGTTCAATATGTTATACCTATAATTAATGAAGAGTAAAATGGTTCTTTACGGCTTTTCATAAAAATAAATTTGTATTAAAAGTTATTATAGATTACCACACGGGAGCAGAGCAGCCAGCGAGCTGTACATCCTTAGGACCTGAGGTTTTATTGAGAAATCTTTAGGCTTCAACCCTTGACATGACCTCTAGACTTTTACTGTGCTACTCCCAGTTCAGGTAGTATAGAGATCCGCTACAAAATCATGCACAAAATCTCAATTGTAGCGCCCTCACTATGTCTACGTTGGTACTTAAATTCTTGAAATGTTGCAGTAGCCTACAATTTAGCAGAGGGTGCAATAGCTTCAAATTAAGTCACTACCCGCCGAGGGGCGCTGCAAGTTCTATTTAGTCAGAATAATTGAATATGTATAGAATTAATTATCTGTGGTCAGCATGTTCTTGTTTTAACTGATATTATATACGCAGGTACTTTGTTTATTATATTTACTCACATTCTGCTCTATAGGTACGATCAATCGTTAATCACATGTACATGACACAGGCCTAGAACACAAGTTATTATTAAAACATTAATCTGAATTGAGTTTCCAATTTAAACTTGCGTTCGAAATGTGTAAACTATCGAAAAATTGATTTCATTATAGGGGAACCCTTTACTCGATTGATACTTGAGTATTGGTAGCTTGAGTTTAAACTACTATGAGTTTGGACATACACAAATCGAAACTACTAGCCAACTGTAAAATAAATGTATAAGTTAAAGTTATAGTTCAATGCATTTCAGAGTGATTTAGCAATATGATGAGCTCCTGTTGGCTTCATTTCAATTTTCAATCCAGCAGTGTGCGGTGTCGTAGTAAAAGCTGACAAAGGCGCCGCGGTAATCGATGATTTTGCACGAGTACGGCGGAAACAGTCTGATCCGGCGGCCTTTGAGCGCATTTGCCGGATGGCTGCGCACGCCTGCCTCTAAAACCAGGCAAAGGCCAGAGATGTTCTCGCCGACCAAAATATACCTTCCACACTCTACAATTTCATCTATCACAAGTAAATCCAACTCGGAATCGGAATCTTCATGTTCCTGGTTTTGTTGCCGCTCATTCTTCCAAATATCAGCCCGTGTTCTTTGTTCTCTTAAGAGTTTGATGGCTTCGTGAGCAAAACCGCGTTTCTTCCACTTTAATTCTTTACTTTTTGTGCCCAATTTATCCAAAGGACTTAAATAATTCAACGATAGACTTGAACTGGAACTTGATGAGACAGTATTAAAGAGGGAGCTATCATGTAGGTGGTCTGTTTCTGTTGTATCAATACATTTTTCTTGAGTAAAATGCTCTTCAATATCAATTTGCGAAGATGGTAAATCATCAATCTCAATCAGGCTCGAATGATTCTGCAACTGATTTATATTTGTCGTCGGATTGATTGCTCTTTTTTCAAAACACGTTGACACGGGTGATACACTGAAATATTCAACAAGAAAATATATCAAAATTAACAAGGTGTTTGGATTTTCCAACCTATCGATTTTATCAAGTTCATCGGAAGGTTGATTATCTGACGAGGTGGTAAATACTGCACATGCAGGTTGGGTGCAATCTTCTATTACTTGTTGCGTGGAAGGGAAGTTCGCTATTTTCATCCATCGCATTCTCTCTCTATTCTCCCTTCGTGCCTTTTGCGTTTCATCATGTGAATGCTCCGACGTCGAGTTCGTCTCCCACAGGTCTGAATCCGACTCGTCCAGCGCGCCGACGAGAGAACGTGCCTGGTGATAATTCTATATTTGCGGTTTGTGATTACGATTCTCGTTAGTAGTCACGTTGCAAACTGAAAAAAATATTAATTCAAAAATAACTCAAAGAAATAAAATTGTATACTTTACTATTATACCTATTAATATTGATATTACATATTATTGAAAAAAATGATTCTGTATACATTCTAAAACATTTAGGGCTATTTATATCTTTCAATTTTTCTTATTATTTACATTTTGATTTCTTTTGTTTTTGAAATTGCCGTTGTTTCTATTTCTTACTTTCAGGTCAGATTTAAGTTTTGATGTTTTGTGAATAAAGAAATGATGTTAATTCTGAGATTTTTACAAATACCTATGTATAAATTAATATAACCTGTATGTACGTTAGTATAAATGTGTAACATATAATGGTTTACTTGATAAGCATAGTAATTTGAGTGAGAAGATAAACAAAACTGGCGGCGAAAACTTAAGTCAACAAAACAACGTTATAACCGTTATAATACTGCTAAGCACCCACTAACCACCGCACACAGCACCACGCTTCCCCAGAGACTAACCTGAAACACGTGTGAGTTCGTAACGGTTCGTAAGATTCCAAATTTTGGTCCCCTCTCTAAATACTAATCTGACGGTATCTCAAACACGTATCACAAAATTCAAGCAAAAATTGAAACATCGCTGCTTATTCTGCATAAGTAATTGAAATATAATCTCACATGGATAAGGCAATAAAAGAATTAACTTATACCGCGTTTTTCACTGTTTCTGAATATGAAGCCATGGGCGAGTAAATTAATAAACACTATATAATTGAAGTTCTTTTTTGTTTTAAGTTACGTGGTAATTTTACCGAAATAAATATTTAGTAATTATTCTTTTTAATATTCGCATCTGTGTGGTCCTAATCTCTACATTATTGGCAATTTCTGAATTATTTAATTTTGAAATTTAAGGAATTTAGGTTACATTAGGATAATATTGAAGGGTTAGTAAATCCGATTTTATTGGCATTTAACTAGACTTCAATACACCATTTAATAGTCTTTATACGCTATAACATACATTTTTCATGATCGTGCATGGTGAACGTACCAAGGAACGAGTTTCTCTAGGTTCAGGGCATTTTAAAATCCCAGGACCCCAGGGTTGTTCGTCATGCACGCTTAACATTCACATATAAGTTGTTTGCTTCTTATAATATGGTCACAGCTATGAGTATCATTTATTATGTACACAGGAATAAAATATATCGCAGATAAAAATGTTATCAGAACGCACACGTCTGCATGGCCCTAACATAAATTCAACATTTAAGACAGTCCGGTTTGAAATAACGACGGAACATTAAAAATTCAACGAATTATTGCTGTTAAACTTGCTTCTTTAATGCTTTCTGATTTTCTTATTATGCGTTTTGTGCTAGAATGGAACAAACTAATATCACCGTGTCACAAATTAATTTTTTACAGCTAGGTACATTAATTTTACATTCAGTCACACGTTTATTATCAAGTACCTTTAGGAGAATACAGTTTCCCAAACTATTATGGTTTTACAATTTCTTTTCTGTTTATGTTTTCTTTTTGATTGTCATTGAAACTCGAGTTGTTGAGCTCTTCATGTAAATTCTTTTTGTTTCTATCTGCAGTCCAATTTTGATTTTAATAAGGGACCTGAATTGCTAGAAGGCATTCGGTCATGTTTTCAATAAAATATTGTATTCCAATTTAATATTTGAAGTACAAATATTTTATTACTCAACATAAACATAATTTAATTCAGTATCATTTTTTCTACTTCCAGTTTTGCTATGGTTTTGAAACACAAAAATTGGTATTTTAAACAATTAATATAATTGGTACTTTAGTGTGCAAACGTAGTTCAAAGTTTTAAAATACAAAAAAAATGGAAATAAAAAATGGGGTAAATAAACATCATGACGCTAAACGTTAATAAACAATCGACGCAATTAATCAATTTCGTGGTAATACTTAATATACTGTTAGCAAGACAATTCCAGGTACATTCTTGTTAAATAGATAGTTTGTAGTGTAAAAGTAGTTTGTAAATATAGAATGCTAAAAAAATTGTGCATATATGTTCCCAAAATGTTCCTTCTTCATTTAAAATCATTTTGATTGTCAGGATAAGTCGAAAAACCCGAACAATTTTTATTTCAGCAATTTTTGGTAGAAATATGAACACCGCTTTGTAGAAAAATATGTTTTACCAATATTGTATCGTGATCAAATCATTTCTTTTACATTTGTCGACATGAAGCTTTGTTAATTTTGGTTATGACTCCGAATGTTGTTTTATTTAATTTCTATTTACTACTGCACTTTTCACTGAATTCGTGCAATTGCAGATGGCAGTAAATACTCTTGTGGCGAACGTGCGAGCCGACGTTTTGGCTTTCGTTAAGGAAGCTCCAATTTTTTTACCGCCGTCTAGAATCAAAATGAAAATTCTATAACAACTTGCTAAATAAGATTCCTCACGGAAAAATCTCGAGACGAGAGAGAGAGAAATTAAATCTATTTATAATTTTCCACTTCTGAATCTTATAAACAAATTGTGCAATCTACAGCTATAGTGAATGTAAGAAATGGAAAGGGCCTGACCCACTCCAGCAGGCAGGTAGGTAAATAAATCAAACAGCGGCGACTTGTAACAGGTTTTGAGGGTTGTTTATACCGGCCGGGTCGTGCGGGGAGTTTGAGGGGGTTTTATCGATTGCTGAGCCAGTGAAGATGGAAAAGGAACGCGTGCGGTGCGAACCATCACCGGCCACGATAATTAGATACTTACTCTGCAATCCGAACGCATCCTGAAACAGATGAAGAAAAGGGGTCAAGTATTAGTCAATCATCAGTGGAACATAAATAAATCTAGGGACTGATATTACAATACCTTTGTATTTACAATTGAATAGGCACACTTAGATTTAAATTTAAAGCTTATAATAAATTAGATAAATAAATATGTGAAATACTATTTACCAATCCAGCTTTTCCTTCGGCTTCTTTGCGATTTTCCACTTCAACTTTTGCTTTCTCAACAATTTCGTTAATGAAATCATTCACGTCCTTCATCTTATCGTCGTCACTCTTGAACTCATCTATCCTTACGTCCAGCGGCAGCTGGATTGTAACAAGATCCAGTTTTAGATTCGACATTTTATACACGACACACTTTTCACGTCTCGTAAAGCGAGAGAAAAACTGGGCAGGAAACAGCAAATGGTGTGCACACTGTACGATGTCAGAGGAACGACAGACTCGACTCGATCGTGCGCGAGTCCTTTTGCTCCCACTCTGGTTTTGATAGGACGTGTGTTCTAGCGTTTTCCTTGCTTTCCCCGACACATGCGTCGCCCTATTTTGGACTGGTGTTAGTAGTATATGACATTTTGTTATCACGAAAGTATAAAACAAAGTAAAATAAAATTATAACATTTTCCGAGCAAACTTAGTTAATTCATTGAAGTCTTGGAACATAAATAAATGACCAAGTATTTTAAAGGTTACGTAGAAATAAACATTACATAGATTTACTATCGTTTCAGTGTTTTTTTGTGGTTTTTGTTATCATGTGTAATTTTTATCAATTCACATATTTGCATTTTTTGAATTATACTCATAAATTGAAAGATGCTTAAATTATATTAAGTAATATTTAAATTGAGGATAAATAATTATACCTTTTATATTTGAAGTAATAATAATCGTATAAACTACATATATTCCTGAAAATTTGTCTATATTCTGTTTGAATGATGATCCTGATCCTGAAATTTAAACAATTGATAACTAAAAAATAGCTGAATCAATTTTGACAATTCCTGATTTGTTTGATTTATCGTCTCCTGGAATAGCAGAATAACGATTAATATATCAAAAACTATAACTCAAAAAGTGTTAAATCGGAGATGAAGATAGATAAAAATTCATTCAGAGATGGCGCAGTCGTTCATTCTTGTATAGCGGATGTTACTATACCGACACTACTCACGCGAGCTGGGAAAACAGATTCAGCTGACGCAGCTGACAGCAAACCAATCTGACAGCTGGCTGCGAAGAATATAAATATTGATAAAGTTTAGTTAAATTATACAAATTAAAGAGCATGTTTAGAAGTTATAATACCATAATTTCACATACTAATATACAAAATGTCAGCAGAGTACGCAGAAATCATAGCTAAAGACGAAGGAACTTCACACAATCCATTTTCATTATAGTAAGTAACAAGTGTTGCACCAAAAGTAAACTAAAACAAATAAATGAATTAAAAATAAGTAGTAAACACCTGTACTTTTCACTTATCTTATTTTTGCAGTTGCTTTTGCCTTATTGGTGGTAGCAGAAGAAGTCAATACCTCAAAGAATATGAAAAGAAAAAGGGATAGATAATAATTATATTCATAGAATGCCTACAAAAGTAAGTTTATTTACCTTTAAAGAATTGTAAAGTTCATTAATATGGATTCTGTTGACTGATTATCCATCAGTTTCTGCAGAAACTGACAAATTGTCAAATGTATGGGTTGTCAGAAAAGAAGCTCTGAAGAATGTACAATAATAGTACTACATCGACGCCGATCGATATGTCCTGAAACAAGGTTAGTACATATTCTAAAATTATTTATATAATGTACTTCCTTTGATTTTAAACATTTAATTGATGACTTGTAATAGGAAACCAAGAAATGTGTGGAATACCTTGCAAGATGTGAAGGTAAAGCTGCTGGATGTAAACTAAGAAAATTAGGTAAATATGAATTGAAAGTACATTTAAAATGTTCTTACATATAAATGTTTTAGTAAACAATCCACTTATGGGCGATTCATCAGGAAGCACATTCAAACCTAAAACAGAAATCTGCATGCTCTGGAGGTGGCTGTGGCAATTAAAATTATATCAGCATGATATAATTGCAAGAAAATTTAACACATTCTTATTTATTTTATAAGGGGAATAATAATTTAATAATTTCTATAAATCTTAATATGTATTTAAATAATTGACAAGAGAAATATTTGAAGCATACATGTTAAATTGACTAATATTTGGATTATTGAACACTAAAATAAAACATGAAATCAAAACATTATATTTTAATGAAAAACAAAATCCTAAACTATGTAACTGCCAAGTTGCTTGGAAATCCCCTTCTTCGATTAACGATTTGCTTGACAATTTCCATTGGGATCTTTATATTTTAAAGCTTCTTTAATCATTTATAAATTGTGAGAGATGAAATTTTCATTCCTAAGAAAAAATTGCTAAGGGGGTGCTTGATACTTTTTTTCGGCGATTTTCAAAAATTAATATCTGTTAAACTAAAAGAGATAGCAACCAACGAATGGTTGATTATGAAAGATTGGAAAATTCTTTATCAGATAAAAATATAAAATAATTATATTTCCTACAGTAAGAGGTCGAAAAACGCGACTAAAAGTGCTAAAAGTGACATTTCTCAATTTTGACTGGCTGCTTTCTTCAATCGCGGTAATATATTGAAGCTAAAGAGAGATAAATGAATCTGATCGCAGCGTCTTAATCTACGGACCAATCTCTATCAGATAGGATAGTTAAAACCGAGAAATCTGAGAGATGAAATTTTAGAATCTTGAAAAAAGTACCAAGGGGTGCTTGATACTACTTTTCGGCGATTTTCAAGAATGTATCTGTTGGGCAAAAGAGATGTAATAACTGAGTAGTTGATTATGAAAGATGGAAAATTCTCTATCAAGATAAAATATAAAATAATTATATTTCCTACAGTAAGAGGAGTCGAAAAAACGCGACTAAAGTGCTAAAAAGTGACATTTATCCATTTATGCCCATTTTATTCAATCGCGAATATCTCGTAAATTAAAAGAGATAAATAGGATCTGATCGCAGCATTTTTTCCAGTTATAAAAACATAATCTCACATTGTAGTAAACAAAATGTCAGCGGAATATGAAGAAATCATAGCGGAAGAGGAAGAAGTCTCACAAAATCCAATTAATTATAGTGAGTGTATCAACTTTTGCATAGAAGAACTAAACTAAAAGCAAATAAATGGTTAAAATAAATCACCTAGTAAGCATCTGTACTTGTCCATATTTTTTACGGTTGTTTTCTTCTTTGAAAATTGCGGATGGTGTCTGCCTATGTGTCTGCAACGAACCAGTCCATATTTTCGAGAAGAATATATGAAAGAAAAGGGATAGATATGAGTATGAACAGAATGTCTACAAAAGTAAGTGTTTTACGAAAGTATTGTACGACGTTTGTTTATAATTGTTCATCATTTTCCTGCAGAAATTGATAGAAAATTATCAGAATCTAAGGTTGCCAGGGAAGAACTACTGAAGAGCAAGAACAGTACAATATAAAGCGCCGAAACAAATATACGAAACAAAAAGAGGTTAGTACATGTTCTGCAAAGCATTTACATAATAACATAGCCCCGTTAAGGTAAAATTTATTTAAATTTCCAATGATAACTGTAGAAAAGTAAACAGCGTGAGGGAATTTCTTGCAAGACATGATGGTAGGAGGGTGCAAATTAAACTAAGGAAAATCAGGTAAATATTAATTGACAGTTTTATGTATTATATACTTGCGATTCATCAGGATGGAACTGTCCTAAAATGTCATACTCAAGTGGTGTACGTTTAATAGAAAAGCAGAGTATCAAGGGAACAATAATTTAATAAATTTCTAGGAAATGTTTTCGTGTACTTAACAAATTGACAAAAATATGTTTAGAGTGCACTTGTTAGATTGACTAATATTTTGATTATTGAACAATAAAATGAAGCATGAAGTAAAACATTTATATTTTAGCCAAAAAACAAAATACTAAACTATAAACTGCCAAGTTGCTTGGGAATCCCTCACTTTTCGATTAACGATTTGGCGACAATTTCAGGTAGGATCTTTTCTTTTGGCTTCTTTGTCATTTGTAATTGTGTAGGAATTTGTTAGCATTTCAAATGTTCATTTCACGATCCACTATACTACTAGTCTATAACTACAGCGCTATTACTACTTGCCACTTTTACAGCACGTGCCTGCTACCACTACACTTTCCCGCTGCGAACTGTTCACAATATGACACAGGCCCCGAGCACAAGCACCGAAACAGATCTATTGCTAAATATTTGTCAATCCAACTTTCTTTTTACTTGAGTGTGACATCTTCATTTCTGCATCTTCCAGAATATTTCACTTCAATCACGATGACAATATTTGTAAAATGACGAAAAACTAAAGAAGTAGGGGAGAGTAGGGTAATGGGGTGGCAGGTGTCAGGAGTCACCCATATATCCACGGTAGTAGTTACGGTACGCGTAAACGTGTTTCCTCCGTTCTGGCCCCCAGTGCCACCCCAAAAAAATCATGCAAATCGGTGCGTGTATCATTGAGATACGCCAATATTTTTATTTTGGTACCACTTTGATCTAATTTACGTCCGCCGAATTAGAAGATAAGTGTCGGAAAGTATCTTGCAATATTCGAATGAAGGCATAGTCTTGGTGAAACGTTAAAATGGAGTGATGTGCAGTTCAGATTACATTAATGTTTTGAAGAAATATTTTTTTTGTTTTTTTTCTGGCCAAGGTGCAATTGTGGGCCGTGGGAGTCATGCGACTCTAATGGACGTTTGTCTTTAGTCGCTCTAAATGGCCTATCAAAAGCAATGTGACTTATTTTCAATAGCCTTAAACACGAAACGATACTGGAAAGTAACAAAACTTATGATTCCTATATTGGCACTGATGACTTATGCCAGGGGCGATGGATGGTGAAGAGCCGTGTAATGTAACGATTAAAAAAAAACAATTATAAATGGCGTTCGCGCTGTTTTGGGCTATGGGCTCGTAAAATCAGAAAGAGGAAATGCACTTTCAAGGTGGGGACTTTGCAGAATATTATGATGTTTGCGATATCTGCTAGATTTCGTTGCGGTTCAATTTGTCCCAGGTGAGCTACATTACTACATGTGGTGCAATGGGGGTCAATCATTTTTAGGCACTAGGAATAATATCAAATTGATTGTCAAAGTGACTGAAAATTATTTCAAGTAAAGGTATTTTAGTAAAACTAGTAAACGCAAAGCGTTACAATAGAGTATTTTTGCTTATAATTAAGTACAATTTCAGTTCTCCCCTTAAAAGTGACCCCCATTACCCTCTTTTACCCTACTAAGCCAATTAAACAATCCACAATAATGAACTTTCTGTCGACTCCACCTCATCAATAGGGTGTAAAATAAGTGCAATGAGGTGTAATGAATGTTATTATTAATTACGATGTGTGCGCTTTGTCGTTCATGAGATTTAGCACCCGAGGTTGCCGGTTGTCCATTCATAACGAATTAGCAAAATTATGATGGTGACGGGCGCGATTTACAAGGTTTAGGAATGGGTGCATCTGTCATCACCTCAAGAGTAGTGTGTGTTTGTTGTTGATGTGCCCTTCAGCACCGTCAGTAGCTGCCCATTCTGGGTAATTTATACAAGCATCAACGTATCCACTTTAAAGGTGATGTGGGGCTCGCGGTGGACTTAACCGGTATTCAATGGCTGGATTTGTGTGTATGTTTGATACCTATGCCTATAGTTGAAACCTCGGCGTTTGGGGAAAAATTATGTAGGTGGCTTTATAACAAAATTAAGTGAATTAATGTGTGTACTTTGTAAAGCATTTTGCCTTGATAGTAATACTCACCCACAGCATTTGTACGTTTGACACAAACCACCAGAGGCAATGACATTTCCTTGATGGTGTACACATCGGACCCTGACCCCAAAGGCTTTTTTCTCGCTGGAAAACTGGATACATCATTGGGTCATCCTTCCGCCAGTCTACCTCGGCGTGGATGGAACTGCGCATCGTCGCCGCTGGCTATTATTTCAGCTAGGGTTAACTTCATTAATAACATTAAAATTGTTTTTAATTGTTTAGTAATAACAAAATAGTTGAAATAATACTCTACCCCAATTTCTTTCCAACTTTGCATACCCCTGAGGGCAGTAGCCCATTCCTTGATGGGTATACATCGGGCTGTCCCCAAGGCGGAAGATAGCTGAGTTGAACAGCTAAGATCTACATCGGCAATGAGTGGAACTGCATCACATCGGCTTCCTTTAGCTGCTTTGTCTTCAGTTGAGGGTTTAACGTTATGACGGTCGTCTGATAAAAAAAAAATCGCGTAGTAAAAATTGACTGTAATAAAACTCACACCTCCAGTATCTTTCAATTTTGCGCCCTGAGACAGTAGCGATGGGTATACACGGCTAAATTTAGATCCCCAAGGCGAGGAAGATAGCTGAGCCGGGAGCCTCAGGATCACGACCTCGGCGTGGACACTTACTTAACATCTTCTTCTTTGGCCTCTGTTGTGTAAATATATATAGCTTTAAATATTATTTGACCATAAATAATTATGGTAGCAACTCACACCAACTTCTTTGCGAAGTATTGCCTTATATCAATAGAACTCCTCATCTCTTCTTGGCCCTTGGATGGAAGAATCTTCTTGTTCGCATTCGAAAACGAAACATAACAATACGTGCAACATGACTATTTCAAACTGGTGACTTTCAAACTTTGATCGATGCAAACTGTTGATCTGTAAAAGAAATAATTAAATATTTCACGATACTACACTCGCACTAGCTGCACTTGTATAACGGCCCGCACAATACTTCGCAAGTAAAAGCTAACACTCGCGCACTACTAATAATTCACAACACTTCCTCTAAGTTGATATCAGCATTTAACCATTTCCATTTTTACTTTATTTCTCTTTCTGAGATGCATCAATTCCATTTATTTTCAGTTGAAGTTGATATTTTCCAAGTTTCAATTTCTGTTATTCTTCTTCTGGAGTTTTGTCTTCTGTTCTTCTATATAGTTGTTGATTATTTTAAAACAGTATACTTCACCTCCCACACTATTTAACACACTCCCACTATTTAATCACACTCGCGCATATATAAAAACACACAAACACAATTATTTTATAACGGTTATAATTCATATCCAATTCCAATTTGAGATTCAATTTTCCATTTCTCACGTTGTATCTAACTTGAAGTTCATTCTTTGGTTGTTACAGTTAAGTCAAGATCTATTTTATTTTCAACTTCTTATGATTTCTCGTTCCTCGTTCGGAATAATCTTCCTTATATCTTTGGGACAATTTCTCTTTCTTCTTGGGTTTCCAACTGTTGTCTTGTATAAAATGATGCAATTTGAAATTGGCTGCTGGCAAATGTTTTCTCCAAAATATAAAAATCTAATTCCAATCTTTTTGGGTATCATTCTTCATTTTATTCTGTTCCAATTGCTGCTGACCCAATGTTGTATAGTTTTAATTTATGTTATTTATGATGATGTAAAAAATGTGTAAGTTGTGTTAAAAAAGCAGTGCCAGAAACACATATTTCATTACTTGCCCAGTCAATGATCATGAACAGGGTAGAAAGTGTAAGTGTATGTGTATGTGTGTGTATGTGGTGTAAAACTTGATGAAATTCGATTTTCACTCCCGCACTATAATTCAACACTCGCGCACTATATATAAACAAACAAACACAATAATTTATCACTGTTGTAATTCATATTCGAATTCAATTTGATTCAATTTTCCATTTTCTCGTTGTAGGTATCTACCTTGAAGTGCATTCTTTATTTATTTTAGTTAAATTCAGGATCTATTTTTATCTTCGACTTCGTTCCTCATTTTGGAATAATTCAGTTCGCCAATATTTTTCCATTTCTTAATGGAATCTGCGTACATCTGAGGGAAATTTTTCTATCTGATTGGTTTCTTCGTGTTTTATTCGGTTCTATTGTTTGCTTTGACAATGATGTATTTGTTTTAATTTATATTTATTTGCGGTGGTCTTAAAAGTATGTAGTTGTGTTAAAATATTTAGGTAAGCAGTGCCAAGCACCTGTGTTCATTGCGCAGAATGTGATGTGAACAGGTGAAAGTGTAAGTGTATGTGTGTGTGTGTGTGTGTGTAATTGTTGACCGAATAACTCTAAGTACTATTACCAAAAATTGAAATGAAGTTCAGTTGAAATTAAAGCAGATTTTTGTTTACGAATATAAACTTGAAATACACACAAATTTCCGGTGGTACTATTTGGGTTGCTTGTTTGCCGCTCCATTTTAAAAAGAATTTTCGACGATAATTATTTCTACCATCGAATTTAAATACCACTTGTTTAGATCAACATTTACTTCTTTTGAGGTATATTGCAGAAATCTTTCTCATCATATCAGAATCCACGTTTCTTGAATTATCTTCTATCCATGTATGAATATTTGATGGTTGAAATTTTACGCTTGTAAAGGCATTCAGCTTGCGGAAGTTTTTTGATAAGACACGGGACTATTGAAATAGGCGATGAAATAATACACTGATATTAATGATTACTACCAGTGAATTTCTTAAACGCTAGTGCCTGTGTCAAAACAAAGAAGCAAAACAAAGGTTGGGTAGTAAATTTCAAGAATAGAACACAAAACAACACACAACATGCTACGCATCAGGATCTGCAACATAAGGTAAAAATAATGAATTATTAATTTCAAACAAACGCCCTGAAAACATGAAAGAAATATTTGATTGTTAAAAGTGCTGAAAAAGCCCATAAATTCATTAGTGATTTTGGAACTCATTTCACACACAATACAAATACATAATAAACTAAATACACAAATAGCATTCACGAAACATTTTAAAAAATAAACAGTAACTACTAAAAGAGAAACATGGCTGATTGAAGTACATACATATATAGATTTTTTTAATAAGAAAAAAGACATTAATAAGGATATGGAAGGACCTAAGAGCCTTACAATGACTGACTGGCCTTTAAATCGCGATTATCCTGAAAGCGGAAAGGAATTTATTTTACAAATTTCCTAGAACAATATTCAACATTCCACAGCTAAGAGGGGTAGGATACACTTACTTAACTGGTACGTAGGAATGCCTTTGTCTACTTCAGAACATGAGATAGCTTTGAGCACAAAAGTGATTATGAAAAATAGGCGCACCTAACATGACCGCGACGTTTGGCGGTTGTGTAAATTAATTGCCAAGAAGCGATTTTGCAACGGATAACAAAGTGACCGACTGCTACATCCCAGCGGCGGCAACCGGCTTTAAGTTTAAAATTTAACACGGCATACAATGAAATGAAATACAATACAGTTTAGCACAATCTGGCAAAAATATAAACAATTCATTCCGCGGGCATGCCATTCATGCACTTGAATTTGCGAAACTGGGTTACCGAATCTGCGCTTCAAAATGCCGCGCGTTGCATTGAATTAATTTGTGTTTGATGGTACATGTTCTGCGTGAACAGAACGTGTAAGGGTGTTATTATTTGAGGAATGTAAGTGGGGTGTGCTGAACTACGCAAATGGCAAAACTCCGCATTGCTTGAAACGAACCGAGCAAAAGTGCTTATTGAGTGTTTGCCAAGGTGATGACTGTTGTGTGTGTTGACCGGTTGAGTTTGTTCGAATGTAATATTTAAAGTGTTTACTGATAACTTACTTAATTGAAACTTAAAACGCGTTACGAAATGTTTGCGGTAATACGGTAATACTGTCCAGTTCAAATTCAAGTTGAATAAAAGTAAATCATGAGGATTTTTTGTTTTCCAAATTTTCAAAAAGTCTTGGGTTTGAGACGTTAATGTGAGTACGTTGAAATATTATATGATGTGTGGTGATTAATTTACTGCGCGTTGGTTTAAACGGACAGTACTTTATGATTGAACTGATATTAATTGAATCGCGACCCGGTTAAATGCGATAATTCATAAAAATTACTCACTACTTATGTACATGCGGCGTTTCACAGCGTGCTGGGTGGATTATGAATGACCAAGTACTGGTTTCACATACCGCACGGATACAAGAGTGACATATTATTACCCGACCAGCCTCTGATCATGGGCATCCTGCACTACTACCTTAAATCGCTCTCGATAACATCTCATCGCGGGATGCGTTGTAGGGGATCAGCGTCGGGCGAGATTGACCTCTGGACTCAGGAACCATCTTATTGGAATGTCACTCTCATGCGGGTTTGGTTGATCAGGTCCGTTTGGATTGGGTTGGTTTGGCCTCTGATTGAAGGGCGAGATGTGAAGAAGTGACTGAAAACACAGTAGGTAAAGTAATAGTTGTTTACGCCGAATTGATGATGAAGATGGGTTTTAACTTAAATATTTTACTGCATTGGCTGTTGCTTTCATGTGAAGTATTAGATTGGAATGATTTATTGCTGCGGGTTGGTGATTATTTTTGCTTATGATATCTGAAACGGATAAAAGAAATAGTTAAGGTTATCATTTTCAGTCTATGCTTTTTGTTAAAATGATGGATTATTGTGTTGTTTGGTTGTTTATGCGGATGGGTTGGGTGGTGACATTTTACCTAAGGTTTGGTTCACGGTTACTGGTTTATATTTGAACGTGGGGATGAGGTATTTCTTGATGGCTTCCGTTAAATTATGAATCGTAAAGGTCTACTGAAACAAGAATTGGAAACAAAAAAAATTAATTATGCGCGTTTTGTTTTGGCGATAGGGTTATTTTTTTAAATTGTTTTTGTTTTAGAAATACTTACGATTGGGTTTCAATGTACTCGACAAAACCAGCGTTTAAAATGAGTTGCTTCTTCATATTTGGTTGGCGGGATCGCGTTCAAGGCGGGCGGGCGACGTGGTGTGCAGAAGATTCAAAAATTTCGAAGCGACCAAATGGTCCATATGTATTATTACGTGAAATGGCTATTAGAAATATTATTACTAAACCATTCCAATTGTTTGTGCTTACCGATTCGGTTCCCATTATGATTCGCGATGAGTTCGCTGTGTATACTGGCAGTCCGGTGGCTGCTGATATGACGTTTGTATGCGCGTAAAGCGACTTGCGCGCATGGCGACTCTCGCGCAGGGTTCACGAAGGCACCAGCAGCGCCAAAGGCCGGCGGGCTTTAACGACACGCACCCCAACCGAATCTCAAAATCTGGATGAAACATGGCCGTCGGGCGCTCTCAATTTATAGATTCGAGGGTTGGGTGGGGTGGGGAATCAAATTTCAAAAACCTTTTTAAAAAGGTTGCTGATTTAGATGGTTTTCACCAATCGTTTCTAACTTTACAGAAACATTCTAGAAATTAAACTAGGAATTATCATACCCTTTCTTCCTTTATTAACCCCGTAAATCAGCCACAATTAATTTTTAAAAATTGCCACAAAATTACAAGGCTTCTTATGAGAATTTGAAGAAAATTAAAGAAATTCATCGTGAGTGGTATCAAAGTGTAACAAATCACGCGCTCTTTCCAACGGTGCCTAACACGAGTCGTTTAGTGGAGGGGTTTGGGAGTAATTCACCACGAAAGTTTCAGTCCGTCACGAGTCGTCAACCGAAAAAAAGCACATGCTGTCAAGTGATACTTTTGTGAATTTCTCTTCAACCACACATTAAGACCAAAATCTGACCACGGCATCGTGTTCCTCGGGTCCGATTACACCCCAGAAACTGTTATTTCTTCGAAAATCGCTTTAATTAATAGTTTTTCACGTGTCCGAAAATATCAAGTGAAACAGTGAGTTTGCAGGAAGATTACGTCTTTCCTGCTGAATAAAATGCAATCACACCTGCGGCAATCAACAGGCCAGCTTATAAACTATAGATTTTGATAACTTTCAAGTTGTGATACGTTTTGTGGATGCTGTGATTGACTTCAAAACACATGACACACAAAAACCTTAATCAACCACCTGTTTGGGCCCCCTTACAAGTTGATTTAACATCTGCACAAGCCAAATACAACTGAGATTTATTGTTATTAACATTGGCTAAGTGCTCAGTGCATTTGTTAGGATTTTCTAGGTGTGTATAAAATATTCTTGTTCATTCATGTTCAGGTACATCAAATTAGGGGTTATCAAGTGCATTGTTTCAGTTTTTCAAGTCTATTGAAGGATTATTTCATCTAGAAACTGTTTAAGGATGGATTAGGAATAGTTAACGAATGTTTCTCAATGTGATATTGTTCAGAATATTCATGATTTTTCATACTACAGGATATTATCTTTTGTTTGTGAGTTGGAAAACCCACTGGAATCAAGCAAACCAGTTGGTGTTCCTATTGGTGCTGATAACAATACAAGAACAGAGGAATATACAGTTTTGAATGCTGCAACATGTTAGACTGGTCTAGGTACTGCTGTAGATGTAACATTTTAAGTGTTTTTGGATTTTTTTCTTGTTGTTGCAGAAAATTTGGTGGTATAGGTTAATGGATTAGGTCTGGTTAGAGGTGTAACATAATATTGGTGATAACTTTGGAATGAGAAGGAATTATGCAATTTTGACTGCAGAAGATTAATCAGAAGGTCTAATTACCGCTATAGACATGTTTTATAAGTGAGACGATTGTATATTTTTGCTTAAACTGAGGTGATGCTTGAAGTTATTTTGCAGAGCAGGAATCATAACAGGAATAGCAAATAAATCAAAGCCTGCAATGAAGAGGATTGAATATGGAAGTTAACAATAACATAATATGCAGCACAATTTAATTATGTTTCAATTGATATAAAATTTATTTAATTTGGATGATAATTATGCAAGTTGTAAGGAAAAGAAGAAACAAAAACAGGAAAAGCAAAAATGTGTCATCATTCTAATTACATACACATTTCAAAGCAAGCCAGTCAACCGTAGGATTGAAGAAAAATTATACTGAAAACATCTTAAGGACAAGTGAATTCTGTATTATTTGATATAAGATTTGTTTAAATTGAATGAAAATTAAGAAAGTTATGAGGAAAATAAGAAACAAAAGCAGAAAAAGCATAAATTCATCACCAGATACCAAGGAAAAACATGATGCTTAGACAAATATCTTGGCAGTGCTCATAAAACCTTATGAAAGGTGATGTTAGAGACGAGTTTAGCTTGTTTATACAGTAAATAATAACATAGTCAAGTAGAAGAGACCAGTCAACCAGCTATTTCAAGGGTGTTCATTGGTTCAATGCAATCACAAAACCATTATATTACCCCACAACTAAACAGGGGAGAAAGAAGGCGTGCCCAGCATTGTAATTCACCCTTATTATGTTGGCTAGGGTCAACAAAAGAGGGTGAGCAGTTGAGTATGCTGCGTCGGCACAAAGTTAAGCACCTAATCAGGTAGAAAAGACATCAAATTAGGTTTTACACTTTATGGTACTCTGACCTATGCTAATCTGAAATGATTATGAAATTATGAGTAAGCAAACACCCAAACACATTAAATTAATGAATACTTTGCATTTATTCAGTTAAACAAGAAAGTATATATGCTACAATGTCACAAATTAGTATAAAATCATCACAAACACAACACACAAACTACTAAAACAATATTTAAGCAAATGTAAGTTTGGTTTATACAGAACAACAGATCCAGTTAAAGTAGAATAAAAACACTGTAAAAGTAAGCATCTAAAAAATGATTTGTACAGTGTGGTATAGTTGAACGTGGAAGTTTGTTGATGTGAGTGAACAATATTGATGAACAAAGATAAATAATAACCATGAACAATGGCACAATTTCAACAAAATTGAAATCAGCGATTTCACAATGTTGACAACAAACTGTTTTCTTCTTTTCGATCTCCACACTTCCTTCTATCACCAGCTTACTCATTGTAGATGCATACTGAGTAAGGGTAGGAGTTTGGTGAATGCTGATTAGTGGATTATATGGAAGGGTGGTTTAGCGCTTAACGATTTACCGATTATCGGTTTGCTGTCGTTTTAAAGTTAAGCTTGTAAACAGCTATAAACCTGTTATAAAATTTGGTTTTACAATTTATAATACTTGCTAATCTGAAATTATTACAAATGAACAAGAAAGAAACACACGAACAGATAAAATAATGCATACTTTGCATTTATTCAGTTAAACAAGAAAATATTTATGTTACAATGTCTTAAATTAGTATAAAATGTACACAAAGCAAACACACAAGCTACTAATACAATATTCAAGCAAATATTTAAGTTTTGTTTATAAACAATAAACAGTTGTTAAAAGTGTCTATCAAATAATTCAATATAAAAAGTTACAAATCTTATTATATTCCAAAGAGACTCTCTGAAATATTACAAAAAAAATCTTTCTTATTGTGGTACTTGAACCTATAACATAAAATTAATAACTACTTTGCATTTATTCAGTTCAACAAGAAACTATTTATGCTACAATGTTAAAAATTAGTACAAAATCTACCCCAAGACAACACACAAAACATATTATTGAAGATTCAATGCGCAAAGTAACAACTTGTGTCTAGTTTATATCAAATTGATAAGAAAAACAGATCGACATGGTCATACATTGAAAAACACACATTGATTTTATACACATAAATATTTATTTATAAATTATTTGCGTGTTTTATGCAGAAACAAATGTTGCGCTAAATGTATACTGGAATTGCAGAAAGCTGATCTGGGCCAGTCATCTACATAAACAAGTATCACAAAACGTGCAGTTTGACACAGTGACCCGATATAAAAACTGACTCTGTCTGGGATTGTTTTAACCAAACTTGACTATAGAGAAAAACAGAAAACATTTTCGATTCATGAGGGCATTTCAAGTTCGTGACGGAAGTTAATATCCGAAACAGGAATACTAGCAATTATAGAAAATTAATAAAACTGCGCATTGTATCCTGTTTGTATAAATACTGCCTGGAAATCAGTGATCGGTATGTCAATAACAAGTGATTATTGAATTGAACCAGTAAAAACTCCTCATGATGAATAAAGTCTGTTTGGCAATTTGCGTGGTGTTTCTATGTGTTGTCCTGGTCAACTTAGCTCAGGTATGAAATTAATAGAATCAAGTAAATACTAATTTATGTTAATTGTTAATTAATCCTTATTTTTTATCAATGCTGATTAGGCTCAGATAGAGCAAACCGGTAAAGCTGGCCAAAATATGATGGATACTGCGATTGGAGCAGCTTCAAAGACAGCTGAGTAGGACAAAATGCTACAAAACAAATGAAGGATGCTGTATCCGGATTTTCAGGTCGTTAAAAATGTATTTGCTTGATTGTTATAGAAGGATTCAACTGAAATAAAACATGTGCATATAGATATTGTCTTTTATACATATGTGTAATTGCAGTTTAAGAAAAAAATTGCAGTTTACATAAACATAGATTATTTGCAACAGTGATAGACAATAGTACGTTAATTCAAATCAATAGCATGATGTACATATTAATACCTGTTTATTCCTGTGATAAAACTTATCTTTGTTAATTTCTCACCGACGACGCCCCCTGGGTTTCATACCTGGTACAAAAACAGCTGATTTATTACCGAGAGTTAAGTACCTGCTTGAATTACAACTTTATTTCAAAAACCATGACCAAGGTAAATAAACTAAAAGCTAAAAGTCAAATGACACATGCACAAATCTAGCAAAGTCCACTCTCTGGCCAAGAGCACTAAATGACCAACAATAAAGGATAAAATAGAAATAGATGAATATTAATCTGCCTGATGCCACAGTGTGGCGAAACATGTCGCAGAATGGTAAAAGTTCTTGTGAAACCCATAAGGTTTATCCTTTCTTTCAACGATAGTAATGGAGTTTCATCATGTACCTAAGTGCCTCAACAATTCAATAAATAGAAATAAGAGAGTTAGGTGTATATTGTACTGAAAAAAATAGAGTATTAATTTTGTCAGTAAACAAAACTACTAATAATAAATATATATAAAAAAAATATTAATATTATGCCGCAATATGCTTTGACTTCTTCGTTGCGTTGCGTTCCTCCAAAGTTTTTCCAGGTTCTTTTAAGAACAACTTGCAGCACCAGCTACGCGTCCTCAAAAATATACACAGGAATAAAATGACCACGGCAAAGGCTAAAAATAAACATGAGAGTTAATATAGGTACTTGTGACATTTTTCTAATTTTTAAATAAAAACTTACTACAGACAACTGGTAGCGTCACCAGGAAAAAGTATGCCAAACCATGTGAATATTCAGCTTCGTGGTGTGGTGTAATGCCAAACTTAAACAATTCTTGATCGTTATCTTCAATCAGAATATTCTCACTATCATCAACATCTCCAGTAGTTATTGTTGAACTGGGGGCCGGATTTTCTTTCCTTAAAATTTCAGGATTCTTATTTAGACTCTCATATATGGTATCTTCAAAGATTTTAAAGAAGTTATTGTTTGTGGAATTTCGTTTGAGACGTTTGTTGACCGAGGTTTCTGGGGCGGTGACACTTTGATCAGTGTCACCGCTAATGGATAAAAAATAATGCCGTTTATGTTTGCCGGCATCGGTTTTCTGCGTTTTTATCGGTTGCTTAGTCGTTGTGGAAGACATCAACTCTTTTGTTGTAATATTTCGTTTAAGTTTCGGATCATATTTAGATTTTTCAACATGTAATAAGCTGGAAATGTTGATATGTCTCTTTATTTGACCTGGTCCTGTGTCCAACATGTTTTTGGCCTTCATGTGACAACTCCTACAGAACCCATTCATACCATGTTCACAGAACATAGTTGATTCATCATTTTTATTAAGCCAGTCGAAGTCTGATGAATTGTCCACTTCATTTTTCTCGGTTTTTATATCAATAGTTTCTTCCTTAGGCAGGGCAGGAGTAAAATCTCGTATGAAAGAGGAGAAGAAAAACTGTAAGAGTCGTTGTAAAGGATCCATAAAAAATGGCGACTCTACTCCGCTGCCAAATCCGTCCATCTTGTTAATCGACTTCGAATTGGCCAAGAACGTCACTACCAACTTGGGCTTAGACATGATCATTCCTTCCTCATGCTTGGTGTCTGAATTTCTGTTTTCCCATTTCGCGCAGGACTTTTCAGAGGTGGGAATTAATTCAATCACATTAAGTGATTTATTTGAAGTTTTAGCATCAGGCGTCGATTTTTGGGTTGTATGACATTGTCCGCCTGAAAATTGTAATAATTTAAAATGAATATATAATTAAAAACTTTACTGATCATAAAATATAATTACAAAAAGCGCAGAATAATAAAGTTATGCAAAATGCGAGTTGCTTCATACTCGCGACACATTAAACGGTTAAATGCGTTATAATTGCTGATAAAAAATACGTAAAAAGTCACGAAACTGTATTGCTCACGCACATGCAACAAATAAATAACAAAGCAATAGTAAACAAAATGGTTTTGTTTCATTTTGTTTAAAACTGCCTACTCCGTTTTTACTCTATTTATTTTACACAAGTACCTACGTATAATAAAAATTGGCGAATATGATATGAGTGCAAAACATTCCATCCGCCGAGTTCAGAACAAAATTTCATAATAACATTTACTAACTACTTAAACCTAACACATTTACAGTGTGTGCTGAGCTACCGAGTAAATAAATACAGTTATATAATCAAAGTTGTTTTGATAGCGTAGAAGCTACTTTCGATTTATTTGCTCGGTAATTGTAACTCCAAACACTTAATACACTTGCCTGGCTACACGAATTAAAGTCGTGCTTCGGTTTGTTTTGCAATGTGTTGAGCGACTGACTTGACTCTTGACAAACCTATAAAACCCGCCATACACAGCGGTCGCCCGGCCAAACGACAGCGCGAGTTGTTGTGGTGTGGTGTTGTACTTATCGCGGAACATTCGCCGAGCGTGCTCCAGTTTTACTGCAGCAGATACAAATCTAGCTACTGCATGCTTGTACAGTCAAATCAATAAAAGTTTTATATTGAAGAGCATCATCAGTAAAAATGGCAGCCAAAAGTGAAAAGATTGGTATTATTGGCAGGTAAATATGGAAATTTATGTATATTTGCGTTGAAATTGCATGTTCAAATGATAAAAACTATTTAAATGACGTAAATAAATTGTTTTTATATTTGTATTAGATTAACAAATTACATGTCTACAAATAAAAATTTTTATTTATTTTTATAACATTTTAAGTAATTAACTTTTTTCTTTCATTCTAAGCGGACTTATTGGTCGTTCCTGGCAATGTTGTTCGCATTTGTTGATATCAAAGCTTGATTCACGATTTATGACATTGAACCAGCACAAATTAAAACAGCTTTAAGCGACATCGATCAACAAAGCTCAAAGTTCGAGAAAAAGAAAATTTAATTGCGTGTAAAATCAAAAACGCTGTTCAACAATACGCATGCATTCGAGGTAGGCATTTTTTAAACGTTGGTATTTTCACTTAGAACGAAACGAACACGTTTAACAGTAATTACATATAAATATAAATGCAACGATAAATTTTAATGGTAATATTTTCATCCAGGAAGTTAAGCCCGGATCGAAACAGTCGACGCCGTCTTAGTTCAAGAATGTGTCCCTGAGAAATTAGATTTAAAGAAAAGTCTGAAGAGCGTGATGATGGAAGCCGGACCAAACAATCATCTTCCGCTCACCAACATTTATGCGCTACCCACGTTTCTTCGAGTTACCGCCAAAACCTGTCGTTTCAACCGTAAACCCACCATTTTGAAAGTGTTTATTTTAGCAAAAACAGCACGTTTTTAATCTGTTTTTTAACGCGTAGTCAGCATAAAAACGACGAAATTTTTATTACTTTTCAAGTGCTTTTAAATGATGTGCAAGCCACACCCCACAAGTTGTTTCCGCTCAAACCAATATTGAAACCTCCGCGACGTAGTTCAGTTATAAATCAAAGTACACTTTTATTGCAAAACAACAGCAGGTAAATGATGAATTAGATAATGAACCAAGGCCACATTTAAGTAGGAATCAAGTAAATGTGCCTGCTACGAGTTTAAAGCCAGTTCTGGTACCAAAACCATCGCAAACACCTAAAGGACCAATTGAGAAAAAAACAGTTGTGCGTCAGTTTGCTTCACCACCTATTCCATCAAAACCAGGATTGGCAGGAGTGTTTCCCAATAAATATGTTGATAGAGCAATTCCTATCAATCGTTTGAAATCCGAAAATAAAGAGCTGGAAGCGGATTGGAATGATGAGGAAGTCAGTGAGACAATACCAGAATACATTAATACACCTTTCTCAACTCTTCCGAAACATATTCGTCCAGGAAATCATTACGATAGAACAAATCAACATCCAGGCAACGAGCAACATTCCGTTAATGCTTTATTAAAACCATCACAAATTAAAACTGATAAACAGCATCAACCTAAATTTGAACTTCCTGGATTAGTAAGACAAGATCAAAATCAATATTTGGGTCAAGCTTCACCTAATGCAAATAGACCAATACATTTGAGTCAAGATTTGCCAGAGTATATTAACACCGCAACACGAAAACCTTCAATATCTAGATCCATTCCTGATACTCACGCAGAAATAAACCAACCTTCATATTTAGAAGATGATATTCCAGAATATGTGAATACCTTTTCATCTGTAACCATTGAAGAACAACTACCTGAAGGACACATTTTAAATGATCCCAAACGCCGTCAACTATTAGAAGACAAACTTAGAATTTTCATCAAGCAAAGGGATGCAGCCCATCAGGAACATGCCGAACAAGAACCAGAATATTACGAAACTGAACACGATTTTGAACTTCGGAAAGAAGTAAGTCAGTATGATAGTAAGACTTCAGCTACGCCAGAGTCATTCGACTCGTTTGATAGATCAGAACAATCGTCTCCGATTGTTGTAAATGAACCACCTGAACTATTTAAATCTGGTGTTATCAGAAAAATTAAACTCAGAGACTCTGATACTCCTCCTGCCAACGTCAATGCAAATGCAATCCCTGAACCGCAGCCGGTACAATCAACTTCTGGAATTAACACAACTCCGCCACACGTTCAAAATATTTATGGAAAATTGCCTTCGATTCCTAATAACAAGCCTATAATACCTCCTGATGATGGAATATCTGCAGACACACCTGATGATAACGAATATGTGATACCGGTGACGCTGCTAAGACGCCTTAGTACGTAATTGAGAAGAATAAAATTCTTCAGGAGGTAAACTCTGTGAAGCAGTTTCAACATTGAACAATAGACCAGTAGGCACGTTTTTACTCAGGCATAGTAAAACACACCTGGGGGTTCTTATGTTTATCGGTGCGTCCATGGTGAATCACGTACCAATTTGTCACGACGACTTCACTGATGAGTTTTTCTTGGCATCGCAACCAGGTACTACAAATCCAAACAAGTTCAAGTGCATGATGAAATTGTTGGACTTTTATTCGCGGTATCCGATTACTGCAAATGATAAAATATTGCATCATGAAGTCAATAATATCGATTAAAGTATACAAAACCAAGTATTCCAAGAAAAAAATATTTTCAAATGCGTGTGAAATCTCTTTTATCTTTCCAATTTGGAGTACTGGGCAAAAATATCAACAAAATATATTTGGTGAATATACATACTCTATTTGGGTTTATCTTACGATATGATAAATTAAACATTCCATTAAAATTCAAATGTCTAAACATAAGAATTAAAACTTAACACTCTTCTACTCCTGCTTCCTCCGCGGCTGGTTATCTGTTTTCACAAAATACGAAATATAAATCTGAATCTAGGTTACTACCGACTAAAATCACCTTTTATACAATATGTATAATTCTGATTTATCTTGTACCTCAGTTTTGGTAGCAAGCATGACACTACTTGCATCAGAGTCAGAAACATTTGAGCTCATAAAACTTTCCACATCTGTGGTCAACTCAATTAAATCATTGTCTAGTGTTAGTGAGATATACTTATGGCCCCTATCTTGTTTTTTGGCTGGCAGTAGTGATGATGTTGATGTAGATGATGCAGATGTGTTTTGTAATAAGTTGAAATCACTTGATTCACTTGTAAATCCATCACTATCACCAAGTCCATCAGAGAGTATAAAACTGGAGTTTATTGCTTGGACGGATTGCACTGATATCAAAGGCTTATCCTTTGCAGTTGATTTCTTACTCTCCTGTTGCAGAAGCAGCTCAGCTGCTAGCTTTTGCAGATCTTCCACAGAGAGATTCAACCCAGAAGATAGAGCATCACTCAAGGACAAGCAAACTAACCTGAAAAAGCAGCATTTAATTAAAATATTATTAAAGAATTGAACCAGAACATAATAGTTCACATATTTTAACAAATAAACTGTTTGTACTCACCCTTTAGGTGTTTGAACCAATATACCATTACTAAGCAAATTATTTGCTTCCTCTACAGATTGAATGTCCATTTTTGGTGTTGACTGTGTTCCTAGAGAAATTTTAAAATCATATTGCAGGGCCTCTTATCTAAAAAGGAAGGCATGGCACAATATTTAGTACACACTTCTTAGAAGGTTAAACTCAGGTAAATATTTTACAATGACTGGAATGGAGCAATTTTGTAAATGAAACAGCACTGACAACCAAATGGACCGAACAAGCCAGACACTATGCCATAGATTATAATATGTGCACTTACCCATGTATATGTACACTTGGTCAGGCCCCTGTCACTTAAATGCGAGAAAGACGCAAGAGTCAGCGTGTGTGTCGGGTAATTTTAGTACCTCTGGGTGGCGCTGGTAGTTTAGTTGCACGACAGCTGTTTACCGTTTGTGTTGTTATCATATGGCTACACTACGCAACTATATTGCAACCGTTGCGACTAAACTTCTCTGTAAATATATGTTCTCTGCAAATAGCGACAACATTGAGTAGTTTTCTGCAACACGGAGTTGAAGGGGGCTGGTTCTAACTTTCGTTCTCTTCTTTGTTTTAGCAATCGTTTTCGAGTTCCGATCGCATAAACTTTAGCGGAGCATCTAGAGATGTAGAATTAAATTCTCCGTTGGGTTGTACTTGTCTGTTGTAGTAATTCGACCTGCAACCCGCGAAAATTTGCATAAAAAGGTGATTTATCGCTTTGTCACTTTTTTTCGAGAAATATTTGTATTTTTACAGGTTTGTACGCGATCTTGCCGGCTCAGTAATTCAGCTCGGCCTCGAAAGATGCGAAATTAAATTCTCCGTCGGTTTGTTTTGTTAGCGGTAGAAGTGACTCGTGCGCAGTTACGTGTATTATCTTGAGGTACCCAAAAGTAACCTCAGATGGCGCAATAATGCATATTTTCGCTAAAAATATTCCTGCGAGTGAAAGTCGACATATCCAGTTGTTGTGTAGTAAAATAATATTTTGGAAGTTAGTGCGAACCATTTTTATCTTCAGCAGAACACGAGGGGCGGCTGTTCTACCTGGTAAATATTATTATTTAAATAATTATGGCAAATAAGATAATTTTTAAGGCAAAGTTTGGGTTCCTCCGGAACTCGGACTCATTTCAACATTGTTCAAAATTGTATAACTAATGTTTTGTTTCTTCTTTATTTCAGTATTTACTCGCATTTGATTTACTGTGTTCGATACACTGGTGAGTGAAATTTTTCATGGTTCATAGTATCTATTTTTCGATTTTACGGTTTTCCTGCAACTAGAGAATACTTCTTTTTGCGGAAAGTTCGGTCAAGCATTCCGCAGAAAATTTGAAAATGGAAATTCATGCTTGAAAATTCTTATTTTAGCAAAACAGCACGTTTTGAGCTTTAATCTGCGTTTTAACGCGTAAAACAGCATAAAACGACAGAATTTTTATTATTCGTTTTTTATTAATATTGCTTCTATTTGAACGATTTCAACGATCTAAAATGCTTGAAAATGTTTATTTTAGCAAAACAGCACGTTTTGAGCTTTAATCTGCGTTTTAACGCGTAAAACAGCATAAAACGACGAATTTTTTTATTATTCGTTTTATTATATTGCTTCTATTTGAACGATTTCAACGATCTAAAATGCTTGAAAATGCTTATTTTAGCAAAACAGCACGTTTTGAGCTTTAATCTGCGTTTTAACGCGTAAAACAATATAAAACGACGAATTTTTATTATTCGTTTTATTAATATTGCTTCTATTTGAACGATTTCAACAATCTAAAATGCTTGAAAATGCTTATTTTAGCAAAACAGCACGTTTTGAGCTTTAATCTGCGTTTTAACGCGTAAAACATAAAAACGACGAATTTTTTATTATTCGTTTTTTATTAATATTGCGTCTATTTGAACGATTTCAACGATCTAAAATGCTTGAAAATGCTTATTTTAGCAAAACAGCACGTTTTGAGCTTTATTCTGCGTTTTAACGCGTAAAACAGCATAAAAACGACGAATTTTTTATTATTCGTTTTTTTATTATCTGCTTCTATTTGAACGATTTCAACGATCTAAAATGCTTGAAAATGCTTATTTTAGCAAAACAGCACGTTTTGAGCTTTAATCTGCGTTTTAACGCGTAAAACAGCATAAAAATGACGAATTTTTTATTATTCGTTTTTTATTAATATTGCTTCTATTTAAACGATTTCAACGATCTAAAATGCTTGAAAATGCTTATTTTAGCGAAACAGCACGTTTTGAGCTTTAATCTGCGTTTTAACGCGTAAACAGCATAAAAACGACAAATTTCACGTATTCGTTTTTATTAATATTGCGTCTATTTGAACGATTTCAACGATCTAAAATGCTTGAAAATGCTTATTTTAGCAAAACAGCACGTTTTGAGCTGTAATCTGCGTTTTAACGCGTAAACAGCATAAAAACGAACGAATTTTTATTATTCGTTTTTATTAATATTGCTTCTATTTGAACGATTTCAACGATCTAAAATGCTTGAAAATGCTTATTTTAGCAAAACAGCACGTTTTGAGCTTTAATCTGCGTTTTAACGCGTAAAACAGCATAAAACGACGGAATTTTTATTATTCGTTTTATTAATATTGCGTCTATTTGAACGATTTCAACGATCTAAAATGCTTGAAAATGCTTATTTTAGCAAAACAGCACGTTTTGAGCTTTAATCTGCGTTTTAACGCGTAAAACAGCATAAAAACGACGAATTTTTTATTATTCGTTTTTTATTAATATTGCTTCTATTTGAACGATTTCAACGATCTAAAATGCTTGAAAATGCTTATTTTAGCAAAACAGCACGTTTTGAGCTTTAATCTGCGTTTTAACGCGTAAAACAGCATAAAACGACGTTTTCATTATTCGTTTTTTATTAATATTGCGTCTATTTGAAAGATTTCAACGATCTAAAATGCTTGAAAATGCTTATTTTAGCAAAACAGCACGTTTTGAGCTTTAATCTGCGTTTTAACGCGTAAAACAGCATAAAACGGTGAAATTTTTTATTATTCGTTTTTTATTTATTAATATTGCGTCTATTTGAACGATTTCAACGATCTAAAATGCTTGAAAATGCTTATTTTAGCAAAACAGCACGTTTTGAGCTTTAATCTGCGTTTTAACGCGTAAAACAGCATAAAAACGACGAATTTTTTATTATTCGTTTTTTATTAATATTGCGTCTATTTGAACGATTTCAACGATCTAAAATGCTTGAAAATGCTTATTTTAGCAAAACAGCACGTTTTGAGCTTTATTCTGCGTTTTAACGCGTAAAACAGCATAAAAACGACGAAATTTTTATTATTCGTTTTTTATTTTTATTGCGTCTATTTGAACGATTTCAACGATCTAAAATGCTTGAAAATGCTTATTTTAGCAAAACAGCACGTTTTGAGCTTTAATCTGCGTTTTAACGCGTAAAACAGCATAAAAACGACGAATTTTTACATTATTCTCGTTTTTATTAATACCTTCTATTTGAACGATTTTAACGATCTAAAATGGCGAAAGTACTTGTGCGAAACCAGCACGTTTGAGCTTTTAATCTGCGTTTTAACGCGTAAACAGCATAAAACGACGAAATTTTGTATTCGTTTTATTAATATTGCTTCTATTTGAACGATTTCAACGATCTAAAATGCTTGAAAATGCTTATTTTAGCAAAACAGCACGTTTTGAGCTTTAATCTGCGTTTTAACGCGTAAAACAGCATAAAAACGACGAATTTTTTATTATTCGTTTTTTATTAATATTGCTTCTATTTGAACGATTTCAACGATCTAAAATGCTTGAAAATGCTTATTTTAGCAAAACAGCACGTTTTGAGCTTTAATCTGCGTTTTAACGCGTAAAACAGCATAAAAACGACGAATTTTTTATTATTCGTTTTTATTAATATTTGGCTATTTGAACGATTTCAACGATCTAAAATGCTTGAAAATGCTTATTTTAGCAAAACAGCACGTTTTGAGCTTTAATCTGCGTTTTAACGCGCGTAAAACAGCATAAAACGGCAATTTTTTATTATTCGTTTTTATTAATATTGCGTCTATTTGAACGATTTCAACGATCTAAAATGCTTGAAAATGCTTATTTAGCAAAACAGCACGTTTTGAGCTTTAATCTGCGTTTTAACGCGTAAAACAGCATAAAAACGACGAATTTTTTATTATTCGTTTTTTATTAATATTGCTTCAATTTGAACGATTTCAACGATCTAAAATGCTTGAAAATGCTTATTTTAGCAAAACAGCACGTTTTGAGCTTTATTCTGCGTTTTAACGCGTAAAACAGCATAAAAACGACGAAATTTTTATTATTCGTTTTTTTTTATTAATATTGCGTCCTATTTGAACGATTTCAACGATCTAAAATGCTTGAAAATGCTTATTTTAGCAAAACAGCACGTTTTGAGCAGTGCGTTGAACTTATGTGTGTTTTTGAACTAGGTAATGTTGTTTTGAACTAAGTGTAGCCCAGCAGTGGCGCTATCAACTAGAGGGTTGTGATGAGGGGTTGTTAAGTTTGTTACTTGGTATAAAGTTTTTTATGTATTGCGTCGCCACTCATTACTTCCTGCGCGGCGCCGTGATGGAACCCGCTGAGGTATGAGGTGCAAAATAAAGAAGACCGTCGAGAGCATCTCGGTCTTGTTTCCATCGAATCGTCATCGTGAGTTATCTGTGAGTATTTTTGACCCTCAGTGCTTAGTAAATTGTGCGTGCCCGTATTTCTTGTGTTGTAATCTGTTCCGGACGCCATCTTGCTTAAGTTATACTCTGACTTCTTTGAACTTGCACTTGAAAATCTATTAAGTTAGATCTCGCGAACAAGTCCTTCGCGAGTTAAGTAACCATTGTTAAACAAACCGCGACAACCGCGTAAACATTTTGGTCCTTCGAACCGGATATTTGGAAATCTGCGACGTCTCACCGGGAGACGCAGAATTCAACAGTTGAACTCCATCTCTGTGTCCTAAGCTTAGGGCGTTGAGGCTTAACAGCGCGTCGCGACGTTTGGAGTTGCTGATTTGCATCACGTACAGAAAGTTGGCGCGCAACGATCACAATGGCCAGCAGCATCATTAAGCGCCGACAGAACGATAAGGAATGGCTGCTTCATCAATTAAGGCAGCTTCAGGAAGAACTAAAGACGGCTAGCGCGACCAATGCTGCAAGCGTATGGACGCTAAAGGGGTTCGTAGCTGAGCTTGAAACAGCGAACGAGAAGATGGCCGAACTGCATAAGGAATTAGCAGAACACGATGTGTGTATCCAAGATGAAAGGCTGCAGTTCTCCAGCGGACTTCGGCCGGCTATAGGCAGAGCACAGGCCATCATCGAAGAAGCGAGAACGACGTCGGGCGCAACCGCGGCGGTCAGTCGAAAGGCCCCAAAACTACCTGAGTTGGGGTTACCAGCATTCGACGGAAGGTTTGAAAAATGGCCCGGTTTTCGTGATGCTTTCACCACGCTCATCCACGAAAACGTAAGCATCGCCGAAGTCGAAAAGTTTATGTACCTGCGAGGGTGCCTGTCGGGAGAGCCAGCTTCGATTGTGCATGCGGTGCCATTGTCCGACGTCGGATACAGTACGGCCTGGCGACTGCTCGAAGAGCACTATGAAAACAAAGCGTGCTTGATTCGAGCACATGTCGATGCATTGCTTGACTTGCCTCTTACGAAGAGAGACAATCAGAGCAGTTTGCAGACTCTGCTCAACGCATTACGGAGCAACATAGCCGCTTTGAAGGTCTTGAAGCGCCCGGTTGAGCAATGGAGCGACTTGTTGGTGCGGATCATTGTCCGACGACTCGATGCGCAGCTACAGAAGGATTGGGAAATGTGTGCTCATAAAGATGCGGATGGAAGTAAGGTCCCAACCTACGAAGAGTTGTTCGAGTTTTTGCAAACGCGTTCACGGCAGCTAGCAGCAACACAAAGCAACGCAGCACCCCGGGAGACTGGCGACCGTTACCAAACACATGCTCGACAAGTGATGGTGACAACATCTGTTGGGAGTTGCGCTGTATGCGCAGGTAGCCACAGCACTAGAAACTGCCCCGAGTTCATAAACTTGACCGTGGACCAACGATGGCAAGCTGCAAGGGACAAGCGCATGTGCTTCAATTGTCTGAGGCTTGGCCACAACCTACCTAGATGCCCCAGCCGATCAACATGTCGCTCGTGTGGTAAGAAACACCACTCAGTTTTGCATTCGAATGTTACGAACACGACCGCGATCATAAACCCGCCCGTAAACTCTGTCGATGTCGTCGAGGAAGAGCCGGCTATTGAGATGTCGGAGGCGCAAGCAGTTAATTTAGCGTCTCAAGAATCGGCCGTGTTGTTGTCCACAAGTCTGGTAAAATTGATTGATTCCGATAATCGCGAACACGAGGTCCGCGCCTTGTTGGACACCGGGTCGGTGGTGAACCTGATCACCGACTCCTGCGCTCGTCGCCTCGGGTTAAAAAGCGTCGGCTCGCCAATCCCCCTGTCTCTCGCCGGTGGTAGCCAAACGCAATCAGATCGCTTGGTGCGCACCACATTGAAATCGCGCACATCGGAGTATACGACGGATATCCAGGCGCATGTTTTGCCTGCAATCACCGGCTACGTTCCTGGACGCAATATAACTACGGGATTAGCACGAATTCCTAACAAAATTGTCTTGGCCGATCCAGAGTTTAACAACGCAGCGCCGATCGAGTTGCTGCTGGGCAATGGTGTGTTGCCTAAACTTCATGCCGATGGTCGAATTGAGATCGAGGACTTAGTGTTGCGCAACACTAAGCTCGGTTGGATTCTGGAAGGAAGATGGCCCGGCGATGACACCTCGGAGGCAGCGATGGCAACCCCATTACCAGTCGCGCACGTGCACATAAGCGAACTGATTTCGCAGTTCTGGGCCGTGGAGAACCATACGTCGCCGACTGTTGAACCGGCAAGCAAGTGTGACAAACATTTTGCGTCCACTCACACTCGTGATCCAGAGGGAAGGTTTATTGTCGCGCTTCCGTTCGCCAAGTCTCCGTCGGAGTTAGGCAACTCAAGCGCTCGAGCGAAGCAAGCGTTCTTGGCCATGGAACGGCGCTTAACCCGGCACCCAGCGATGTACGTAAAATATCGAGAATTTATGCGCGAATATATAGACTTGGGCCATATGTCGGCGACCCGGGGAGACATACACACCGGGTATTACATGCCACACCACTGCATTCTAAAGGAGGCCAGCCTGACGACAAAGTTACGAGTCGTCTTCAATGCGTCAGCGCCTACAAGTAACGGAACGTCGCTGAATTCGATCTTGCAAGTGGGGCCCAAACAACAAGACGATCTATTCGCTGTGTTGTTACGGTTTCGGTGCCGACAGTTTGTACTGTCCGCCGACATCACCAAGATGTACCGTCAAATTTGGGTTCGACCCGAGGATCGTCAATACCAGCGGATATGGTGGCGTGATGACCAGACGCAGGAAATGCGCTCCTATGAGCTTCAGACGGTTACATATGGTACAGCGCCAGCCTCGTACCTGGCCATCAAGGCGTTGCGAGAAGCGGCCCGATCAGTAGAGGATCAATATCCTATTGGAGCAAGGGCGTGCTTAAAAGACTTTTATGTCGACGACCTATTCACGGGAACCGACACGAAGGAAGAGCTGTCGAAGTTGCGCCGTGAAGTAGAGGCGGTGCTGCTTACCGGAGGCTTCCGGCTGAACAAATGGGCCAGCAACTGCGAAGAAGTTTTAGCCGACATTTCCACGCTGCACCAGCGAGATGGGGTTATAATCCACGAGGCAGGGAATCCCATAAGCGCATTGGGAGTCCAATGGGAACCACGAGCTGACAGCATTAGGTATCAAGTGGATTCCAGTCTTGATACGCCGCGCACCAAGAGAGCGATGATTAGCCAAATATGTCGCATTTTTGACCCGTTGGGACTTCTTGGACCAATCATCATCATCGCCAAGATATTGATCCAAGAATTATGGAAGTTAGGCGTGGGATGGGATGAGCCGCTGCCGGAAGATGCAATGCGAAGGTGGATGACCTACCAACAAGCGTTAGATGGGATTGATCGCATTGTAATACCAAGGAAGGCTCTGCTTGCAAAGGGGTCAGAAGTGGAACTTCATGGGTTTGCCGATGCCAGCGAATCTGCCTTTGGTGCTTGTGTGTATCTAGTGACGGTGAAGGCAAACGTGCGTGTCGGGTCGATGCTGTTGTGCGCTAAGTCACGCGTCGCGCCGGTGAAACAGGTGACGTGGTGGTGGCGTGGAGTGGCGCTTCATCCCTCCAAGAGCACCTCACTTCGGCGGCTTGTGGGAAGCAGCCGTGAAAAAGGTCAAACACCACCTGCGTCGAGTAGCCGGCAACGCGCTGTTAACGTACGAGGAATTGAGTACGTTACTCGTGCAGATAGAAGCAGTGCTGAACTCTCGGCCTCTTACTCCCCTATCGGAAGATCCCAGTGATCTACAAGCTCTGACACCTGGACACTTCCTGATCGGAGAAGCCCTCACTGCGCCTCCAACTTCGGATTTGGAGCACTTGCCGGATAACCGCCTATCACGCTGGCAGCTGGTAGAAAAGTTGCGGCAAGACGTGTGGCGCCGCTGGCATAAGGAGTACTTCGTAGAACTGCATCAGCGAAGCAAGTGGAGATCGCCTGCCGTCCCCCTGAGTGTGGACCAGCTGGTGGTGGTACGCGAGGACAATTTACCACCGCTTCAATGGCGGCTAGGAAGAGTTGTTGCCGTTCATCCTGGCAAGGACGGCATCATCCGCAGCGCAGCAGTACGGGTTGGGGCCGGAATCGTTGATCGGCCAGTAGTGAAATTATCGCCTCTCTTTTCAGAACAGTGAAGTGCGCGAACGTGGAAAATAATTAAACGGGTCGTTTAATGGGGGCCGGTATGTTTTGAGCAATGTGTTGAACTATGTGTGTTTTGAACTAAGTGCAGCAGTGGCGCTATCTAGCTTAGAGGGATGTGATGTACTTTAAGTTTGTTATTTAGTATAAGTCTTTTATGTATTGCGTCGCCACTCGTACTTCCTGCGCGACGCCATGATGGACTGCTGAGAGGGTGCAAATAAAAGGGCCAGCCGAGAGCATCTCGGTCTTGTTTCCATCGAATCGTCATCGTGAGTTATCTGTGAGTATTTTGACCCTCACTGCTTAGTAAGTTGTGCGTGTCCATATTCCTTTGTGCTATAATCTGTTCCGGATGCCATCTTTATTAAGTTATATTCTGACCTCGTTGAACTTGCATTTGAAGTTGGATCTCGTGAACGAGTCCTTCGCGAGTTAAATAATAATCATTGCTAAACAAACCGCGACAACCGCGTAAACATACGGTATTGTACTCAATTCATCCAAATGTGTGTTGGGGGCGAGCAAGGTCAAATTTCTCGGCTACCTTGCTACGAGCGCAGGAACCAGTCCGCTCCCTAAAAAAGTTGCCGCAATCTGCAATTTCCCTCGGCTTTAGCACACAGTACTCCGCCAGTACCTAGGAATGATCAACTTCTACTGCAGATTCCTTCTTGGTGCCACGGACACCAAAGCACCCCTTAACAATCTACTCCAGAGCAACGTAAAAGGGAAACAACCAATTGCGTGGACCCCAGAGGTTGCGTTCAGCAAGTCCAAGGATAGTCTTGCACAGGCCGTTCTGATAATTCACCCGCATCCAGACGCACCGCTAGCCATCTTCTGCGACGCCTCCGACTTCGCCAAAGGCGCCGTATTACAGCAGCAAGTCGATGATGAGTGGCAACCGCTGGAATTCTTCTCTAGGAAATTGAGTCCAGCGGAAACCAAGTACGGCGCGTACGATTGCGAGATCCTAGCCATATATTCTGCCGTTAAACGTTTTCGGCAAATGGTAGAAGCACGCGAATTCATAATTTTCATCGACCATAAACCACTTACCTTTGCCTTCACACAAAAGGTGCAGCCATCATCTCCACGGTAGGCACGCCATTTTGACTTCATCTTGCAGTTTTCCACCGACATTCGTCACATCGCAGGGTAAGAGTACGTGGTTAGCGATGCGTTGTCAAGGATTGAGGAGATAACTGAAACTATCAACTATGAGAACCTCGCCGAGCTACAACAATTGGAGTCGACCAACGACACTGAACTTCAATTGAAACTAATTGGTATTCCCGGAACAATAACATCTCTGGTATGTGACATATACAATAGAACAGCCCGCCCGTACCTGACACCGTCAGTAAGGGCGGTAACAGCACGATTTGTTTGGCCAACCGTCAAAGCCGATTGTTGCCAGTGGGCACAGGAGTGCTTAAGATGTCAGCAATAAAAGGTCTCCAGACATATATCCGCACGAGTCAGCGAATTCAAAGTCCCCGCAGGCAGATTCAAACACCAACATATCGATATCGTAATTCTGCTGTACTTCAACGAATGGCGATATTGACAGAAAATAATGGATAAAAGGATTAATAAAATAGAACAACAGCTAGAATCAGTTAACAACTTAAACTGTGATCCTAACATAATTAAATCGGAACTCAACGAGCGTAAGAAAAGGGAGTATGAGGTCGTTATATTCAATGTCCCTGAATCCAATAAACCAGCAGGATTAGATCGAAGTAGCGATGACACGGAGCAAGTCACAGCGTCAATTCCAGCAGACATCTTAAACAAAATACCAGACATCAAACCTCGCCGTCTCGGTAAACCAATACAGGGCAAAACCCGACCAATACTACTATATACACCATCACCAGCAATAGCTAGGGAAATCCTAAAGATTAACCCAGATGGTGATACCGGTATTAAATTCAAGCCCAGTCTAACACAAAAGCAACAACAACATCTTAATACGCTTAGAGTAGAGCTCAATGAGCTAAACAAAGACGGTGATAGCAAGACAATCAAATACATCAACGGGGTACCTAAAATAATCGATAAACCGGCATTTCAGGCGCCAAGAAAAAAAAAAAAAAAAAACAAAGTAAACTCACAATACTGTATCAAAACACGAGAGGATTAAGAACGATACTACATCAATTTTTAACTTCAACAGCTTGCTTTAATGGAGACATAATCTGTGCTAGTAAAACATGGCTACATTCTTCGATATCAGATGGTGAAATAATCGACAATAGTTTTAAGTGATTTAGGAAAGATAGAGACAGTAACACAAGTGAACATAAACGTGGAGGTGGGGCCTTAATTGCAGTAAAAAGTGAAATATCGGCAGAACAATTGGAAATCGAAGATAATAATATAGAACACATTTTTATAAAAGTTAAATGCTCAGAAGAAGACATAATAATAGGCTGTGTGTACCTGCCTCCACTATCACCATTAGATGCTTTCAATAATCATACCAATACTGTTCAACATTTGAAAAATAAACACCGTAACTGCAAGCTATTAATTTTAGGAGACTACAACCTGCCAAGCAGCTATCCACAGGATCAATGTATAAATCTACTGTATAGCAATATGTTTCTCGTTAACTGTGAACAACTTATCAAAATCGTCAACGACCACGGTAAAACCCTGGATCTCTGTTTTAGTAACACCAACATCAAAGTCACCAGAGGTGATCCTATCATTTATGAGGACAAACATCACCCAAGCTTAAGCATCAGGGTTGATACTCTAGCCAATTTAAAAGAAAACAGTTCGCCAAAATATATTTTCAAGAACGCAAATTACTTAGATCTAAATGGATTTTTTCTATTTTGCAGCTGGAATAGATTATATGAGTTAGAATCAATTGACGAGAAGGTAAACTGGTTCTATAACGCTTTAAATGAGGGAATTCTTAAATATGTGCCCGTCTACAACAGGAAAATAAGTAACTATCCAACTTGGTTTACCAAAGAGCTGATTAATAAAATCCGTGAAAAAAATGCAGCACATACTAAATATAAAAAAACCAATACAAAGCAACAATATAATATATTCCGACAACTCAGAATAATCTGCAAAAATCTAAGTAAAGAGTGTTACAACAACTACATAATTAGAACAGAATCAATGATCAAACAGGACGCCACAACATTCTGGACCTATATTAAGAATAAAAGGAGAAGCGACGCAGACATCCCAGCCACCATGACATGAAAGGAAACTACAGCTAGCAATGGAGAAGATGTAAGTAATCTTTTTGCATCGTTCTTCAAAAGCATTTACAAGAATAATAGCAACAGCAATGATAACGATTTGCCATCACATGATGCCATCACGAGAGTTCTAACCAGAAAGTGAATCTACCAGAGTTCCAAGTATCATATGACGAAGTTTATAAACAACTGCGCAAATTGCACCCCAAGAAAGGAGCAGGACCCGATGGCATTCCTAATCTATTTCTGAAGAACTGTGCAATCGGACTAGCAGAACCAATTACTCATTTATTTGATGTATCGCTTAAATCTGGTTACTTTCCATCTGCATGGAAACTCTCCTACATCTGCCCCATACACAAGGCAGGTTCTAGAAGTGATATAGCCAATTATAGGCAGGTATGTATTCAGTCATCCATCGCAAAGCTATTCGAAAAAATTATATTGCCACAAATAGTATCCGCCTTTGAGAACGTCATTTCATCAAGACAACACGGGTTCATAGGAGGACGCTCTACAGTCACAAACTTATATCTCTACACGGATTATGTACTGGATGCAATGAATCAAGGATTGAGCACTCATACCATCTACACGGATTTCTCCAAGGCTTTCGATATGGTAAACCACGATATTTTAATAAATAAACTAAGACAATATAATGTTAAAAGCAATGCACTGGACTGGCTGAGGTCATACTTAGTTGACAGACAACTGCAAGTACGTGTGAGTGGATACACATCAGAATTATATGAAGTCACCTCAGGTGTCCCTCAAGGATCGCACCTCGGGCCGATTCTCTTCAACATATTCATAAATGACATTGGGGAACAATTTATATCAGAATATCAACTGTATGCCGATGACTTAAAGATCTTCAGGAGGATTAATTGCAATGATGACATGGATATTCTGCAGCGCGACATCAACACACTTCATAGTTGGTGTCAACAGAATAAGCTAAATTTAAACAAGACCAAATGTGTGGCATTATGTCTCTCCAGACTAGCAAAACCAGCTCCAGCAATATATCATCTAAACGAGTACCAACTATCCGAAGTACCATCAGTTAAGGACCTAGGCATTATCGTAGACAAAAAACTTAGTTTTTCATGCCATGTGGATAAGATAACATCCCAAGCGTTCAAAACACTTGGTTTCTTATTCAGAACGGGCAAAGAATTTAAAAATGTATATACACTCATGCACATATTCAAAACACTAGTGCGACCCATATTGGAATATGGCTGCATCATCTGGTCACCTCACACCCAACAAATGATCGACAGAGTTGAAAATATACAACGGAAATTTTGCAAATTTCTATCATATTATATGTATACACAAGGGACTCACTTAACAACAGACGAGGTGTACAGCTGCTTCAAGATTGACAACCTAATCAATCGTCGCCAAGTCGCAGATTTAACCTTTTTCTACAAGTCAACACACGGACAGATCCAGTCTCCGGAAATTAACAACCATTTCGAGGTTGTTGAGCACAATAAAAACAACGAAGAATTATATCTGCTACGGTCCAAAGAACAGAATCTCCAATTTGGTCAATGAATATGCATCAGACGTCGATTTCTTCACTGAATCACAGTCAAGTTTTTATTCCAATATTAAGAAAATTATGTTAATTATGTTAATTAACTAACTTCGCCTGCATGGAGTCTGGACGGATCGAGTAGTCCAGAGGAAATGTTGACGGTCCTAAGCCCGTGTAAAGAAGGAAGGTTCAAGGGTGAGGCCAG